TTCAGGATCCCTCATGCTTAAAATACAGTGCATGTCTAATGGGATTGAGAATTAAAATATGTTGCTTAATTTTATTTCATTTATGATTTAAAATTAGAGAATTTAAATTCTAAGGACACTACAGAACACATCAATTAATTGTACTGAGCTAATTAGCTATTCTAGTAATTTTTTTGACTGCAGCACATATATTTTCAGGCCTGAAAGAAACGACTGGACTGTTTATTACCGAGATTAGTTTAAAAGCTTTGTTTTGATTTCAGTGGTGGGCACATTTTAATCCACTTTTGGAGTAAATAACGAGTGACTGAATCCTCATTGCATTTATCAGAAAGATTCAATGAGGACATTAAACGTTATTTTAGAGTATTGTTTCCCACTGTTTCTTGAGTGGCATAGTAAGGTCTTGGGAAGCTTATTGCAGAACTTTGAAGACATGAACGCTTCACTGCTGCGCTCTAGTGAACTACAGAAATGTTGCTTTCCTGCAGCAGGGGAGCAGGGGCAGAGTTCGGAACCCCCCGAGCCTGGCTCAGTGCACGCTGATGGCTATGGGGACGTTCCCACAGATTCCTGTAGATTCTGAATTATATTGCTTTAGAGCTGTGTTGCACAAATTGCAGTTAGAACGTTACCTTCATATGCCCGTTCCCCTGGAGAAAGTTCTTCTACCCTTTTCGGCGTTAAGATGACATATCACATATATTTATGTATACATATATATTTTTTTAAAAATGAACTATTGTCCCTGTATGGCTGGCTTTATTTTCTCCATTCAGATATAAGAGAACTTTAAGCACAACCTCGGGTAAAATTTGCATGAGAAATTATTTGTAGCAGGCAGCCAACCACCACTTCTTTATACTCACAGGAAACCCCCCTCCCCTCCCAACAAAGCTAAAAATAAAAAAATAGGACTCTGTATGCAGAGCTTGATGTTATCACTGCTGTCTTCAGCTGCAGGCCTGTCATTTATGTCAATAGTTATGTAGTTTGCACAGCACAGGTCTTTACAGGCCGAGAATATGCAGAGAGAAATGCAATGTTTCTGAAAATGCCATCAGAGTAATAAGCAAGAAGGAGTACACAGTGTGAAAAATGAGTTTAAAGGGTGACACACGTTTCCTGGAGTTGTCCTGATAGATCTTTTAATCTGTTTTAACAGGGAAGGAAAACAGCCCCTGGACAATTTGCCAAAGATTGCTTCTCCTTCACAAGCAACTTCAAAATCCAAACGAAAGACTTTTCCAAGAGATATTTTCTGCTTCAACTACAGCTACCGGGCTGGGGAATACATTAATTCAAGCAAGTCCTACAGCTTGTGTTAAGAAGACCTCACTACCTCCAAAGTGAAGTGAAAATCAGCAAAACTTTGTGTCTTATTAGGCAAACACCTGTCAGGGAAATGAAGATTTAATGTCAATAGGTACATTTCTTGCAGCCCTTTTATCTGTGGTATGTGTGATGATACCTCATTCCCTCCTCTCCCTCCACATCAGGTTCCTCCCTGGCATGGGGGAAGAATGCGTGGGAGAAGCCCCCTGAGGTCACCTCCTCCTCCTGCAAAGTGTTTTCAAGTCCCCCTCCTGCTGTGGTACCTGTAAGAAAACTGCTCACCTGTTTAACGGCTGGAGGGAGGCACTTGTAAAACAGGAGCTACGTGAAAAGAAACTATGACACAGTACTTTTTTTTTTACGCTTGACAGTCTCCTGCTCTCCAGAACAGGGTCGGGGCTTGTTCTCTTAGAGTCTCATCTATGAAGGGCAACTCAAGTGCAACATGGAGCGTTAAGGACCTGTGGGAGGTTCTTATAAACATTAATTAAATATTTAAAAATAATAATATGTACACCCAGCCCCAGTTAACTGAGGCTGGTTACTCAAGCAGCCATTTTACTCCTGGTGGACTTTCTTCGCCGCTTGGCAAAAATAGCTGGAAAATAGGCTTTTCTGATTTATAAAACTAGCCTGTGGCACTGCCAGCTTTGGATAGTCATGTGAATCCAGCTTTACAGTCTGAGATGGAAAGCCCGGTTGAAGCCACGGGAGGGAACAGGCCCTGACTGGCAATAAAATAATCCTTAAATGCTGGATGTTCCTCAGCGTTGGATTGAAGGGGCTGCGTTTGAGGCGCTGTCTGGCATTCACGGCGCTCAGGGTGAATTTTGCCATTCCGTTTCTGAGGAGAGAATTGGGGCCTGCAAGCAGGGGCGGTTTCAGTAGAGCTCAGCTGGGATACGGCCAACAATCGGCTATTTCTGTATTCTCTCTCCGGCCCTGCCCCGGTGACTCCACGTGCGGCTCCACAAGCCGTTGGACTTCGAGTCGTGCGGAGCCGCGGAGGAACGACACGCTGGGACGGGTTCAGTGTGGGGGATAGAGCATCAATCAACGTGTGTGTCTATTGGTCCAGGGTACATATATTTATACAGACAATGATAATTATGATGCCTACTAGTCACTAGCTGATTGGCTTAAGCTCTAAAGGTCGTATTCGCACGGCCCACCTACTTGCAGTTAGCTTACAGCACAAGCTTCTCATAACACTAAGTTTCTCATGCCACTATTTCTGATTCCTGCTGACTTGTTTTCGATACACGACAGTACCATAACACAATGTTTCTCAGACCACCGTTACCATAACACTGGGTTTCTCAGACCACTATTCCTAATTCCCCTTAACCTGTTTTCGACACACCACGGTACACAGGGCTGAAGCGTCCTTGACATTCCTCCTGTATCAGCAGCTGCGAGCAGCTGCAGGCAAACCCTAGTGAGGCCCAGCATCAGCAGCCAGAGCAGGCTCTGATCGTACAACTGCTCGGTGGGCTCAGGACCCTTGTCTCTGAGCCATTCTCCAACAGAGTAGGAGGAGGTGACACCCACCTCTGCCAGACCAGCTTCATGTTTGTGAAGCACTTGGGCAGGCCTAGGATGCTCCTGCCTCCGACGCTCCTCCAGCAGCCCGGGCGGCAGCGGGACCCGGGCGGCCCCCGCGGCGGCGCAGCGGCACCCTGGGGGGCCCGTGCTGTGCCCCAGCCGCAGCTCGCGCTGCTCTGCCTCTCCTCTGGCACACACAGCCCCACGTACTTCGCTCTCTGCGGCTGGTTCTGCGGCTACACGGAGGGGCACGGTCATTGGAGCAGCAGCGCAGGCCAGTGGGAATCAGAAAACACGTTAGAAGAGCAGGATTGCTTTACGCTTGGTGTAATTTCTCGGGCATTTCACCTGCCCACCTCTGCTTTTTTTTTCTGGAAATGGGGAGCATCCTTTCTCTCTTTTTCTGTGCATTTTCCCGCTCTTGCGGGAAAGGCAACTGGACAATGATCTACCTCAATGCAAATGAAAGGGATTTCCTAGCAAAGAAAGGTAATTTGTGCAGTGCTTCAGGTGCGTGGAAGCGCTGGGAGTACTGAGAGGGCAAGACCTCTGCCATAACACAGCTGTAATCACCTTGCGCTTTCACTAATTGCCTACAGCCAGAGCTCTTAAGTGCCATGTTATTTTCTATATAAAATCTATTAAATTTCTACATCTTGGACATTTTCTCCAGCTGTTTCTGTCAGCCCTCATTATCACCTGCCCTCGGTAGTGACTCTCAGAAATGAAGTTCCTACAGCCCTCCACTTGTGAAACTGATGGTGGTAGAGGACAAATTCTCTGTAAAGAATAAAGAGGGCTGAACTGCTCATAGCACTATAATGAAATGGGCTGTGGACGCAGCTTCCCCTTTCAAAATTAAACCAGGAATCATCTTCCAAACACAGAGCCTCTTACCAGACTCTTACATCTTGTTACTGTTATTCCGTGTCACGGGGATGCTGGTGGTCACTCTCTTTTACGTTTTCACACGTTTTTCAGCAGACTGATCAACCAGGCAGGTTTTCAGGAATGGATAACATGCAGCATATGTTTGTAATAGTGAGGTTCTTCATTCTCAGGTGTTAACCTCTTTTAAAGCTTTAGCACTGCTATACATCTGATAGATTGAGCATGCATCATTTAAAAAAAATATCAAGAGACAGCAGCAAAGAACACAGAAGTGAATTTTATCTAGCTTAAAAATATAACATCCTAATAGTATCATCTGGGAAGTTCCTTAGGTATTTGCTAAATGAACCTATTACTGTAGTCCTTAAAGTTTTGCCTGAGAAGTGTTTTTATGGGCTAAGTTCTCTGTATTAATTCCCAGAGCTGTGCATTTTTGCATTAGTTTTACTGAATATATGGAGATGAGAGAGAGCAATAGCGTAAGAAAACTATTAACATTAACACCAATGGAAAAGTAAATAATAAAAAATAAGACTTTTTTTTCGCATTTCTACAAAAATATAACAAAGAGAACATGCAGGTCTATACCGTTGTAATTAATAACCATTCAATTATAAATGCATCATTTGATGAATAGTTCTCAAAAAGACTGCCACAGATGTGGCAGGGAATAAATAAGCATATTCCACAGTTCCCTAGTCTAGCATATTCCATTTTACTGTGCTTTGCAAATATTAACTGGAGAGTAAATCTGACAGCCCGAGATGAATGTGTGTTTCATTCCGTGTTAATGAGAGGGACTGAGAAACACAGAGGGATTGGCTGATCTGCATAGAAATGTCCTCTTGCTCTTTCTTTTCCTTCCTACGTGGTGTCAACGAGCTGAAAAGTAGTGTCTGAATTGCACCTGCATGTACATCACGTGTTTGTCTGTGCACTGTTTTTTTCCTGAGCATTAGCACCAGCCAAGCTATACAACAGGCCATGCATATAATGTTATTTTAATACATGCAGAAGTATGAAGTAATAGCCTGCTTTTCCGTTATATTTTAAACTGCAGCATGTTTATATATTTACTAAACATATCTGTGAGAAAGGAAAACATGCAATGAAAAAGATAGCAATTATTCAAATTATTCAAATCAAAATTACTATCAAAATTAAATAAAATAACATTTTTAAAATGATATAAATATATATGGCTGTCACAACAAAGAATACTTTCTTCTTACAGAGTAAAATAATCTTTAGTTTCAAAAAAGTAAAGCAGGTGTTCCTATAGAAGAATAGCTGCTGGGCTTTATTTTGCATGTTTTCAAAAGGCTGAAAGCTATTTCTCTCAGGGAAGAAGGACCTTATGACTGAGTTAATCTTCAACCATAAAAATAACACTCTTCTTCAGTAAAAGTTTGGATCCTTTTTGCATGCCTAGAATGAATGCTCGCACTTCACAGTTGACCTCCAAAAAAGTAAATGAAGGTAAGTGAAAGGCTCAACTTTCACCTTTTATTATGGTCTAAATTACAAAGTTGATTGTTTATCACTACTATATATTGACAAGTTAAACATTTACACTTGTATAGTGCAGACAAGACACAAGGATTTGATTCTAAGAGGAACAGGGTGTAAAAACAGTGGAGAAAGTCTAAGTTCTTTTCAGAGAGAAGGAAGTCCTTATCGTCACTCCAGGTTGTATTTTCAGACTAACTAAATTTCATATGTGGAATTACAGTGGCTTTCCCTTCCTTTCATGGACCTGTTTAACAAAAGTCCATCTCCGTTTGGAAAGGTTTTATATACGTGCTGCAGGGATTCATGTATACACTCAGTGAAGTATATGCTGAGGACCTTTTTTGTTACTACAAGAATATTTTACTGAATAACAACCAACAGCAGGGAAGAAGAAATTAAGTGTGCCCTTTCCTGAAAATGAAGAGTGATGGACTGAACATGCTAATGACTGTGCTGACTTCTGTTTTGGTTTTTTTTTTTGTCTGTCAGCCCTCCTGTGCCAGCTGCCTCAATCTCTTCCTTTCCCCCCAAATTCCAATGATATAGTTGAGTATTGCAAGTATGAATTTCTTCAGTGATGAAAATCACAGGACGAGGTGAAGCAAAACAAGTGTGGTATCAAAATAACTGAAAGAGAAGACTCTGTTGGAGCAGTGCAAAATAATTCTTTTTTTTTTTTTTTTTTGGCTACACATGCAGATGTTCTCATTCAACCCATCAGTCGTGATTCCTCACGTGCAACGTGTTTAAGCAAGGCTGAAGACTGGGTCATCCCAGCGTCTGGTTTCCACGATGCTGTTAATATTTTTCAAAACCAGATACTTTTGGGCATGATTCTGGTGCTGCTTGTTTATACTTTGTGTCCAAAAGTGGAAGAGGGGCTGCTACAGAAGTGAGATCCGTCCTGTTTCTTTGAGTCTGATCTGGGAAGACCTGAAAGGGGAAGGCTGACAGAGTCTCTGGGAGGACTTGTTCCCAAGAAGTCGAAAGAGGGAGAGCAGGGCTTTCTGTAGCAGCTCACTCGAAGAGCCTCCTTGTTTGCTGTTGGAGGCAACAGCATTTTCTGTGTTTACTGTTGTCATAGGATGACAATATCAGAAACACAAAACTACTCAAAAGTTGTGGTCTACATGTCACCATGAGGTTGTTTAAATGCTTGTAAAAGCAAATGATTTAGCAAAAAGAATATGAACTGCAGGTGCCAACACCCTTTTGCTAGCTGGCTACACCTTAAATTGCTTTTTGTGCTCGCCCTTATGATTCAGCTCAAAACTCAAAACCTTCTGTGGTGTTGAGGCCCTTTATTTTGCTGGCACAGACCACAGACTGTGGACACAGTGTGCAATCGCAGCTTTATATAAATATTCATTGCAAGACCGCTGCAAGACAGACAGAATTTAAGCGCATCTGAAGCCAATGTAGGTAGCTGCAGGAAATGGAGTCTGATGTGATTATTGCTTGCAGATGTCCCGGGCACACAGGGGACCACTTGATGGTACAGGTTTTCTTGTTGAAGTGGATCTTTGGTATAGGATTCACAGCTTGTAGGTGCAAAGTGGTGGAAGGGCTTGTTACAGCATTTCCTTAAGCAAAGTAGAATAAAAAGAAAAATATACTAGCTCTCTGTGGAAAAATAAACATCCTGGGCTTCAGCACAGTCTTTCAGATAGACTGTCTCCTCCTTATTTCTCTCCTGAACAGTGTTTGGGTAATGTTTGAGAAAGGATGAGAAAGGGTAATGATAAATTGATGACAGACTTCTGTGAATTAAGAAACAGGACCTAATTTATTAATTTTATGGATGAGTAACAGCTGATTCACGACTGAGACTTGAATCAGCAGACTCTTTGAATCAGCAGTCTCTCTGAATATCTATTCCAAGTGAAATTCCAAAATAAGAAGTCATTCCAAAACAAAAAAATAAACTTTGAGATCTCCCATGGAAGGAGATTTTGGGATTTTTTTTCCAGAACAGCGTTCGGAATCACATACTTGTTTGTCCTTTACAGATTCTTCCTCAAGGTCTTTGAACAGCCGGTAGCTCTGTCTCTTTACCATGCAGTGACTTGGGAAGCTCAAGAGCAAGGAAACTGAAGAAGCCCCATTTCCTCAGATTTTTGGACGGCTGAGAAGCCCACCTTCTGGGCGTCCTGGAAAAACCATCACGTGAGCATCTGTTTTGGAACCCGGAGCTGGGTTCTTGTGGGATAATTCATATGACAACACAGACTAATCACAAGGGCCTTGTCATTTAAACGCTCCAATTACTTTTTTTCTGCAGCAGCTTCTGCTCTTCTCCGCATCCCACAATGCATTCCAGGGCTACTATGTTAATTGGAAGTATATTCCTGTGCATGAAGTGGACTTTAATTAGCACCTGAGGGCACATTCAGGTGTCCTGACTCACGTGGAGTGGAGGCGGAGCGGCGTGGCCCCACGGCAGCCTGTGGCTCATGAGCAAAGGTGCTTCCTGGCCCTGAGCAGGTCTGGCTGCGAAGCTCCGAGCCACCCCGGGGGACAGGAGGCTCCGCCGACTCTCCGGCATGCAGCGCCGTGGCCCGGGGCCCTGTAAAACAACAGCTGCACTAACGCTTCCAATTATTTTGCTCGACTAATAAGTAATATGAGTGGCTCCAGATTTTAAGTCTGTGAGCAATGTAGGAACACTGTAAAAACCGGGATTGCAGGCAGTCTTGTAATAGATTAATAACCTTGACTCTTACGTGAGTCATCTGTAAAATGGGCCCTGAGTTATGAAGACACACACCAACCGTGGGGGGTATTGTGGAAAATTAATGTGACATAATACTGCCTCAGTGACAATAAAAGTGCTGCAGCTGGAAGTGATGGGGAAAGTGGGCGGGGCATAACTCCACCTATTAATGTAATTACATCCACGCAGCTGGTTTCCAAAAGCAGGGTGCAAATTGGTTTCAGCCCGGTATCAGCACCTCCTGCCAGCCACGCAGCGAGACAGCCATGAGCAGACATCCCGGCTCCTGCTCCATGGGATGAAGCTGGCAGCCAGGGTGCAAGGAAACAAAAGGCTCTGATTAAAACAAAAAGCCTAGTCGGCAGGTTCTGTGATCAGTACATAGTAAGTCTTTTTTTTTTTTTTTTTTTTCCTTAATGCTATTAATTGCCTTTCAAAGCCCTTACAAAATGTGCTTCCCTAATGATAGAAAACATCCCCCCAAGCATCAGTTCTCTGGCTCTTTCCTTGTTCTAAACCCACATGCACTCAAAACCCTCACCTGGAGGACTGTGGGTGCACATGTCACTGAATATGGCTTCTTTGGTGTTTACTACAGAATGATGTGTGTCACTGTCCCTTCCATGGACACCATATGGTGATCCCAGCAGGAGGGACCAGGGCCAAGTTATAAATCACCTGGGCAGCGTCCCAGTTGTGCTATCTCTCAGAGGCATGTCCTGCCCATAGTGATGATTTGGGATTAAAATGTCAGCAAGCACTTCATGAAAGTTGTTATCTATTAATTATTTCATAACTCCATAGAGTATTTATGAAAATATGCTGTAAAGAGTTATTCAGACTTGAGAATTGTTATCTTAATTATGCTTGGACTGGAAAAATAATTACAGTGCACTGAGGTTAGGGATCTCTTCTGAATGAGCTCAGTGGTACTAAAATATTTTTAAATGCTTTAAAGTGAGGAGAGAGACGAAGTTATTTAAACACAAGGTCCCGGCTAAAACTATTCTATGCAACATGTGCATCACAAATGTAATATAGAAATATATGTAAACTAAAAGGTGACACATTTTAACACACTTCTTTTTCCCGTATTATCAAAACGTTGTGCAGAATTTTATCAACACCAAATCTATTTTATATTGTTAAAAGACAGTAAGATGTTTTAAAATATAGCATTGTTAGCTTTAAATGTAAAACCTGGTATAAGTCCTATAATGCGAAAAGACTGCGTATCTGCCAATGAAGAGAAAACCAATCCTTAAATATTCTTCTACATTTTGCAAATTATACACTAGATATATTTTGTAAATGAAATAACTGTCCCGCGTACATCCTGCTGGGAGAGGAATTGCCATCTACGATAGATTTCTTCTGGCCAAATAACCCTTAGCATGGACGCATATAGAGTAATTAATTTATTATCCAAGACACGGGTCTGGGTATAAACACAGTGCCTGGATATCAGTGTTGCTTTCAGGACCGACATTTATCATCTCTCAGCGACCGCTGTTGGGCTGATGCTGCATTTACAGACGGAGACAAATCTTGTTTATCCCTCTTCCTGGCCAGCCTTGCGATCTCAGCCCGAAGCCCTAAGATTGCGGGCCGGCTTTGAGCCCTTCCCTCCCGGCACGCAGCCCCAGCAGCTGGGGAGCGGCGGAGCGGCGAGGCCCTCGGCCAGGCCGCCTGCCCCCTGGCCAGGCTGTCTGCCCCTCAGCCAGGCCGCCCATCCCGCCTGCCCCCTGGCCAGGCCGTCTGCCCCTCAGCCAGGCCGTCTGCCCCTCAGCCAGGCCGTCTGCCCCCTGGCCAGGCCGTCTGCCCCTCGGCCAGGCCGCCCATCCCGCCTGCCCCCTGGCCAGGCCGCCCATCCCGCCTGCCCCCTGGCCAGGCCGCCCATCCCGCCTGCCCCCTGGCCATCCCGCCTGCCCCCTGGCCATCCCGCCTGCCCCCTGGCCAGGCCGTCCATCCCGCCTGCCCCCTGGCCAGGCCGTCCATCCCGCCTGCCCCCTGGCCAGGCTGCCCATCCCGCCTGCCCCTCGGCCAGGCCGTCCATCCCGCCTGCCCCCTGGCCCCGGGGCGGGCGGCGGGCAGGAGCGGGGCGACAGGCGCGGCCGCCGCAGGAGCGCAGGCTCCCCTGGCCCCGGGACACCTCAGGCCCCGGCCTCATTCCCTGCCCCCATCCACACCTGCAGCCGGACAGACAGACGGCGGACGCCTGGTGCTTGGCAGAGGGGCGAGCTGGCAGGCTCCGCCTGGGCAGGCAGAGGCGCGGGGGGCATGGCGAGCAGGGGACCCGGCCCCCCCGCCGGCCTGCCGCGCAGGGTGGGTGGCTGGCGCGGATCAAGCACCCCTCTCGCAGGAGAGCCCCTTCCCGCGGGCCTAAGCGACAAGCAGCACGCCACCTGCCACCCTCATCCCCAGGTAGCCCTGTATAGCACCACAATACAGTCACCAAAGAGAGTAATACCGTTTAGCTTAAAAAACTGTGCGAGCTGATGCACTGCCCTTTGCTGTATGTTTAATGACTGAAGAGCAGATGAGTCCAGATCAACCTTACCTAGCGTGGAAAAAGCTGCTTTCACAGCTGTCCCCGGTGAAATACCCAACTTGGTCTACACTGGATCAGCTTACTGATGTAGGCTTTTCATTTGTACGTTAAGGTGTTGAATTTAGTGTTACAAAATACTGTATGCCTGGCAGAATGGTAGCGGGGTATTTCGGGGCAGCTCCTGTTCTTCTGCATTCCTCTCCCCTGTTTCCCGCTGTGCTTGCTTTCATCCGTGGCTCCCTCCTGCTCGCCCTCACGCCACCTCCATCTGCAGCAGCCACTGCTCCAGGGACTTGGGCTTATTTTCCTCAGCTGGTGCCTCTCTTGCCCCTCCCCTGCTATAGTTTTGGCAGTAATACAATAATATTACAGTATCTCTTGTCTAGGCTTGATTAGAAATCTTAACATACCCACTTTGATTTTCTGCTGCAGCGAAGTTCTCCTGCTATCTGCTATACAAGATGGACTTCTTAACAAATATATTCCTTTTTAACAATTAGTGGTCTTTTTTCTGGCATTCCCAACATTCTCTGCTCTCATAAGCTTAGTCACTGTAAGGATTTTTAGTGGATGAATATTTTTCTGCAGAAAGCAGACAACATGACAGAAATACATGTAACACCCTGGGCAAGCACATGAAATAAAATGCAATGACAAAATTCCTTGTGCATGCATTGACTGTTTGACTTGAGTATGGATGGTAGGGTCCTGGCACAGCTAGATTACTGTGAATGCGGTGTGGCTCTAGATATTTATAAATAAAACAACCTGACTTTCATAAAGTCTATTTGCGTTATAAATGCATGTCCTTTGAGCTGGATTCAGCCTCTAGTTACTATCAAAAAGTTGCCTCCAACCTGGCTGGAATCCCAGGGGCTCTGATGTATCTTGATGACTTAGTCATACATGACCTGTCTCTGCTCTTTCACACCAGATGCTGCCAGAAAGATTTAAATTTTTTTGATGACACTCAGTTTATTTGCACAATTGTCATTTCTTACTGAATCTGTTGGTTTCCACAAACCACTGCAAGACTCATCACTGTTGCTCCCCAGCGCTTATGATAAACCAAACCTCCCCTTACTGGAAGAAACTGTTCATTCTCCATCTCGCTTTGGAAGCATAAACTTTTAGCTTTGGTTCATCCCAGTGCATTCCACTTGCCATTATTTACTAGCTTTTAGACATTTCTGTGGAATATTTGTTAGATTTTGGAACTCTTCTGGCACCCAAACAATCGAAGCATCTTTGGTATAAACTTCTGTCATGATGTGTATATGAGCTGTGCCCCAAATGTCTTTCCACATTCAGTGTGTTTGAACACAAAGCAAATTTTCATAATGTTTTACTTGCTTTTATTTCAAATACTCCATTGAAAATTTCCTCTCCAGTGCAAATTAATCTACTCATTCCTTCTCTCACTCCTCTTCTCTCTCCATTTATGCCTCTTTATCCTCTTTTATTTTATATCCTACATTTAGCATTTTTGCATTCTTACTCCTAAGAATAGATGAATGGGCAGGACCTTCTTGGTCACTTTGGTCCCTTGTATATCAACCTCTATCTTTTGTTTGTGTCCCACCAATACTCCAACTTGAAGTCTGTTCCAGGTCCTCACTGTTCTCATGTTTAAGAACTTTGTTCTGCTTTCTAAACTAGTCTCCTTCATTATTCTCCTTCATTTGCCTGTTGTACTAGCATTTGGGGAAAAAAAAAGAAAAAAAAACAAAAAACAACCAACAACACCTTACTTTCTCACTTTTGCTCTATATGCTTCCCAGTCTCTTTACCTGTTCTGTCTTTCCTCATTTTACACTAAACTATTTCTAGACTACCAGTGCCTATGATGCTCAAAGTACTTTCCAGATCTTCCGGAGTGGATATGCTCTGTGCCAGGGGTTCACAGCCCAAAGGGTATTAGTGGGCAGATGTGAGTGGAAGCAGGCAGAGACGTTCTACTCATGTTAACTAGAATCACACTGCGATTGAAAGACAGAGAAGGGAAAATGATGGAGAGAGATACCATGGCAAATGAGGCAATTCCTCACTGGAGTAAGAAACCAGTTCACTTCTTTATACTCCCCTTCAAAAGAACCCCTAGGTTCGAGAACAAGCTGTAAACAAGAGCGACTTCCAGAAAGGGGAAGGAGGACATCACCGATGGGGGACTTGGGGAAGAAGAGCTGTGAGAGCCTCTCCTTTATTTGCTGAGGAGGACAGGAAGCACTTCCCTACAGCTGATGCCTCATACTCCTGCTTTCCGTGTAGTCTCTCCAGTATGGGCACGGTGCCTGCTAGCATGCTTTTGTGCTTGTGCAAGCAGCCTGCCTGGAAAGAAATTAATGTGCTGTAGGCAAGGCAATATCACCCCAGGGCTGTGAGAAATCAGCAGCGTTTATATCTTTCATACTCCGTTCCAGAAGACACAAACACCGTGTGGCTACCAGGGAGTGGCAAACCTCGATGCGCAGCGCCTGTCTTAAACAGAAAGGTCGTGGAGCACTGCTATCTTTTTAACTTTTTTCTTTTTTTTTTTTTTTTTTAAATTGTGATTGATTTGTTATGCACTGTTCCACATAGCATTGCTTCTTCAGTGACAGGCTCACCTCCATTAATACCTGGTCATGCTACATGTGGTAACTGGAAGATAAAAATTTGCGGGGATTAAGAAGTTTGTTTACTCCTGCCAGTATGGAAACACTTCTAGTTAAGTATAGATCTGAAGAAAAGTAAAAAGAAGAGAAAAAAATAAAAGCCACAGATTGCTATGTGCATCTTCTGCAACCATCCTTCTTACAAGACTGCACATGGCAGCTTTGGGAAGCAGCAAAGAATGACTATGTAGAGAAGACTTGCACAACTCAAAACCAGAGGTGGGCTGTTGACGACAACCAGTCACTGACTTCTGTTGGAAACATGACTCTCTTTCCTCAAGGCCTGAAACTAGATTTCTAAACACGGGCACTACACATTCACAGGAGATGCCCAGCTTTTTATTATTATTCTATGGCTAACAGTTTATTTCTACTGCTATTACAGTTTGGTTAGACCTCTGTGCAGTGACATTAGTCTCCTACTCCCGTGCTCCCACTGCATAGGACTCACAGTTTATCCGGCACATCCGATTTGTTATGCAGATTGTGGGGCAAGAGGTAAAAAGCCCCTATACACACCACTTCCACCATGCCAGTCCAGCCCTTCCCTGTTTTCCTATTACGTATATCCACGTCTTTAATGTGGGTCCCACTTCTACAGCTTGAATTTTCGCTTCTCCCTGCCACTGCACATCAGTCACATACCCTGTAGCTCCCCTCCTGTCTCTAGCTTTTTAGCCCCATTTGCCCTTTCCCATGCCTCCCTTCATCCTCCACTCTCCTGCTACTCAGTGCCTGTTTTTTCATTTGATGCCACCTCCCTACAATGTCCTCACCCAAAAGTGTGATTACTTCTTTCAAAGTCCGCATTAGACAAACCAAGGTGCCCGTGGGCTGTAAGTCAGTCACAGGCTGTAGGCTGCACGGTTCTGACATGCAGAACTTAAGGAATATCTTAAAAAAACGAAGGAACAATTTAAGGAATGTCTAGAAACTTAAAATACTTCTCTTGAGGTAAATGTACAGTGCAACGCCATACAGATGTGTTTGAGCCTGCCTTAAACTCAGCTCTCCTGCACAATGCTCTGTCCTGCCTCATTTGCCTGCCTTCTAGGCAGGAACAAGCAAAATCCCATGCTCGTGTCGCTATACCACCGCTGATACCAGCGTCAGCTCTTCTATGGTTAGCTCATTTACTTCTGACTTTTGCAGACATACCATGAAGAAATTTTTTTGGGAGGCTCTTGAAGGGTGAAGACAACATACACATGAAAGAAGTGTTTAAAGCTTTTCACTTCTTTGACTTTGTTTTTATGCTTTTATATTCTGCTTGTGCTGATAAACTGGTTTTTAGGTCTATGGATTTTTATTTTAGACAGTCACTATAAACAATGTGTCTAGTAAGGACAGCCCCTTCAATCCAGCTTGCTTTTGGTTTTTGTTTTGTTTTTTTTTTTTTTTTTTCCTTACCACTTGCAACTGATTCCTGTCCCTCTTTGAGAGGGAGTCAACAGGAAGCATGGCACTGTGGAGCAGGATGTGTGACAGTGTTAAACTTCCTGGTGAGGCTCCATACTTTGTACTATCACAGCCGTAGGCATTAGTGCCATAAGTATTGATACTTACTGATCCCATGTATCACTCTAAGTGACTGCCTCTTTCTTAATGCGACAGCAGTTAGATTAGATGCACCACATACAATGCTTTGCATGGATAAAGAAATTTTGCAAATTTATGTTAAATGTGGTTTTAATTATTAAAAAAAAAAAAAAAAGAGAATATGCTAAAGAGTTGGTGGGGGGATTTTTTTAATGGAAGACAGAAAAAGAGTGGTTTATGTTTTTATTTTGGTTGAAAAATAATCATCATAAAAACCAAGCCAACAGTTTCATGTTGTAAGTGCCAATATAGAGAAATGCTGACAATGCTACCTTTTAGCCATAAGAAAACATGATCAAATACATTTATTGATGGGTGAAATATTCTAGTCATGACAACGTCATGCTTGCCAATGCCATCTCAGGCCTGAGTTACAATACATTCTCTAATGAATGACATAATAACATGCTTTCCACCCATCAATATCACTTTGTCATTCAGCCTAAAGGTCAGATGACAGAACGGCTCAGGATTTATTTTTATCAACCCTGTACAAGGAATGAATTCCCACTTCCCAGTTACTTGGATCCCCGCCTCCTTTATTATTCAGCCTTGCCTCATTCAGCAGGCAGCATCTGGAGAATACATTCTTCATTTTCCGCATGAGTTGCAAGGGTGGGCAGTGGCCAAAGCAGGGCTTCCACGTGAACAAGGAACAATGTTTATTTGATGTGCAGAGAGCATTTTATTTTCCTAAGATCTTTACCTAAGAGATGACAGCTAGTTGATCACGAAGCCTGTGAGAGCTAGAAGTAGCTTTGTGTTTGCCAGCCTTTGCCCCTGGGCTTGTCAGGCGGTTGTACAAGCCCTGCAATTCAAAGCATTCAAAAGAATGTTTTCTTGCAACACTTTTTGTTGAGCGTAGCCAAGCCTAGATTGAAGGTTTCTGGCAGACTCTATGCATAGACAGTTACAGCACATATAATCACTTTTTTAAAAAAACTCGCAATGACTACATTTACAGGCGTTTAGGCAGGAGAATAGATCGACTTGTTCTGTATAGTGCAGGAAAACCTGAGTGAAGCATTTGGGGAGTTAGATAAAAAAAAATCCGTTGCTGGAAGCAGCAAAACAAATCAAGAGATGGACTAGGTTGATTTTTGGGGATCTACTTATAAATCCATTGCACTTTCACTTTCAAGAGAAATTTTAAAAGCCCCCCCCTAAAAAAACCCATGGGACTCTAAAGAAGCTTGTGCTACGGCGGCAGTCGCGGTGTCCGAAAGGATCCTGAGAACATTCGGTACCTACTATTTTTAATGATATGATGGAAAATTGTTTCATGCCCGAGAAATAAATGCCTTTTCTATACCTCAGGGGAAGAGCTGAGCAGTCCCGAGGGACTTGCCATGCCCAGGCTAGTCTTTAATCCCTCGGTTCCAACTGCACGCGGAGCTGGAGCTCCAGAAAGCCGCGCTCCCGTCCCAGCCGCGTGCCTCGTAAGGAGCTTTTCTTCCCGCTCGCTGCTTCCCCAGCCATCTCGGGGGAATGAGGCCGATGCTTCGGCGTGCCGCAGCACAGCCCCGTCTGCGCCCGCCGGTCTGCACTGCCACCTGAACAGCAGCAGGTCGGTCAGACTGACCCGCTCAGCCTACGAAGCGACCCATCTTTTATTACTTTGTGATTACACAGTAAACCGAAGCAAAACAGAGAAAGCGCAGAGCTCAGCACTATCTGCTTCTTCGCTGGAAACTACGCTTGCAGACATCTACAGCCCAAGTGCTGCAAATATAAACCTGGGTTTCTGGCTATCTGACATCAGCGGGAGTTTTTTAATATCGAGGTTCACGATGCACACCTTTTTGTGTGTTTTGCTACACTGCAATAATTTTCAGTCAGGCTTCACCAGGAGCATGCCACTTCCCCCGCAATGCGCATCGTTCCGCTGACTTAAAGGACGCGCGGCTGCTCTTCGTATAAATACTGTCAGCGGCTCGGTCTAAATTAAGAATTAACAAGCCCAGAAGTCTCGGATCCGCTGTATACAGGCCCTCCGCGACTCTCCAAGTCGGCTCGCGCATTCCTGGCCCCCGAGGAGCCGTTGTGGCGCCCCCCGACCATGAACTCACCCCTCACTTCCCCCGCTCCCGCCTTCTCCGCTCCCTCCCGCCCTCCGGGGCCGGGGCGCGGGCCCGGCGGGACGGGGCTGAGGGGAGGCGGGACAGCAGCGTCCCCTCAGGGCGGGCGGCGGCGGCCGCGGGCAGGTGAGGGCGGGCGCGGGGGGGGGAGAGGCGGCGGCGGAGCCCCCAGCACGGCCGGTCCCCGGGGTCCCGCTGCGGGGGCGGCGGGCCGAGCGGCCCCGGGGACGGGGACACGCGTGGCGCTCGCTCCCGGCCCTCCACCCGCCGAGGCCTCGGCTTCCCTTCCCCGCCCGGGTCCCTGCGGCGTGCCCGGGGACACGGCCGGTTACCGGCGGTGAGGGCGGGCGCCGGGGCGTGGCGCGGCCGCGGCTGGCGGGCGCCGGCGGGGGACACGGCCGTGCCGCCCCCCGGGCGGCCCCGCTGGCCGGTCGGGCCCCCCTCGTTCCGCAGCCCCCGCTGTGGCACCCGCTGCCCCGCTGCCCGCCCGGGGCTGGGCGCTGCGGCCTCTCGGGCTGGAGCGCGTTGGGCTTTTCCCCGAGGCGTCCCCGCTGGGCGTACGGCCCCGGCGAACGCTGCCCGACGCTCCCGTTCAAAACCCGGAGCGCGGGGTGGGTGCGGGTTTTCGCAGGGGGTTGGCTCCGGCTGGAGCGGAGGGGTAGAGGTGCCCGGCTGAACTCTCGCCCACCTTTCGAAAATAACTCGTTTTGATTCAGGCTTTGGGCTGAAGGTTATCCCGGCTGTCATCGGTTTTCGACTCGCCTTTCCAAGACCTGAGGTAAACTCACTTTGTCGCTGGAAGTCGCTTTGGCTCCTTGCAAAGGCTCCTTTTCCGACGGCACCAGCACTTCACGTCCGGGTGCTGCTCAGGCAGCCGGGGGTGATGCTGGAGGCTAATCCAAGGGGAGACCTGTCGCCACACCCCTGGGCATCAGGAACGTGAGGTGGCACCTGGGATTCGTTCTGTGATGCGGGCTGCTGCTCGAAATGTGCCTCAGCTATTGCCGTGAGAGCGCTGCGGCACTGTTTCTGCAGCCCGAGAGAGAAGTGGCCCAAGTCCGGTGGCTCTCCAGCCGTGGCTCCCCCGTGGCACGGGTTCCTTTTTACTGCCGTGACACCAAGTCCGGGCTGGTCGGGGGTTGTGCTGCTTGGGGGCATCGTCTGCACGACGCCTGGGGTGTTTGGGTGCAGAACAGAGTCCTGGTGTTTTGAAGTCCCCTGCCATTCACACTGTTCATGTGTTTCTGCATCAGCGGGACAAAGACTGGAATGGTTTATATATTTCCACATGGGTATTTAAACCCATGTAAGAGGAATAAATAACATGTTCAGCTCTGCAATGAAGAAAGAGGGAGGAGGCTAAGTCTTGGGATTATTATTTTATCCCATTTTTGCTTTTCCCTTAGGAAAAACTGCTTCATGACAATAGCTAGCAGTTGGCCTGCTAGTGATTCATAAATATTCCTCATTCATTCATCTTATTTATTAAAAGAAGAACCAAGTAAGTGGCAAAACACCATGTCTCAAAGCGATACACTCAGCCAATATATGCTACCTTGCTTTGTCTGGCGTTTTGTTTTGTCTTCATATGTGGTGTCTCATTCACGGTTGGGCCTTATACCACATACACCTACATGTATACACACATAATTCTTTTTCTTTGTGAATCATCTTGTAGTCTTATAGGCAAAGTTATGAATCTCTTCACAAAATTGTCTCAGATACTCCCAGGTTTAGTCATAAATTGAATTATAGCAAAGGTAAGGTATAATGCAAAGCCATAATAGAATATTATACAACTGGCTGACAGCAGGCCAAAACACCACACTATGCTATTTTTCTAGCATATCTGTGTGGAAACTTCCACAGCAGCTCTTTTTTATGATAATTTATAGGGAAGAAAGGAAAACTATATTACCAATTTCCTACTTTCCCATTTCTGATTATGGGACTCCCTGTCAAATCTGGCTCCAGCCTTTCTTGACATGGGGAGTAGCTGTCCTTTTAAATTTATAATATTATTTTCCTTGAGGAAAATCTTGATCTCAACCTTCTGCAGTTTATTATTGGCTGGGCCTGTGGAGCTGGTCTCCAGTTCATATTGACCTGTACATGGCGATAGTTTAATTTCTTTAAAACATAATAATTCCCCAGGTTTTTAAGAAGAGCTGCCAATCAAGAGATCTATCATGACTGGCAATCCACATAAGAGACTTGCCTGGCGTGACTGTGAGTATTTCAGGCTTATTTTTGCATAGATCCCATGTTTTCCTGGATAACTTCCAGCTTTGTTTGCAGCATTGTGGTGTGCATACTGCTGGCTGCGTACAAGCCATTCTGAAGCTGTGACACTCTCACCTGTGCTGCATGTGGGGTACTGTGCTGACCTTTCTGTGTTTTTGGAGGAGGAAACTGGGAATGACTGGTCAAGTGACTATAAACAAAGCTCCAACAGCTGCAAACCTTCACCTCTCTCTCTCTGGAGTTAACATCTGTCACTGCTGCTTCTGTGTTGAGTGGAGGAGGAGGGCTGGTTGAATGCCAACCTCCACAGGCTTGCCAGCCCAGCACCCTGCTCGTAGGACTGACGACTGAAGGAGCTGGTGCCAGTCTGCACCATATAGAAGCCTACTGTCACAGAAAGATTATTTCTGAAGATAGTCTCATTTCCTTTATGTATTATTAACTGAGGAACAGTCTATCTAGTGAACCTTTGTAACCAGGTCAGTTGTTGTAATATTTGATCTTAGCAGAGAGTTCTGACCGGTCTGATCCATGTGGTACATTTACAGCCAGCTTACAGTAGATGGGTAATGGGGGACTGGGATACTCCAGGTAATGTTGGTGCTGACAAAATGGACAGAGATTTCAGAAGTCCACAAAAAGTAAACTTAGATACAGCAAGGGCATTTAATCAACTAGAGCCAGCTTAGCTCATGCGGAGTATTTTGGGAATGAACAGGAAATGCCAGAGTCCTCCTAGAACCTCTGTGCTGAGGAACAGAGGCATTACTGTTACCGCTTCCATTTCTGCCTCAACTACTTGAGGCTCTGGGCTGCCTCTGCTGCCAGTTGCAAGTGGAGCTAGCCCAGCCAACTGCACAATGGTGCTGAGATACAGTTGTTGTTCTGTAGAACTTAAACTGGACCTTCATGCCCATGATTTCCTGTGCAAGCACGTGACCCATCACAGCCTGGAGCTGATACTGCCAGAACCACCATTACACTTGACATAAATGATGTGAGGAAAGGAAGTTTCACCAGCCTTGCAATTAAATCAGGATCTGCTGCTGGTGCTGCTATTGCTTCTGGTAGGACTTCAACATATAATTGTTAAGAAATTCTTTTTTATTGCATAATGCTTCTAATGTGCATGTAGTGATCTGTCAATATTTGAATGCCTATTATGAGTTCTGATTCCCAAGACTTAGGAGAGATATCTTGGGAGCTGGAAGAATTGCCATTTGACAAATTGGACTTAGATTTCAGGGCTTGGATTTCAGCATACAAGACACATTTTCTTTCAAAGCTTGAGGGTAAGTATATATGGATGAATAAAAAGACATAACAGCGAGTAGACGTGTAGGACTGAGAGCAGCTTTCCAGATTAAGAACATTGTTCAGCATAATAAGACGAGAGGTGAGCTGTATGTGTACAGGGTACCACAGAGTACAGGTAAAGGAGACAACTCAAGTGAATCGTTTGGTTAAAGTATAAATGTTGAGTTTCCCTCATTGCTCTTTACAACAGATGCCTTTGATTCAAAGCACAGACAAGATCCCGAAGATTCCCACGAGGCCCAGAAGAAGAAATCAAAAGAGAAGGAAAGAAGACTGGCAGTTAGTCAGTGGGACATGGATGTACAAGCCCTCGTTTCATCTTCTAAATGGCTTCAACTTCATGGGCTCAAAAGAAACAAATTGTCCCTATCCCAGATTTTGTCACAGATTGGATTCCAGCACAGGAAAGGTATAAGACAAATCAAAAATGGAATAATAAGAAAACCCTTGACTTTGAATAGTCTATAGAGTCACAATCATTTTGCACCCCAGTGTACACAGAGGAGATTTTCACAATGTCTCTTATGATAATGGCAGAAAGGGAAGCTGTATCCACAGTTGCTGACATTGCCAGTTCAGAGAATTGAGGAACTCCACCTCTTCTTAATCTGAGAAGATTTAGGATCTGAGAAGGGCTTTCCCTACTCAACTGTACTGTTGCTTTACCCTAGGCTCCACTTCAGAACCTCTCCAATTTAGCTATAGCTGGGAAATAACTTGTGCTGCTGAGGCTGTTAGCTTTTTTCCTGAAAATAACACACCGTAAGATCTCTATCCATTTTTAGATGGCAGATATAATGTATGCCATACCATAATCTGCCATCTACTAGTTGGTCATCAGGGCTGGCTAACCTCCCTGGGAAGCGTATATTTCCAGGGATCCAGCTTTAAGGAAGCTGTTAAATTTGGTTAGAATTCAGTCTGCTTTTCGTGCAAAGTCAGACTATAGAAAAACGTTCATCTGCAGTTAATTGACAGCTGGAGGGGAAGAGTTTGCTGATAATTATTAATCACTGCCATAATAGTGCTTTGCAGAGCATGGTAAGATATTCTTTTCTTTGAACAGCTTGCCGTCTGAGAAGGAGGAATTGTAATGTATTGCAATTGTTCTAGGTTGCATAATTTAAAATTTTGGCTGGCTTGCGTCCATGGGGCATTCAAAGATCAACCCTGCAGATCCTGAAATCCTGTCTGCTGTAGATGAGGAAGAAGCTGTTAAGCAGGGTTAATGTTGTTACAGTGTAATTTTAGGAGCAGAACGTACTAGCTTAGCAGGGCAGCATGCTGTACAGAATAGCTGCTTTGTGACGTTAAATATTCCCACCCCTAATGTTTTCCTATCAGTGGAGATCCTGTAGATTTCTAGCTACTGAAAGAGCAGAGTGCAACCTTTTCCTTAGTTGCACCCACTTCTGCACTCATTTAATTGTGTAAGAGAACATCATTATCTGTACCAGATTTTTTATTTTGTTTGATGGACAAATATTTGCAAGTCCTGTTGTGAGGTAAATGGATAATACAGAAGTTTAATTGCCTAAACCTTTAATTTATTAAAGTCCCGTGTAGCTTTTTGGCTTATAAATGATTGAATGTTTTTTTTTTTTTTTTTCCCCCCACTTCTGGCTAAACTGGCAAGGAGCAGCAAGAGCAGGGCTGCTCCATGTGGGGTGAATGGGCCAGGAGCCAAAAGGCACCGCAGCCCAGGCAGTGCCCTCGCCGACCAGGATGCAGACCTGCAGCATCTGAGTGGCCCCGGCTGTCCCAGACAGGGTGAGGTGGTGAGCCATGCCTGGGGTTCCGCCAGGAGCAGCAGGAGATGGAGCCAGAGCCAAGGCCACAACAAAGGGCTTCGATCCTAATCCAGGAGACAGGACTGGAGACAAGGCTATAATGTAGGGCTGAGGGGTCTATCCAGAAGAGAGGTCCACTCACAGAACTTGAGACAGCTACACCTACAACACAACTAAAGCAAAGCCTGGGTGCCCAGGGCCCCGTGCCCCGCGAGTGGAAACCCCAGCTGAGGCTGATCAGGGTAATCAAGGCCTGTTGGTGCCCTCAGGGCCCCATCATAGACATAGCCAGAAAAAAAATGTAAAGCAAGATCATAATTGGAATTTCTCTCGAGTTTCTTAACATGAAGAGTTCAGTAAAGATGCGTGTGCCTTACGCATCTGTATAGTTCGGTACAGATGGTATGCACATTAACCTGAAAAATACTTGTTTGAAGTAATCCTTATGATTATCAACTTGATCTTTTGTGACCTTCACTGTAGATTATGTGGCCACCTTGGGGAAACTTGTGGCTTCTCGGTATGCGGATGGCTTGTTTCCTCAATACAAGAGAGCACAGGATGGCAGCGTGTATAATGTAAGTGTGACTGACTGGTGCTAACTTCCCTGTGCACTTAGAAGTTACTATCACTAGCAGAATGATGTGACTAAAATATCTCCCTATGGCATTAAATACTTAGGTTCTTTGTGAGAACTTTATCTTTTGATCATTTTTTCCCTTGTTTTGTCAAACTGTTGGTGATAACAATCAGTGGTAGGGAAGCTAGATAACTCTCTCTTTTTTTCCCCTTGCAAAGTCTTATGCTTTTGCCTTCGTGCAGCATTGCAGTAAATCTTTCCAGACAAGGCTGCAGTTTCTAAGCAACATTTACCCTGTCTTGAAAGAGGGAACACTTAAAAAGAAGATGCTTAGCTGAGTTAAAAAAAATAAAATCATAGTCAGTAAAACAAATGGGGATGCTGAAATAAGAAGATATAATGCGCTGTCATTGCCAATGCAAAGCGCTGCTTTGCTTAGTGCCAGCAGGTCACAAAAGGCTCAGCCTACTCTATAGAGACAGCTAGCTGGATCTCTGCCCAGGCTCCTGTTCTAAGGAATGTCTTAGCAACAGCTGCTGGCGGCCCCATTGTTAAGAGGATGGATTCTGATTGAAGAGATACGCATGTGAGCGAGGAGGGGAGAGAGTTAATTCATGAAGGATTTTACAAAAGCAAATGGCTTGTCATTTTTTCTGATAACTGGAGTCACTTCTGAGGCACAAGGCTTAAAAATGGGAAAAGAACCATTTCAGGGAACATTTTTGTCTATTTTTTTCACATTAATTCCATATGAAGTATCTACATAATATCTTTAAATCTTAGGACATGTTATGAGCAGCCGGAAAGACGTTTCTGGTATCATTAAGGTAGCAATGCTGTTAAACAAGATCTGGTGAGATCTCATTTAGGATATTGTGTAGAATATTGTGTACAGTTACCACGTGTTGAGACGAAGCAAACCAAACCAGAACAGGTACTGGTAAGAGCTAGTAGGATGAACTGCAGTGGAGCGCTGATCTTATAAAAGGGCTTGGTTGATGCTGACGTACGTAAAACTGAAGAAGACTGACAAAGGGTAGCATTATTGCCCTTGAATGCCTAGAGAAAGGCAAATTACAGGGATAGGAAAAAGCTGTAGTTTTCTATGCTAAAAGACATGCTAGTCCAAGAATAAATGGGTATGAAGTGCTGTGAATAAATTTAGGCTGGACAGTCAGAAGTTTTCCAGCTCTCAGGGAAATGGGAATCTGGACTGGCCAAGTGAAGGGGTGGTGCAAGAAAACTGCTTTATTTTAAGATGGAGCTTGATTGGTGTAGTGCAGTAAGCCTCTTTGTATGAGTCTGGCTGTCATAAGAGGAAACTGGATTTTCTAAGTGCTTCTTCCCAGGCCTACATTCCTTTGGCAGACAGCCTGAGACTCTGTATCTGGGAGGCACATTACAGGGCCCTAACTGACATTAAAGAACAGAAGGAAATAGAGATGAGTGGAAGAAGTATGCAGACTGACACACAAAATATCTTCTCCCTGAGAAATGCTGTTGTTTAAAAACATTTGTATCTCCAAGGTTTTGTACTTAGTCCGGAATGGTAGTCGGGGGTAGGAGGTAGCTGGTAAATTAGCTTACATGGCTCGGAGATATTGGGGGAATGCCTTTACTGGAGCCTGCGGTGAATTTTTAAACCCACGGATCATTTTGCACAGTGAATGTGTATACATATATTCACAGGGAGGGTCTGCTGGTTTTAATTCTAATACTGAATCTAGGTTTTTCTCATCTTGTATTCTGATATTGTATGGGAATTATATCATCTGATATTGTATGGGAATATTTAGTTGTTGATTGCAGTTGTCTCAACCTAATTTATCTAAGCACCTACCCACAAATAGTTAATCTGTAATGCAGGGCATTGTTAGTGAAATAGTAGTAGAAACAGGAAACACTTTACATTTCCCTTTCAGATGCTAAAGACAAGGTGGAGATTGAAGTGTCCCAAAACCAAACCCCATGCTCCCTTGTATCATTGTACAAAATTTTAAGAGCCAGTCAAAATTCTAGTCTAAGAGGGTACAAAGTTTCTGTGCCCTTGTTTGTTCACCCATCTGCTCTGCAGCTCTTTCTACATCCTTGCCTGTGTTCAGCTCATTCTAATTGCTCCAGTCTTGAGACAGACAAGTCAGACAACCCATTGGCACTGTCCCATGCTCATACAGAAAGATTATGAAAAGCAATTAGGACAAAATGCAGTGTCTTTTCTTTATAGCTTAGATGCATTTGTCAAGTATTTGCTCTTGAAACAGTGGAAGAAAAATGGGTTATTTTCACTCCTACCTTGGCTGGCATATCTGGCACTTGCAAACCAGCTATTGCAGCTGTTCTAAGCTTGGGGCTGCATTTGTGTTATTTGTTCTGATGTTCAATTTCTTTCTCTCCCTTATTTAAATAAAGCTGACAGCCAAAAAAGAACTGATTCTTCATTTTGTGGATTGTCTAATGGGAGCTATTGAGCTATATAAGCAGCGAATGGAATGGTTAACCAGTGAGAGCCGGCAGATATTTGGAGTGATTCAAGAACGGTGCATTGTCATTGTTTTGGATTTTGGCACTGTGGCTCCAAGAGAATTTGATCTATGTCTGGATGCACTTGCTATGGTACTTGTGGAACAGGTGACCCAAATTGCCAAATTCAACCTCATTCGGTAAGCAGAAAGAATCATATAATCGTAGAATTACAGGATGGTTTGGGTTGGGAGGGACCTTTAAAGGTCATCTAGTCCAACCCCCCTGCAGTGAGCAGGGGCATCTTCAGCTGGGTCAGATTGCTCAGAGCCCGTCCAGCCTGACCTGGGATGTTTCCAGGGAGGGGGCATTGGCGCATCTGCCACCTCTCTGGGCAACCTGTTCCAATGTCTCACTGCTCTCATCGTAAACAATTTCTTCCTTGTATCTAGTCTGAATCTACCTTCGTTCAGTTTAAAACTATTACTTTTTGTCCCGTTGCCATAGGCCCTACTAAAAAGTCTGTCCCCATCTTTCTTATAAGCCCCCTTTAAGTATTGAAAGGCTGCAGTCAGGTCTCCCCAGACCCTTCTCTTCTCCAGGCTGAATGAAGAAGTCCATACCTGCCCACTGCTGGAGAATAAAAAGGAGTCACATACCAGATAGGCACGTTTGGATAATACACTTTCTGTAGTGGAAATTGTCCTGATTCGTGTCATGGTAACATCTGTAGATTTTCCACCAAGTTTCACCCACAGTCATGCTGAGCTTGCTACTTCCATTTAAGAGAAGACCATTGTTACCCTGAAGAGCAGACAAAGACTAACAAAACCCAGATACTCATATATGCCTTCCACAAACGCAGCACAGAAAAACAGAAAGATAAGGAGGACTTTACAATGGAAGAAATGCTCTTCAGGCATCTAAGTATTACAGCGTCAAACAGTGAGGTCCAATTTGACTGCCTAGGCATTATGTCTTTAGGCATTACAGGTTTCTGCCTTACAACTAACTATTCACTCCCCCAAGTGTCCTAGGCACAGGCATAGTCATTTGTATTTCTATAGATTTCCATGGTCACAGAAATCAGTAGCAGAAGTAGGAAACAATACCAGATTTCCATAACAAAAGACAAGTGCTTGTTCCCTAACATGAGTAAATGCATTTGGATTTAGTTGCAAGTAGAAGAATAGAAGCAGCTATTCAAATTTATGTATCTCTGCACATATTCTCATATATACATAAAGGTTTGAGTGTGTAAGCTTGGGTTTGGATAGATGAGTGGAATTTTGTGACTAGGAAAAAAACGATGCACAAATTAGGTCATATAATTTTAGAATTGGTTCCACAATAATAACTTGCATCTACACTGTGATTCTTAAAGTTGTTTTACACCAGCTTTGTCCTCCAGATTTGATTCTGGTGCCCTATCTTAGTTCTCTAGCTTGTGATACAATTGAGATTTGAAAAGTAGAAGATAACTTCCATAGCTTTTGAGAAGCACATAAAACATTTTCTTTAAAAATTATCTGCAAAGCCAAGTCAAAATTGAGGCACAGTAATTGTGTTCATCTATTTGTTTGTTTGTGCAGGAGGGAGACAAAAGACAATATAGCATATCCATTATTACTTTAAAAGAATCTTGGAAAACATTCTTGTCTTTTAGATTTGCAGGAAACTCTTCAAAATAGTGCTTGAGGGAATGCCACAGATAGTGGAACCAGCTGGGTTTTGCTTTGCTTTCTGTCTTTTCATGTACAAATGCACAGACATACATGCTCATACACTTTGTACTTCTGTACTGCCGTTAAGACAAAGGCCTTTGATCAATTACAATATCAAAAAGCTTAGCATCACAAGTTTTATTTTGGTGGGTAGATAAAGATCAGCCCTACTACAAAAAAAGTATGGCAGTTAAAATGGCCTGACACAGAGGTCACGCAGCAAGCTGTGGAAGCCAGATTTTTATTTCATACACGTATTTTAAAAACTGGGTTGTGTTTTGATGTTAAGGGGAGGTATGAATTAGGAACTGTTTTTAAAGTACTTTAGCTCTTTTGACCCTACTTCTGAAACAGTTGTCTCAAAAATTCTTATAAAAATGGCAATTTTTCTAAGGCTTTTATTTTCCCTCTACTTTTATTGCAAGTCTAGGTTTCTTATCTGTGGTTTATTGTAATTATTACTTAAGAATGGAATGGAACAATAGCAGAGCTCCACTCTTGTGCTCTGCCAGCATTATTCGCACTATTTCTAATTTATAGTTGATGTAATTTTCAGGGCTGCTCAGAATCTTCTGAAGTGGCAACAGAAATCTACTCCTGTGTCTGAGCATACTGTAAAGTCTGCTGTTACATGGCTCTGGAAGCTGGACCGCATGACAGCTGCCAGCCATACCAACTCTGCTGAAGCCCTGCTGGAAGCCATGGGTGATGAGGCGGTAAGCTCAGACATCTTTTCAGAAGCCTCAAGTAAATCCAAGAATATTCAGTGCCAGACTAGCTACTGTGATTTGCCCTGATGAATATTGAAAAGATAAATATTAATGAGAGCATTTGGAAAGTTGTTTTTTTTTTCCCCAAGTGTAGCTGCATACTATGTTTACTGATGGCCTGTTTATGTAAATGTACTGTATTTTGAATGCAGAAACTTGTTTATTTCCTTTTCTAGAGTACACAGAATAAATAACTTATCCAGTCATTAAGGGAAAGAGAAAACATCTTCCCTTTCACCTCGACATATATGTTTTTCAGGGCTTCAAGTTTATGAGAAAATTGCTAGTATCAACATTATTGAAGACAGGGAAACCATTCTTATTTTGTTACGTGTCCAAAGCGCTCATGAAAAATTATATTTAAAATCCACAATAGTAGTTACAGAGATTTATTTAAGTATTAACTCATGGTAGGGATATGCAAACCTTTTTCACCAGCCAGGTTATAGCTAGATTTTCTTCCAGGACAAAAAGACAAAGCACGCACAGGTATTGCTGCAATTAAATTCTGTCTGTTACTAAAAGTACCATATTACTTTATTCATTGTAGCAGAGTCACAAGACTTAAACTGTATATGCCATCTTTTGAGCTAGTCACTTAAAACTTGGGCTATTAGAGATATTTTATGAAATTTGCTTGCAATGTACGTTGTTACAGTTCCCTAGCACCCAACTTTAATGGAAAATTGGGCCTACTGTGTATGGACCCGGATCATTGGTTTTCATTGCCATTAAGATCCAACCCTGTGCACAGATCCAATCCTCACTCCTTTGTAAATCTCATTCTGAGACCTTACTTGAAGGAGAAGGTAAATTTGGCTTCAGTTTCTTTCTGGTTCTCTGTGCTGGTGGATTTTCATCCAGATAAACCTTGATGTTTGGAAACTTACATTAAAGAGGAACTGGGTGAAGAACAAATTGTGCAACAGTGAGGGTTTTTTTGTGATTGCTTTTTAAAATGCCTCCTTCATAAATGGTATTAACATTTTCAATTTTTAGTATATTACTGATTTCCTGGTGGGAAACAAAAAAGACTGTATTCAGATTTCAGTATTGTCTGGATGAAAAAAAAATCTTGTTGGACCTGGTGGGTCTGCATATGAATAAACAGAAATTAAAATCTGTTCAACAGTGAGATACCTATTATATTTTTTTCTGGACATTGGTGGGCTAGTGGGTAAGCTGGGGGAGTCACTTGTGGCAGGTGCTCAGCATAAACCAAACCTCAGTTACTCCTAAATACAGTCATTATTATTCATAACTGACAGTTCACTTGAGTGCAGGCTCCACTGCACTGCAGGCTGGGGGAGACCCCATTCAGTCCCAGGCAAGAGCTGCGTACTCACTGAACGGTTGTAAATGACTCATTCCTCAGAACTGGCTTCATCAACAGAAATTGCTCTGAAACAATAGCTCTTTTTTTTCCCTAGACTTGGCTTTTCCTGTCATTCCTTTAGCTGAGCTTTTCTTCCCATGTGTGGTGACTCCCCAGATTTCCTTTCCTCATGACCTCTCAGTCCCAAGCTCAGAATCGCTCTGCTGCAAGGTTGCAATCCTCTGAGCTCTGCCTGCCACAGGTGCGTCCGCAGTGTTTAACCTGCGGTTCCGTACAGGTGCCGCTCTGCAAAGTGTGGGTCACCCCCCCAAAACACACCTCCCTGCCAAGGTGAAGACTCTGAGGAACTGCTCATGCTCTTCTCCTTTGTGTTCTTGTATGAAGTTTGTTTGCTTGTTTAGGTGGCTGCATAAATTATCATTTTCAAAATACGAAGGACTAAATGGAGAAGTTTTAACCTTTCCCCACTAATCTGTAAGGGACATTTCCTTTGTGGTATGGTACTGCTGGGTTTGTAGTTAAGTAGAGTGAATTATCTGTGGCTAGCAATTTATTTTCTTGTGAAGTGTTGGTTCTGCATCAGCAATGCCCAAGAAATGTCAGCATTTTGAAAGCTGCAGAGGCAGGCAGTAAATAAGTCCTTTGGAGGAAGTGTGAAAAATTGATATCCTTATTGAATATCAAGTTTATGAATTATTGTCAGTCTTAAGAGTAAGGGAGAGAAGATGTGAATCTGAAGGAACACAGGGAAAAGTGGTTGTGCAATATGCATGCATTCCCTCAGGTCAGGAGCCTCTTCAGCAAAAGGAATAGGAACAAGGTGTTGTCCAAGGACCGGGTCTCAGCTAGGAGAGCTTTATGCATGCTTGGATAGCTTTTTAGCTGGATGAAACAGAGAGGGAACCTTGTTAGAAAAAAAAAAAAAAAAAAAAAAAAAAAAGCACAGGTAGGTGCAAGAGTTCTTTCATTTTGTTTCTGTGCACCTTTTTCTAAAGCTAGTAAGTATTTTGTTAATCTTGCACTCTAATGAAACACACTTACTCTTTTCTTTAACCTTAATATTTGTCTAGTATTAACAGTGATGCCAGGACACCTGGCTGACCACAGACCTGCTTGCTCCCCAGGAAGTGTAGCCTGTAACTATGGGCTCTGCCTCCCACATGGAGTGTCTCTCCCCTTCTACGAGATCCAAGGGAAGCCTGAGGTGGCGAGATGCTGCCACATTAATTTGCCTGGTCTAGCCTGAGATTGGGCTGCCTGGGAGAGATGTCTTCCAGTGTTGACCCAAGATGTCTTCCAGGATTAGTCCAAGTATTTGTGTCAAAAGGTAGAGGAGGGAGAGAGCTTGAAATCCAGAAGTCCATGTCAGTTTGTATCAACATGCTTATGATGTGGGACAGTACAGGGATCCTACAGCCTGGAAGCTTCTAGTAGACAAAAAACTGGACAAAAAATGTTCATGTGCCGGTCTGTTGACTCAGGAAGATGAAATTTATAGATCAGCATCAAAGGCAGCAGTGGAAATGCATGAGCACACTTACAGGTGATACTGAATTTGCTTTACTAGTGCATGAAATGATGTGGGTGCAGTGCCATCCCAGACTCAAATAGTTGTATTCTCTTTTGCGGTGCATGTCCTGGGATTCCTAGACATATTGGAGTGTATTTTCTCAGTTAAACAACTTTTTAGTAGATATTTATCATTTGGTATGTACCATGCAATAGGGATAATATGCTATACTTACTGTCTTGAGCATCATCATGAGATAGCCGTAGTTACACTTGTTTTTAATGATGGTGAAAATTCAAGAAGCGTACTTGCCATGAGGATTGTTAGCATGGGTAAGTGTACGTAACATCAAATCCCTCATAACGTAGCACTCAAGAAATGGCTAAAGGACATTTCTTCAGCTTCTATCTTTTCTCACAATAACATTTTCAGAATATAAGTGTGTGTGGTCATAATAAACCTGCCAAGCTCCCTCTGCCTTGAAAAGTGCAGAAGATACAAATTATCTGTAAATACCAGCAGTATTTAGTATTACAGATACAGCAGCATTCAAAGAATGATGCATCTTTCCTACCCTCAGAATACATGCTTCCAGTAAAAGTATGTCTGGTGTAAAATTTCCTACTGATTTTCAGCCCTGGCAAGGCACCACCATAGCATTTCTCTTCATAAAAGTGGAACGTGGCACAGAGCCTTGTCCTGACTAATACAGTTGTTCTTCCTGACACCTCCCTTTGGTTTCAGTTAACTTCTGTGAAAAGGTATTTGCATTGGGCAGAATCAGACCCAGGGGCTGTGGACCAAGTTCTCTTCTCACTTCAGGAAATTTTGTGTAGACTTCATTTGAATTACTAGTGTAAATGAGAGGGAGAACCAAAGATCTGAAGATCTTATTATAGCCCAAGTAATGCATCAGTTCTACCAAACTTTCCTACATGTACTGAGCACAGGACAGTTCTTCAATAAGTACCAGGCACCTATTAAAACAATGTCTTCCAATTCCCATTTTTTTTCTGTTTAATGACAGGTCGAAGCCGTTTATTACTTTGCTGTGGGTGACGTTCCAGTGGACACAAAGCAGCTACTCCTTGAGAAGGTTTCTGATGGCCCCTGTCCAGTCAACACTGTATCGTTCAATGCTAGGGAAGATGAAACTATTATTTTTCTGAAAGAGTTGAGCTGCTTGGCCTCTGGCAGGTACGAGAAAAAAGCAGCACAGTAGTGATTTCAGTACTTGTGCTTTGCTTCTAGGAATTGTATCAGAAGGTATCTGAATATAATCCCTGTTTTACTCATGAGGAAAGTGAGGCAGAGCAGTTCAGTAAGCGACCTGGGGAAACTGGGGAAGTAGTCTAAGGGATATGACTGAAATGCAGGACCTACCTGAACAGAGCAGCTTCTCTCCACATACATGCTCACTGGCTTGCAGAAAGGCCATTCCTTTTTTATACCCTAAATAGTCTGTCATCTCTTCTGAAGTCTGAAAAATTCTTCAGGAGAAAGGGTCGCAACATAAACTGAAACAAGTTTTTCTCGTATTTCTTTCTACTCTGGTAATGTCCACAGGCATCAGCAAAATATCTAGAGTTTTGTGGGATCAAGTGCCATACAGACATGTACTGAAAAGGTAATTCCTGTCCTAAATGGGCAGTTCCTGGAACTACAGAAAATTGATGTGGTGTTATCCCTCAGGCCTGGTTGTGTGGAAATGCAGTTCTGTACCAGGCTCCTTAGCATCTATTTGGTATGGCTGGTGGAAATTGATATCTTCCACATGGCTTGTTGTCTGCTTTATCCTGGGAATCAGCTGTGTGGTGAGAATCAGCCTTCAGTAGAAAGGGACAATAAAACTTTAATCTTGATTCTGATATCAAAATAAGGAAAACAAATGAACAAACATAAAACCCCACAGTACCAAACTCCTGCTGAACAGCAGGAGGGCAGTAGGAGTCAGGAGGTGTTTGTCTGCTTAACAGAAGTCACTGTGCAGTTACAGAGCTGTGAAATGGCTGCTAGCTCTTCCTGTTTCACTGTTGTTTGTGCAAGAATGGGAAGACCTCCAACAGTAGAAATCTCCCAAATGACAGCAGAGCAATTGGTAAGATGGCAGCTGCTTAGCTCTTTTATAGACATCTGTGTTTAGAAGTAGCTTTTAAGAGATGGAGCGTCTGCCAAAAAAACAAGACTGGGAGAAAGTGTTATGTTTTCTCTGGTCTGATGTGTGTCTAAAAGGACTGTGGTCATTTAGAATTGTGGTACCTCCATGATACCAGGTACATTGCCAGTCACCATCCTTCATTTTCTTTTGGCAGTGCTTCTACCTCCTTTATAAAAGGAAAGTGAATGTTTCTTCTATGTTAGAGAAAGAGGCAAGAAGGGCTGTGGCAGGGAGATGAGAGGAATCATTTTGTTCAATATGATTCCCACTGTCTTCTTTTTACACGAGTCTAGCGTTGGTGCAGAGACTTATTGTGCCTATATCATGCTGGTGGGTATTTGCCCAATAATTGTCTATAAGTTTAAGTGAGCTTTCCCATAGGAATGGCCAAGTTCATGTGCTTGTCATGGCTTGAACCTGTTGCTAGTGTAGTTCTGTTTTAGAAATGCATCTTTTTCATGCTCTGAGAGCTTTTCTGTTTTGACGAGGGTAAATGAAGTCTGCTTGTCTTCCTGATTTGTATGTTGATAATGAAATAAATGTTCCTATTGGGCTTTCAGCTGGGAGGATAATCTGATAAAAAGGTGTTAGTGTCATCTCAGACATCTCAAATGACATGCTTGCTCAGCATGTTAAAAGCATTAATTAAAAATAGATTTCCATGAGATTGAAAAGGAAGGTGCCTCAGAGTAAATGATGCCAAAATGAAAGGATGTTCTTCATGAGAACACTTCTGAATGTACGTAAATGTATATAAAAGATTTGATAATACTCACAGTGGTGTTGTAGTTGAAGGTTTATATAGCTTGAATAGATAAGCAAATAATTCTGAAGTTGTACACCACTATGATTTTGCATGTGTGACATACATCTGGTTAAAATTAGGAAAGTGTTTATGCAGTTTTAGTACTGATGAAAACTCATTTGGCATTACAGATTCCATGCTTTTGCTGAGAAGAACGACTACAGAGATGCTACTGGACCTGCACTAAAATGTGAAGAAGATGGAAAAGGTCTAATTGCCCTGAATTCCAGAAAAGTGAAAGGGCGAATACCACTAGGTAGACAATATAAAAAACAAGTTGATACTGATTTTCTCACTGAGAACATTTCAGAATAGAAATGTAATATAGGAACTTGCTAAGTGTAAAATCAAAAGAAGCCATCTGTGGGCCCGGGTGGGGTGAGGACAGGACTGGTCAAATGGACATTCTGTGGGTGGGAAGGAGAGGGCAAGGAAAAGAGAAAAGTGAAGAGAGTAGACGATGTGCACGTGAGAATGAAAGAGAAGTGAAAAAAGGGCGAAGAAGAATGTTTATTTAGGGAGGTGAAGAACAGTACTGGTATGCTTATGCCAGTGACCTTGTGGAAATGTGTAGAGAAATGGCAGAAAGGAAAAGGAATAGTGTGGAAGACCATCCAATACAACAGCCACATCAATACAGGCCAAGTTCATATGTAATATAAGGGGATTAAAACCACATGAGGTTGACCTGCTTCTTCCAAGATCTGAATTTGTCATAAAGACACTCAACAAGCATGGTAAAATAACCACAGAGAAGAAGGTGCAAAGAGGGAGGGAAAAGCTGGTGGGAAAAAAACCCCCGGAGGAAACAACAGAAAGAAACAATTTTACTGGGAGGTGGGGCTGGGCAGAAAGTTCTCAGTGTATTTCTTACTAGTCGCAGTGCTACTTCCTCTGGGTACGTCAGCCTTATTGTTAAGTGGGACTGGACTGGGGTTTCAGCCAGGATGGGAGGAGACCGGCTTGTGCTGTGAAGTGAGGCTGTGTATGTCAAGTCTGATATCTTTATCAGCAGGACATTAAATTAAAAATGCTTTCTTTTAAGTATCAGGAGGCTTAAGACCTCTTTATTCTTATGGTTCGCATCCTTATTATGCAGGGGGGGGCACTAGTGTTGCCCCAAAGGTAGAACAGTGTTATCCTCTTCTTACTGGTAGGGAATGTATGGCATAAGGTGGATTTAGTGAGTTGCCTAAGATCGTTTGTCAGTCTTGGAGTAACTGGCCCATGTTTCCTGGGTTGTAGTCTAGTTCCTTGTGTACTAACCTATCCTTCACTAGGACCGTGATTATAACAGCACTAGAGAACCATAGTGTGGGGGGGGGGGGGGCAGAAATAAGAGAGTGAGGTGTCCCCTGTTTTTTTTTGCTTCATGAAGGGACGCTCAAACCTCACACACGCCAGGTTTAGAAACCAACAGCAGAGTATGCTTCAAACCCCTATCTCTCGTTTCATACTAATTCAGAGCAGTATAATGATTGCCTTCAGTCTGCTACCAGTGCTTCCTTGCTGGACCCCATTTGGGGGCGTGGGGGGAGGGTGGGACTGCCTTCCTCTTCCCCCTGGCAGTCAGCCTGTTTCAATAGATGGGCCTAGAGCTCCTGTATGACTGAAATTACTTCCTCACCACTGTTTCTAAAGCTGAAAGCTGAATAGTTTTAATGGCTCAAAAGGACAGTAATCCCCTTGAAGTGCATTGTCTCTTGTGTCTTATTGCTATTATGGAGTAGAATTTACACATTAAAAAGGAACACAATTAGCTTTCTGCATTTACTGGGTATTATAAGCACAGTTGTGACATCACTGGCAGCCAATCCGAGCGTTTCAGTTGTATGCAGAATCTAAAGTCCTTTCAGAAAAGAAAACACATTGGAGACATTATTCTGGTCTGTGTCTGATGTCTCTTGTTTCAGAGACTCCTTCAAGGGTGTAGTAGTCAATAATAATAAAAGTGTCGATTACTCACTAATGGGCTCTGAAACTGGTTCTTGGATGTGTGGCATAAACTGTACAAGGAAATAGATAGAGAATGAACCAGAGATTTAATCTTCCAAATGGGGTGTTTCTTGAAAATAAGGGGAGGCACAAGAATATTTTGATTATGTTTCTTTTTGCACCACAAATTCAACAGCTGGAAACTGAAACTCATCATTATGTTTTATGGACTGGAAAAGCTGTTTTAAGTACATCTGATAGTTTTCTGGGTATCCACTCTATAACAGCATTTTGCAAATACAGGATATCTTCATGCTCATTCTTTTTCATCTGCTTAGCCAAAGCAAATCGGAAGTGAACTATTTAAAACTTCAGATAAGAACTCCATTCTCCCCTGTTTTGCATCTTGAGCAGTCATTTAGAAAGCAAGCATGAGAAACTGCCAAATTTTAATTTTTTTTTTACACTTATTTTGAGTGGGTGCTCAAGATCAAAACAGGTATAAGCCAGTAAAGAATTAAGGTCCTTATGTTGGCAGACTCAGATTTACTTCAGGCAGAGAAATGCTTTTACATAAAGGCTAATTTCACCAGGGCAGTGATGCCTCCTCATCCAGCACTGATTTTCCTGTTATCGCTTCTGCCTACATTCTTTGTGTGGCTTCTTCATCTGCAAAAAGCTGCAGAACTAAGCAATCCTGTTATGTAGTTAAAACTATAAGTGGAAAGGAGGTGAAATTTAAGTTGGAACTTGAAGACCTAGAGGGCAAAAGATGGTGGAAGCTGTGGAGAAGGTGGTTCTTGCTGAAAAGGGGCACAGTTATGTCACCTGCTTGGAGTGACAGGGAGATAGGTGCTAAATGGGGCTCGAAAAGCAGTGGCGTTTTGAATGAGATTCTGAAATTAATAACGGGACCTTGTTGGTTGAAATAGAAACAACAGTGAGTCTCTGCGCAGTGTTTTTCTGTGTGGTGGAAGAGATGAGCTGATATATGTAAAGAAAAAGCAAACGGACTGAAATCGGGATTTGACTGATGTGGCAGATCTAAAGAGAGACGTGTCTGACCTCCTTGTGAACAGTGTAAGGCTGTGTTCTTAGATGTGCTTGATTTTCCACATTTACCTGATGGTCACAGGGAAAATTTCATATTGCTGCGTGTAAAATGGGAAGCATAAGAGCCCCGGCCTTCTGTGTGACACTGAAGTCAGTGAACTCTGCACTGTTTATGTACACAGACGTGGGAGAGACCGAACCCTTCCTTTGGAGAGCCAGGATAATGACTTAAGGCTAACTACTTTGCATACAAGCTGTATCAAAGATCGTTGCCTCTGCTTTTTCCTTGCAAGTGCTTTGTCTAGTCTTAGCAGTCTAATCTTGGCCTGGCAAATCTGTTTACTGATGTGTAGAGAGTGATGCAGATGGTCGCTCTGCAATACCACAAGGGATACAAAGTTCGTTTGCTTTGTCCATTTGCCAAGTGGGAAAGGGGCAGGATCGGGCTGCAGTGAGTTTCAGTGCTGCTTGACCTGGCAGTTAAAGCTGTGTACTCCCCTCCTGTGCTCCTTTGTACCTCTCCATTCATCCCCCTCTAAGTGGGGATTTTAAAAAGCAACGCTTGAGGGAATATTGCTATGTTCTACTGCCACGTAGAGGCTGAGGAAGGGACCAGCAGTGAAAAAATGAAATTGCCCATCTTGCCTTGCAGACAAATGAAGTTTAAAATAGACCTTTTTGCATCATATTTGTATTTGCTTCCGTCCACGGTCTAAGTCAGATAAACAGAGAAGAAATGCTTCTGTTTTCCCTGAGCTGCTTTTGCATTGGTATCTGCTTGATGTTTCAAAGATATTGTAAATTTTGCAGGGTTTTTGCTTGTTTGTTTTTGTATGGGCTTTTTTTTCTCAGTGGGGTTTGTATCTTGCGTATGAAATCAAATGGGTTACAGTGACTTGTCAAACTGGGTGAGTTTGCCTGCTGGGAGATAGGTGTGGAAAAGCTGCTTCTTTTAAGCTTGCCTGATGGTGTTAAATAACTGGGAAATGGAAATGAGGGCAATTATGAGTGTCCGTGTACACGGAGTGTGTTTGTGTTTTCATTTAGACCTACCGTCTTGCTTCTCAACTCACCGGTGTCAGCAAAATGCTTCTGCCCCTTGCTGCGAGCTCTCCCCGCACCCTTCCTCACCCTCACCCTCTTTTCCAGGGCCTCCCTGCTCCGGATCAGAAATGCCATTTGACCAAGGGCAGGGCACGTCTGAGACGCTTCCCAGCGTGAGGTGCTCCCGCCCGGCCGCGGTGGCCGCGGTGGCCGCGGTGGCTGTGGTGGCCGCGGTGGCCGCGGTGGCCGTGGTGGCTGCAGTGGCCGTGGTGGCCATGGTGGCCGCGGTGGCCGTGGTGGCCGCGGTGGCCGCGGTGGCCGCAGTGGCCGTGGTGGCCGCGGTGGCCGCAGTGGCTGTGGTGGCTGTGGTGGCCACAGTGGCCGCAGTGGCCGTGGTGGCCATGGTGGCTGCGGTGGCTGTGGTGGCCGCAGTGGCTGTGGTGGCTGCGGTGGCCGTGGTGGCCGCGGTGGCTGTGGTGGCCGTGGTGGCCGTGGTGGCCGTGGTGGCCGCGGTGGCCGTGGTGGCTGTGGTGGCCGCGGTGGCTGTGGTGGCCGTGGTGGCCGTGGTGGCCGTGGTGGCCGCGGTGGCCGTGGTGGCCGTGGTGGCCGCTGTGGCTGTGGTGGCTGTGGTGGCTGTGGTGGCTGCAGTGGCCGCGGTGGCCGCGGTGGCCGCGGTGGCCGTGGTGGCTGTGGTGGCTGTGGTGGCCGTGGTGGCCGCGGTGGCCGCGGTGGCCGTGGTGGCCGCGGTGGCTGTGGTGGCTGTGGTGGCCGTGGTGGCCGTGGTGGCCGTGGTGGCCGCGGTGGCCGTGGTGGCTGTGGTGGCCGCGGTGGCTGTGGTGGCCGTGGTGGCCGTGGTGGCCGTGGTGGCCGCGGTGGCCGTGGTGGCCGTGGTGGCCGCTGTGGCTGTGGTGGCTGTGGTGGCTGTGGTGGCTGCAGTGGCCGCGGTGGCCGCGGTGGCCGCGGTGGCCGTGGTGGCTGTGGTGGCTGTGGTGGCCGTGGTGGCCGCGGTGGCCGCGGTGGCCGTGGTGGCCGCGGTGGCTGTGGTGGCTGTGGTGGCCGTGGTGGCCGTGGTGGCCGCGGTGGCCGTGGTGGCCGCAGTGGCCGCGGTGGCCGTGGTGGCCGTGGTGGCTGTGGTGGCCGTGGTGGCTGTGGTGGCCGCGGTGGCCGTGGTGGCTGTGGTGGCTGTGATGGCCGTGGTGGCCGTGGTGGCTGTGGTGGCTGTGGTGGCCGCGGTGGCCGCGGTGGCCGTGGTGGCTGTGGTGGCTGTGGTGGCCGCGGTGGCCGCGGTGGCTACGGTGGCCGTGGTGGCCGCGGTGGCCGTGGTGGCCGCGGTGGCTGTGGTGGCTGTGGTGGCTGTGGTGGCTGTGGTGGCTGTGGTGGCCGTGGTGGCCGCGGTGAGAGCTGGAAACAGCCGTCTGTGCTCGGTGCAGGCCGGCGGCCGGCAGCAGCTGTTAGGGCCCGTTCCCTGACGCGCGGCCGCCCTCTCGCTGTTGCTCTGTGGCCGTTTTTGAACCGGAACCAGCAGGTCCCCAGGGGTCTGGCCGTTAAACCGTCAGCTGGGGGGGGGGCGGCAAAGGGGGGGGTGTTTCATGGCCAAGGGGACAGGGAGGGCCCTTCCCCTCTGGGGATAAAGTGATTTTGGTTTTAAGACGAGGTCTTTCCTGGGACGTGGGAGCCTGAAGGCGTGAAAGAGCGGGTGGGCCTGGAGCCGTTGGGTGCTGCACCCCTCGGGGCGGGATTTTCAGCTGCTTTTCAGGTGGTGGCCCCCAGAAATGGCAGAGCTGAGGTGCAAGCGCAGGGAATTTAAACCGAAGAGAGGTTTGTGCTTTCTTGGTCATTCTTCACTGATGCTTTTTGACGGGCTGCAGGTTGAAAACCACACCGGGAAGATCCTGTCCACTGTATGTGTATGTACCTTTTGAGTTTGGGGAGTCAGTTTTGAAAGGCACAGCTTTTCCTTCCCACTCCTTCTTAGCTGGAGAGGAAAAGAGGCCAAGGTGGAGGTGGAGGTAAGCCTTTGGTGGAGAGAGAGAGAGAGTTGCTACGCTTGTCACTGCTTGCAACCTGCTTTTCTAGCTGTATTCAGGAAAAACTGTTGCCAGATGGTCATGGTTTAGCTCCAGCCAACAGCTAAGTCCCACCCAGCCACCTGCTCACTCCCCCCGCATGGGATGGGGGAGCGAATCGGAACGTGAAAGTAAGAAAATCCGTGGGTTGAGATAAAGACAGTTTAATAAGTAGAGCAAGTGCTACGCACTCAAGCAAAGCAAAACAGGGAATTCACTCACCACTTCCCGCTGGCAGGCAGGTGCTCAGCCACCCCCAGGGAAGCAGAGCTCCATCGCGTGTAACGGTGACTTGGGAAGACAAAATACCATCACTCTGAACGTCCTCCCTTCCAGTTTGCTGTTCGCAGTTTTCTAAGCAACTTGATCTTCAAAAAGTGCAGTTGTCGATGCCTGCATTTGTCCTGTAGAATGTGTCGTCAAACATACTTGCTTTGGAAGTGTATGCAGTTTTACTTCGCGGTGCTGCAGCGTAAACGAGTAAAAAATGCCAGTTCAATACACATATCTTACTGGCAACAGGAACAATAATCTTGTAAATCTGATGAGTCAACAGCATAATTTTAGGGGCAAATGAAACAACACATTGATATAATTAGTATTGTTTTAAAGGAAGTTGAACTGTGCATACTTCTTCCAAAATTTTCAAACGTAACCTTAAAAATGTTAATGAAGTTAAATCTGGATCCCAGTATTTGGTAGCTTATGAAGGATATCTGGATTTAGTTGGGAGACAGGTCCACTGGAATTGCATTCTTCACAGTCTTAAACTTAGAAACACGTGCGTAGGTGGTGTGAATGCACATGTTTTGTGGTTTTAACTGTGACAACAGGTGTGTATATATACACATATGCCAGTGCTCAGATTTTGTGTGTTTTTGCATTTCTGGGGAGAGGTTGTTTATAAAAGAAAAGTTGAATACTTTCTGAAGCATCTGAACCTAATACTTTTCTTAAAAGGAAATGATGACAGACTGAGGATTTTACTCCCTTTTGTGTTTTATGTTGTGGAATGATCTGCTTTACTAAAGCTTTCGTGATTTAGGAAATGTTGAACTTTGTCCTAATGGTTGAAACAGATGTTTTTGAAATGCAGGAAGGTCCCAGGAGATGGCAGTGTACAATAACACATTTCAAAATATTTCTCGGAATCTCAAAGCATTTCACAATTAAAATTGAGTTGTTATTTTGTAAAAAGTTCATGTTATTATTTCAGGGAAGTTTATCAAAGAACAAAATGATCAGTTTGGTTTGTTTACTAGTAGCTGACTTTACTAGACAAGTTTGTGTGTCTTATCTTCTATACAGTGAACCACCACTGGATATTCACTGAACCACTAGATGGTAAGATATAGTTTGCCTTACTCAGCATCTTTATGTACAATTCAGTAATAAGTTATAATCTGCAATGGGTTTTAGTCTCCATTTATGGTTAGGATAACTCAGGATTCAGTTTCTTTTATATTTTTACTGTAACACTAAACACAGTTTTTATGTATTGTACTATATTTCAGTTTTAAACTCTGAGACTAACCTAATTTAACACATTTTTTAGTAGTGTTCATACTGCTTAGGTATACACGGTGCCTCAATTTTAATAACTGTACTGTACTAAATAAATACATATTTAAATCTTTAAAAATCAAGAAAAATATATATATAGAGAGAGAGATTAAGAAAACCTTGTATCAACTCCAGCTTTGGATTTTTCCAATTTTTTGAGAATATATCCTGATAGTAAAACTTTTTTTTTCTTTTTTTTTCACCATTTATTTATGACTGTTGAGAATTTTTAGCATGAAGATAAACTTACCTTAGCAAAATTTCATCACATGGTCTTTAGGAGAAGAAGATGTAATTTTATATAAAGGTATTTATGTACTTTAAGGGAATTGAAAGAATTGAAAATATCTTCTCTTTAAAGTTTCGAAGTTGGGTCTAATATTTGGAGCCAGCTTTTGAAATGAAGGCCAGAGGATGACATGTACATTTCTTTGTGGAGTTCCCTTATTATTATCTGAGACTGTTAAAAAGGATTTTCTTCCATTGTGGGAAAAACCTGTGGCCACCTCTGGAAGTTAGTTCCACCAGGCTAAGCACCTCTCACGTCCTGGTGCCAGCTTTGATCCCTTTTCTGAAGTCTATCAAAGAACAGCACTTGTCACTGCAATGGGACCTCAAGAAAACAAGGTTACATGGCAACATGTGGATGAATCCAATGACTTTATGTAATTGAGGAGTTGTAAAAAGCAGAAGTTGTCTCAAAATGTCAAGTTCTATTTATGATTTCTTTTGCAGTGGCTGGTGTCCGTGAAGATGTCTTTTTGATCTGGAAGGAGTTGGAGGAAGCCAAGAGTACAGTGAGACAAGTTCAGAAAATTTTATCGGAATCTGACCGGCCTGCTTCTCGAGATGGTATAATTTATGTTTCTTTCAAGAGAGTTACCATTATATTCATGATCAGTAGTTTAGTTGTGAACACTTTTGATTCTATGTCATTTTGTGGATGACTTTATCAGAAATGTCTATACACAGGTAGCACCTATACTTGGCACCTAAACTTCGGGTTGCTTACAACTTCCCATTACAAATTTCTATTTGCTACTGCTGAAAGTTGCTGAACTTTAACAGCTCAGGCTGAAACACACCATTTTTAGTTCACCAGTGACTAGGGTTAGAAATTGCCTAGATTTCAAGATACTGAAATTCTTTTCTTTGTGGTCTCTCCCTCTCTCCCTGAGCCAGTAAATCTTTAATTTTATTCTACACAGTTCTGGGGAAGTGCACCATCCTTCTCCTGTCACGGTGTTCTTGGGATAGCCTCCACCCTGGTAGCTAGTTCATTCCCCTAAAAGGGAAGCAGCGTGGGTTTGAATTCTCCTGATCGAAGGTGGAGGACTGAAACTGATTCTGGATGAATGCTCTGACAACTCTTGTGTTAAGAAACATGGAGGAACACCCGCATTTGTTCATTAAACTAATAGTTTCCACCATTATGTTTGGCCTAGAATATGATCCATTTGTTGTTCTGTACTTATTGACTGGATTGAGCCCTGCTGGAGGCAGAAGTGTAACTGGTTTCTGAATCTTTGGAAGGCTTGGACAGGGGATGGTGAGAAGATGGAGGTGCTCTGGGCATGCTGTGGGGCAGAATGGTCACACTGACAGGAATTAAATACTGAAAACTTGGGAATCTGTAGAGTCTAGGTAGCTTCAGTGTTGGACGGCAACTGAGGGGATGGGTTTTCAGGATCATAGCTGTGATTGTCAGTGCCTATATTCTGCACTAGTCCCGGTTTTTAATATACTTACATGGTGTCTGCTGGTATTTTTTGCATAAATTGATACATGATTCAGGTCAAAGTAGCACAAGTCATCAGTGATTTTGTGTAGCTCCAGTATTGTTTTTGCAGTGCAGTTGCTTTTCATTTGGCTAGATGGAGGCTGAGGCCAGATGCCCTTTTCTGGATCACTTGCTGAGGAACCCTTTGTACGGTCAGTGGATAGTCACTTGCACTCTCAGCAGTGTGTTGAGATGCATGACAGTAAGGATTTGGAGCTGGGAACTTTCTTTGCCTGCACTGGGTTTGAACATCTGTCAATAACATAACTCTGCAGGACTTAAGCTTGAGTTTTTTATTCTGTGAAGGAATAATACAGTTCTTTAATAGCATCTTCTGAATTAGCAGGACTTCACATATGAAGTTAAACAGCTATACCATAACGCATAGGGACAAAAAGACCACAATAAAGCTGAAAGGGCAGCCCTAATTTCAGTGTTTATTTATGCGTTCCTGACTATGCAGCTTTAATGTTCTTTTAGTATTTGCCTTCATACATAATCACTTCATAAATAAATTAAAAGAAATGAAATTACAGTGTGATTTATTTTGTCAGTTCTTCAGCATGATTTGACTGTTGCCCATCGATCCAAATAACTGCAGACTTTCTGTTTGCCTGCATTTCTTCCTGTTTTTGCCTTCCTGATCTGTTTAAATTGCTCTACTATAAAATGTAGTCTGTTCTGACGATTGCAATGTTCTGCAGGAGAAGAGACAAACAGATGATTTTTCTGCTGACTCTGCAGATAATGCACTAGTTACTGGAACTGAGACGTTACTTTTTGCATAAAGCATGTGGAAGAAAGAAAACAATAGTTTTCTCTTTAAAATTATGTGAGTGCATTTGTGCCACTGGCCACACTGGCTGTTCTGAGGACCACAGGCAATCAGAAAGCAAATGTTTCCACGTGAGCAGGCTGTGACCCTGCACCTGCCCTGCTGCTGGCTGATCCTCTGTGTGTAAGGCAGTAGATGTCTCCAGAGGTTTGTTTACCGGCTCAGGATCTCAGTCCTGTTGTCACTGCAGCTACATCTAAACAGAGCAGACATTTATACCACCTAGGCCCACTGAAATTAAAGTGTGACAAAACAAATTCACCCTGCTGTGAGACTCACTGCTGGGTCATCTGATTTAGGTGTGGTGATGAGTGAGTGTAGAGCCCTGTATTCTATTACCAGTATCCAAAGATGTGCAGTGCCCAACCTTAAGATGATCCTTAGAAAATTTCTAAGACAATATGACATAAAAGGGTAAACATAAGAACAGTCATACCAGATCAGACAAAAAAACCCAAACCCTCATTTCTTCCAGTATCAATTAAAAATGCTAGAGGGAGAGTGTAGAACTAGAGAAAATGTTAAGATGGTACACAACTGATTTGTGGCTTGGGATACATGGTGAAATATTCAGCCTATAAAAAGTCAATATTGCAGAGATACACAGTAAAATCTTTTCCAAAGACATTGTAGTTTTTCCCTTTTTCTTTAAATGGCCTTCTTTGAAAAAGTCAACAGCGATGCTAACCAATGTTCTTGGCTGTATTTTCATTTCTATCTTCTGATGTTTCATTTTCTCAAATGTTTCTCCCTGGAGTTAGACATCTTATACAGGAATCTTTTCTGGCATTTTTTAATTCAACTACTAAGAATATTCCTTCTATATGTTGATCCTGTAGCTATTTGTCTTCCTCGCTCTCTGTCTTGTAATGAGTTTGTTCCAGTTACAAGGGAATTTGTTGCGAAGAATTGTCTGATAAGAAAAAAACCTCACAAAGTAGAGTATTAAAAATCAGTCAGAAATATCTGCTCACTCCAAGGCTGTCAGTGCAAGCAGAACAAGTTTGAAAATTTTGACTCTAGTATCATAGACTGGTTTTGAACATAACTTATGCAAAATGAACCGTGTTATACAGGAGAATTTGTTTGTTTTAATTTCTTTATTAGCAACCAAAGCTGATCGTCCATTACAAAAGTATACATCTGACAGATATTTGACTTCTGAGAAGTGGTTGCAGAAATATGGCTTGAAAGCTCAGAAGCTCTCACTGTACGATGCCCTTGCTGATTGTACTTTTCGCCATGCAGATGGGATTGTTGACATAAAAACTAAACCAGGGGATGAATCTTCACAAACTGGTGCTGTGAGTATTGTTATTTTTCCCTTACATACTATGAGTTGTTTGGTTTTTCTTTTAAAGCTTGAAAACTTGACTGATAGATGAATTTATGATAAAGTGTATGGCCTGTTGTCTTATAGTTTTTGTTTCATCGTATGTAGCTTTTATAATCAGCTTATTAGTGAAATGGAACAAAGGTGCTCATAGATAAGATTATTTCAAAGGGCTATTTGAAAATTACTGTTTCAAGGACTCATTCCTGGTCCACCTGTAATCTGCAAGGAAGAATCAGGACTGGCTTAATCAATACCTTGGTGTTCAATGTATTTGTGTGGGCTAGGGCAAAGATTTCTTGTCATCTTTATTTTTCCTTAGAAGAAGTATTGGTCTCAGCTGATCCAGTGCTTGCAGGCCTTTAAAGAAATTTTGATTCGTTTGTCTTTTTTTTTTTTTTTTTTTTTTTTTTCCCCAAGCTCTACCATTACACTGTTTGTTAAGTTTCTGTTCTTGCTAGGTACAAGAATAAATCCAGTTTCTATTGATATTTGCTACGAGCAAATTCTGTGACCACCCTATACCATGTCTATTTCTGCACCTGTTCTTGTGTGACAAGCATGTACCTTTGAAGTTTGCTTGCCAAATATTAAAGGCACTGCAAAATAATGTGTTTTGGAGCATGAAGCATGTTTTTCTTGCCTGTAGGAGACAAAGAGGAAGGTAATCCATGCAAAATACTGTGACAAGTTTGTACACACCTTGTGGAAAGATGGATCTGTAGTACACTTATATGTTAGCACAGAAAAGTATAAGCAGTATGAAGAGAAAATGAGGACGGCTCTCAGACAAGTGGAAGGAAGGTTAGTGTTCTGTCACGTAAAATCAGTTTGTATTATTTTACACTGGCGTTGAAATTTTTGACATTTGCTGTCATAATAAGCTGAAGTGGTTGGTAAACTGCCAGTAGCAGTACTACGCCAGAAATCCATTTTAGATCAGAACCTTGTGTGTAGGATTTCTTAGTAGCCATGTAAGAAAACTGATGAACAGTTTTATCTTTTGTTCTCCTTCTGGAACACAAATGTGAAAGTCAGCCTGCATATTATTGAAATACTGCTGAAAGTACCAAAAAGCATCGGGACATAAGGTGGCAGGAAACTTCTAGAATCATCAGTAAAACTTGGTAAACATTCATCCTGTGTACCTAGGATCCCTTGTGATACCTCTGACACCAAGTAGCAGAGCATGGCTTGTGCCCGTACTGATAGTGGTTATCTGCCCTTTTTGCAATTTTGTGTGGAAGACAAGTCTGAACAGTCTTTGACCAAAGCCAGGGCATGGGCTATTGAGTAATGCATATGGCCAGAAGTTCAGTGCTCAGGCTAGCTCCCTAGTTTACTTTTCTGCAGCCATATAGACACACTCTTAGATTTTGTAGGATATCTACCAAAAAATGGGCAGCCTGGGGGCCCGATTCATCCGTCCTAAAGATGTTCTAAAGTAAATTGGCATTTATATCTACATTAGGAGAAGGAAACTTGAAAAATGGGTATTGTAGAACCCAGAGAAAGAAAAAATGTTGCCCTCTGTTTTGTATATTAGGAAAATGAGATGTCTTACTGAAAAAAGCAGGATGTGAAGTTTCATTTTATTGCTGCTTCTCTACAAGTAGTATAACAGCCTGATGACATTTAGCAAGGTCAAACAGAGTTTTGTTATTCCTTTTAGTTTATCTTCATCTTGCTGTATTTAGGATAACGTTAACATACTGTGACAGGAAAATTTGAATTAAAGATTTTGGTGATTATTAAATTTTTTAAATCCAAGCCAAGATTATGGGTTTGCTGTGTTGAATGGTTCATCTCATTGTTCAAGTCTTGGTAGATAGATCTCATCAAACAGTGGGAGAAATAACTAATGGCAAACGTAATAGGATCCTTTAGGTTTCCACGATACTATTTTTTAAAGCCTCTGTGGAGATGAGTAACATTTTTCCCAGGGCCATTATACTCTGTCTGTTAACTGTCTCTGTTTCAGAGCAGACAAGTAGTTTATGACTCTCAAGGGAAATAAGCTGTGGACCTGCTGCAGCCATTACTGAGGAAATGTTCTTGTACACAGCAGTACGTATGCACGTATTTAGATGGCAGGCATGCTTCAATCTTGTTTAAAACGTAAAACTGAGTCTGTATTTAAGGCTCAAGGTCAGCAAAGCATCGAAGCATCTGTGTTATATTAAGATTCTTCAAAGTGCTCAAGTTCCTTACAGAATAGGTTCCTAAGTAGTTTTCTGAAAAGGGAGTCATCTTAGCATATGCTTAAATGATTTGCTGAGTTCAGCCTTGAGAACAGTTACAGGGGCAATAGTTACAGGTACTTCCACGTGGGATTTCCCAGCTCAAACTACCTGATAATTGACTTTATAAAGGCGCTGCATTGCCTTGTCTGTTTTGTCTGTCTCCAGATCCCCACTAAAAACGCCTTGTGTTGTTATGCAGTGACAGAGGAGTGGTTCCTCCAGGCCAGTGTACCGCTTCCGACAGTGACTGGTAACAGGCGCTTAGGGAGAGGGAGTAAGCAGCACAGCGGCGATAAAAAGATCCTTTCTCTTAGATTCTGATATGGAAAGTTCCAAAGATCTTACAGACCAGGTTTTGATATTTTTTTCCCTCCCCCAGGATTAAATGGCTTCAGCAAGGAAGCAGAGGGCTCTTTGGGAATGTGGTTGAAGATGGTGTCTATATTCTTATTGATACATCCCAGTCTATGAAGGATAAGCTGCCACTGGTGAAGGAGAAAATATGTCAGCTCATACAGGTATGGTAAAGCAATGATTCTGAAGATTGAAGAACATTTTAGAGTACGCTGATCTCTTCTGGATGGTTGTTACACTAATTTTTATTTTTTTTTAGAATGGTCTTAAAAAATAGCAGCTTTATAAAAATATTTTTATTTTTCTTTGTGTGCTCATTTTTCAGTTAAAAATTTATAATTTTTTCCTCATTTGCACAATTATTTGAAAATAATCTGGAGAGAATGTTAAAATGAAAAAGGGTTAAGTAGTTATTCTTACCCTCAAGCCACCTCCCTCCTAAAAAAAATAAAAATAAAAAACCAAGAAAAAAAAACCCCAAAAGCTATGCAATGGAGCAGCTTTTGGTATTTTCATTTTTATTTTTAAGCAGTGTCATCCAGTTCCGCTGCTGTGTTGTGATGTGTAACGTATGTTCTAGGTTCACTTTCATACAGCAGAGGGTGTAGAGCATTTTGAACTTGCTTGCATCTTACAGTGACTCAGAACTTTTCAAAGGGACTTGCAAAGTGCAGAATTATCTCGAAAGCAGTGAGTACTTGGAGGCACACCTAAGACAGGATTTGTCTCACCTAGTTTTAGAAATCTACAGTGATGTAACCTAAGCTTACATTACTATTTGAGAGAAACAGGCCCTGTTAAAACATGATTAATCTTTACTTTTTTAGACATGAGAGGAAGAACTGACAAAAATTCCATCAATGTGGCATTGATAGCAATCATTATTGGGGCTGGAGAATTTGAAACTATAACAGAGAAGTTTCTGAGCTAAGTGCACAAGTGATAGGATGGAGCATTATGTGGTCCTCCAGGCAGATCAGCACTAGAAAATTGATACTGTGCCAGAAGGTTTCACAGACAGCTGCACAAAATTGATGATGAAAGGGAGGCAAAGATTCCAGGCTCTGAAAGTTTGTACTATCTTGCACAAATCTTCTTCTCCTTGTAACTTCTGTCCAAAAGCAATTTCAGCAAATTCTTAACTTAATTCTCTCTTGCTGTCCTAGTTACCTTTGTTAGTGATCTACATTTGATTCTTGTTCTCCTCCTCCAAATGATGTCTTACTTTGTTTCTGATTGCAATTTCCTTTGGCAAGCAGTCACAATTTCTGCCTTATACCAATGTTCATACACAGGTTTGTCTCTCCTTTTCTTGCCCTCCTAGACATTTGCTGTTCAGGTAATTTGAGAAATATGAGTGAATGGAGACCTACCTTGGGAAGTTCAAGTAATCTTAATAATTGCAGGAAATAATCATCTCTGTTTCTGTATGTCTCTCTGTACACCATGACTGAATATTACAGTAATTTAATGTAACCATATAATCAACTATATATTAATTAAATCAACTCCTACTAGTCAGTATTTCAGGATACGAATATTCTTTCTTTTAACACTAAGTAAAATTCAGATGCTGTCTCTTGCAGGAACAATTAAGACACAAAAAGAGATTTAACTTTGTGAAATTTAGCGCCCAAGCAGCGGTGTGGCAAGAGAAACTTGCTGAAGTTAATGAGGAAAATTTGCAAGATGCTTGGCTTTGGATAAAAGGGCTTGAGGTAACAAGCAACTAATTATCACAGAGCGTGTTTGTACAAAGTTGTATTTGTGTCTTCTCTTTCTGTACGATGGGTGTTTTTGGATTGACTAAGTATTTGACTTGAGTAAGCTGAAAATATAGATGATGTGTAGATTTTAGTAGATCTGAGTACAATGTGTTGTATAACAATCCTTTAACAGCGGGCCTGTTTATAAGATCATGTTAATTCAACTTGCAGCCTGGTATGTTTAGTAGCCACAATGCAAGCATTGGCCAGTTTGATTTCTGTAGGAGCCACGGCAGTGCTCCGACCCTGTGTCTCAATTTGTCACTCGCTGCAGGGCTGCTGTACGGGTGAGAGCTGTTGCTGGCAGTCAGAGCTCCGAGGCGATAGGAAACCTGTGCCAGGGAGCTGGAGGAGCGTTTCTAGTCCCTTTTGGTGCATGCTGGCTTTACCCTCCATCAGAACATGAGAGCAGCCATACTCAGACCAACCATCTGACTGTCTACCCAGTATTCTTTCTCTGGCAGCGGCCAAAATCTGAGTAGTTTTCCCTGAAACAGAGTAGAAATGCTTGTAGTCAGCCACAGTCAGCCAGCAGATTGTAACTGTCAGCAGCTTTAGGACCAGTTAATGTGTCAAATGTGGACAGCAATGCTATGAGCACGGGACTGAAAATCAGTCACACCACAGTGCGGATATAGCCCATGTTATGTTTTCTAACACAAAAAACATGTTTGTGTAATAAAACTACTCAGCATGATGACAGCTCCTCCTCAGACTTAATCGTAAAATTCTTGGGAATGAGGGAACTGGGGAAGCTACATAATGCCTCTGAGTCTACAAAGCAAGATAAATAACTTTGTATTCTCAGAAAATACTAGCAGGCAAACACATGGAGAAAAGAAAGTATTAGTGTGGCCTCGCCGAGTAGTTGATGAATACTTACCACTGAGGTTAGTAAACTTAATTTTACTGCCTTCCTTGAGGCTTGAAAAGTTGGCTCTGTTTAAGCCACGGATGTGGTACAGCATCATGCAAGTTTGATAATAACTTGAACTACTATAATTTCATACCATCTTGTATATGCATTTGGGAATGGCCTTTTTCATCATTATTCATGAAGTTGGGAATTGTTGGTCATAAATTTTTTTCTAAGTTCAGATCTAGATATCTGAAATGGTATAGGGAATGGCACAAGAACAGTCTACTCTTTTTTTTTTTTTTTTTTTCTGGGGATGACATCTGCTGCTGACCTTTTATTCTGTTTTAAGCAGTGCAGGCACAAATCTGAGATCAGAAAGCTGGCTTTACAGTGAAGCTGAAATGAACAGAAGATTGCTTTGGAATATTAATCAGAGTAGATCCTTTGATCTCATTTCATACACTTTGGTCCCAGGATGTTGAATAAGGAAGCTGAGCCATAAACAGTAACTAACTCTTCCTTAAAAATCCTCTAGAGATGATAACATTTAAAATTTTGGGGGTGGTAATGGCACGTAGTTGAAGTATGTCAACTTCAGTTAAACACTGATAAAAAACAGTGTTCGTTTGTAACAGTAGCAACTGAGAGATCTAAATTCACAGCTTTTACCATAAGGTACGTAGTTATTTCCCTCCCATCATCAGCATCCACAGTATTGTTCCCATGATATGGTGGAAGAAGTCATTTTGTTTCAAATCATATGAAACACATGTACCATTACTGAAAAGAGCCAGGATGGCAAATTTACACATAACAGTGAGTGATGTGTGCCTAAAACTTTATGATGCTTACTGAAACATTAGGAATACTGTATATATTTAACACACAAAAAAATGGCTCAGGCTAGTTATTTCTTGTGTATGGGTGCTGGTGAGGATTGTTTGTGAAGTTGAAGATAGGATTTCAGCGTATCTGAGCTATTTTGTTGCCTGGCCCATACGCTCTTACGCGGCCAAGCAGTCGCTCTCAGAGTGAACCTCCTGTTCGTTTCACCTGATTTACTTACTTTGCCCTTTCTAATAGAAATGCTTGCTGGAGGGAAGAACTGGAAGAAGTTTTAACACGATCAGTAGGGCTCAAGAAGTAATGCTATCTCTTCACGTATTTTTGCATGTATGGATCAATGTTAGTGATTTGTATTTGTCTTCTCTAATGCATTATATGAGTGGATCCCGAGTCTCTGCTCATCCACGCCACTACAGTGCTCACTGCCCTCTAGAGCGGTACTCAGCTGTTAGGCTAGCATAAAACACTCACAGCTTTTCAGGGATTTTGCTTTGTCTCCACTAAAGGACTAAGACTTCATGAAACAGTTTTCCATACTGATTAAAACCTTACCTTTCCCTTAAATTTAGAAGGTTTTGTACACTGAATGTTTGAAAGGTGGAAATCTGAAGATGCAAACTGTAGTGTTTAGGTTCTTATAAGCTGTGAAATACATTTCAGTGAGTTCAGAGTTGCATTTAATCTCAAAAGAAAAAAAAAGACAGATCATGATCACTAAATATGTGAATGACACTGTAAAAGTGCTAGTATTACTCAAGTTTTTCAGGGGCACAGTATTGCTTTACTGTGTATGTTTTGTTGCTGTAGGTAAATTTTGTGCTAAAAATAAGTGATGTTTGCATTGATGTGCCGAGGGAGTAGATGGGAGATAGTCTGGAAAAAACATTGTTCAGAAAACTAGGAAGTCTCTTACCTGTTTTTGAGAAAGAAACTTGTGCAACTCTTTTGTGGAGATTTTGGATTATTTGGTTAAGTAAAATATGTATTTCAAGGGAGTGTGATGAGTTGGAAATCAGGACCAGCAGTGGGAAAATATAATAGAATGTATCCTCTATCTTACATCTTCTTATGTGTTTATAGTCTTTTAGTGATTGCTTTTACTTCTACAGCTTGTATTTCTGTTGCCAGCATTTTGCTTATGTGTTTGCATAAGCACTGAGTACCAATTTGGTACCAACTCATGCTACTTTGACACTTGCTTTTATTTTTCTAGCTATTTCACATAAATATTTTCACCATTTTATTACTCATTTTGGTTCTGTAATATCCTTTGAATCAGTACACTGTCATTATGAACTGAAGAACAAAGAACTGTTAGTATTTATAGCTGTTTCTTTGTCTTTTTCTTTTTGCTTTCTCAGGTTGGAAGTTCCACAAATACACTTGAAGCTCTCCAGATTGCTCTTGCTGATACTGACACTCAGGCTATTTATCTCTTGACTGATGGGAGACCTGACCAGGTATTTCTGAAATAAGAAAACGGAAAATGCAGTCGTGTGGGGTCAGAAGGCTGAAGTATGAAATTAATATAATACCTGCAGAGCTGAGTCTCTTGGGGTCTGTTGGACATTGTCATAATATTGAAAACGTGTATCTAAGAAATGTGCTGTTCATGAAGGGGTTTTGATTAGAACTCTCCGTCCACAGCCCAGTCATTGGGGCATGGTAACTCCTGACATTTCTCATGAGCTGCTAACTCAGGATCTGGTAATGGATGAAATGTTAAAGCTGGGTGTTAGTATCGAGGTTAGGATTTGTGTTAAATAAAATGTCTCCCTAACTTAGTGCAAATATCTCATGAATTAAAAATCAAAAAAGAATGATAGTCCCTTGATATAGTTAGATTTAAATATTAAAACCCTGCAGTCTTTCATGATGGCTTGACAACCTAAAAAGAAAATGATTGATAACAAAATAAAAACAAGTTTGTGTTAAACATTTTTCCCCAAAGAATAAATCAAATATAGTAATAGGTTCCTTCTTACATTCTGTTGCAGTACTGACACAAAGACTGTCGTGTCTGAGGAGTAAGGGCCTAATTATTAATTTACATTATTTTCCTATAAAGGTGTTACCATTAATATTGTTCCATTAGGTCTCTGTATGATTCCATTTTTATCCTACCGGGTCAAATTTGTTCTCATGTAGGTGCATTTCTGGAGTAGCAGCAGTCTGGAGTTGCTTGAAGTCTAGTTTTAAGTGGGTAACGAAATCAGAAGTATGCTTTTACTTTTTCATGTGTTGTTACCCTGACTTAAAATGATGCTATTTCATGTTATATCACATCATATAACATCAACTAAAAACTGGGAAAAAAACCACTTTCAAACTGTAAAAAAGGTGATGAAAACTAGTCCGTATGATGAGAAAGGCGTTTTAAAAATACTTTATTTGCCCCTGAAAATTTAGCTTGGTTGTGATGGCAGATATGCAGCAAAATCCTGACTTGACTTAGGTAGATAGCTGGGCTGAAGGCCACATGGAATTAATTACTGAAGTACATTAAATAAATCTTGGATTCAGAAAGCATCATAAACTTGCAGAAACAATTTCTTTATACCTTGATAAGAAAAATGCTAAGGGCCTACTTTTCTTTTTTGTTCTGTTTTTCTTGATAAAAGGCAAGTGACCCACAAGGAAGAGTGGATTTATATGCTTCAAAATGATTTGAACATCAAAATGTAAACCTGGTTTTAAATTAGCAGATGAGAAACTTCAACTCACATCATTTAATGTTGTTTTAAATTTTAGTTTGCATCTTTGATATTTTCTAAAGACAAGTTGATTGTTATTGGCAATCACTCATTAAAATAACAACTAACTAAATTATTTGCACTGTTTCACACTTTCGCTAGCTAGGAGCATATATTAATATTTTATTAAAGAATACTTTGGCTTAATGTACACTTATTCAGATTAATTATTAATTTTCATATTTTAGAAATTATTAAGAAATATGTTTTAATATTTAGAAATAAATGAATACTTAATTTCTTTTTACCTAGTTAATAATGACTTTTATGATTTATATTATAATTTTTTAGATGAAAAAGGGGAAGTGACCAAGATTGCTTTTAACTACTGAAGTGCAGCAAATAATTATATTGCAAATATTGCTAAATATATCAAGACTTATGACAGTGTTCTGAACAACTGAAGTTGTTATCAGAAGTTAGAGAACTGTTTGATAATTTCTACCAGATCCTTCAGCATTTTTAGACATGGCAGATCTTTTACTTTCTCACTTATTTTTTATTTTAATGGAGAAGGAACACTGTCTTTCCTATTTTCTCAGCCTCTCTTTTGTTTCCTGGTATTGAATCAACTTTTCATTGAACTAATTTAGCTTGATAAAAATATCAACACTTACATACATCCAAAAATATTGTTACATACATCCAGTGGTACAAAATACCAATGTAGTAGTTTAATTTCCTATACCTTAGTGATTTCTTTAAGACTTCAGAAACAAAAGAGTAATGGTTATTATAATTTACATTTTATTTTATTTATTAGAGTATCCTGTGCCTTAATACATTATCAATATTTCCAATTCAGTTTTAAATTAGCTCATTTTATATAATCATGAAATAGCAATCCATATAAAATGTATGCTTTTAACTGATCTGTATCTGTCTCCAAGCAACAGTATGACCGATCAAATTCTTACAAATTATCCATGTTTTAATACATTTCTAGATGCTACGTGTTTAATATGCATTTTTCAATTTTCAGCCCCCCCAAATAATTCTGGCTGAAGTCCAGCTTCATCGTAAAATTCCTATCCATACTGTATCCTTCAACTGTGATGATACAGAAGCTAATAAATTTTTGTATGAACTATCTACTGAAACAGAGGGACGGTTTCATTATTACAACGTTTATTTGACTGATCCTGATGCTGCAGAGTTTATTGTTGTGAGTGTCTGAACATAAATATGTTTGTTTCTTAATGTTATTGAAGGAATCACGTGCCTTGCATTATTGTGGTTTCATATTACAATAGATTATTAAAAAAGCAGGCTAATCCTAGTCAGATTTGAAGTGATGTGAAATCAATGAGGGTGACATTTTTTGCTTATGAAGTTTTGTTGCAAAAAAGCCCAAATATCATGCCAAGTATATTTGTGGTGCTACTGTTGCAAAAATCCCACCTGAAAACCAACACCCAAAAAACATATAGACAAAATTCAGCTCAGAAACACACATGATCTCTGCTGTCTCAGAAATCAGTGAGAGAATGCAGAACTGAATTTGAATTAGGATGAATGAATGATTCTATGAACTTTGCTAAAAGTTTGCTCTATAGCAGTCACTGAGGAGGAATCTGTAATGAATAAAATGACTGGAATGGCAATGATACATCAAGTGTGACTAAGCAGCTCAATCTAACAGTCCCCAGTAGGAAATTTCTGATAAGACTAACAGAAACACCCATTTAAAGCATATTCTCATTTTTAATTAAAGCTAACACTCAGTTAATTAGTTCCACAAATTTTAAAGATAATGGTAGTGGAACAGTGAGAACAACCAGGAACAAGACAGTAGCAGGAGCTTCAGGACTTTGCGGACACCGATTAGGAGGAAGATGTGGAAATACTCCAGCTCTTCAAAGGTATCCGAGGGAGTACGGGGCAGTTTTGGTGACCTGCTGATGTGGGCTGTGCGACACCGCGCGTGCTGGAAAGGTGAGGGCCAGGGCCAGGGCCAGGGCAGTGTATCCCCGGGCTTCTGGCCCCGTGGGACTTGTAAAGGGATCATCATCGGAATTTCCTTCCTGTTTCCTCCGGTCGTCCAAAGGATTCCCCCTCATTCCAGTGTTTACTTGAAGAGTATGTTTGTTACTTCCCCTTGTTCAGGGACAGTATGTGATACAGCTGTGATCTGTAGAATGACAGGACAACAGTTGTAATGGACATATCTTGTATTGTATTTTATTTATTTGCTTATTTATTTGCTTGCTTGGGAAGAGGGGAGGTACTGACCCCATTAAATTATTCAGAAATATAGCTATTCATCTCTCAAGGGGTAACTGGTTTGTTAGGGAATGCTTGTCCTCTTCCTAAAAAGGAAGAATAATTTGAAGGGTTGTATTGCCAAGCACAAGAGACTACCTGAACAAATATACAAAATTTTGCAGCTGTCCTAATTGAATAATTTTTAAAAATTATTATCAGAGCTTGCATAGTTTCAGTTCAGAAATGAAACATGATTAAGAGTAACTGTAATAAAACATTTGTTTTTCTTTTTGTTAGAGTGAAGACATACATCTTTTGAAAAGAGAGATTGAACAAGGAGAAAGAGACCTAGAGAAAGTGAAGACCTTTCATGCTGAATGTCTGATGATGGATTGTTGTAATGGACAAAATGATCCAGAGAATAAGTATGTCCTCATACTGCTATTAGGTTATTAAGGGATAGGAGCTATCTGTCACATTTCTCCTTGTTCATTGTATTGCATTTTTAACCTCTGACATTCTCCTCTTTTAAAAAGAAAGGTGGTTGGTTTTTTTGTTTTGTTGTTTTTTTTTTTTTTTAAAAAAACAGTTACAGTAATGGAAATGAAAAATCTGGGAAAATACCCTAATAATGTGAAGCCTGAAACAAAATGATCTCAAATATCTCAGTAGTCTCAAACTACTAGGAATAATTAAAGCAATGAGGTGAACATATTTTTCTGTCTCCACCACGTGGTAAAGTTGCTCCCTCTGACCTAGACAGTTCATGAAAAATTATTATCCTGCAGGTAGAGCTGGCTTGGTGCTTCATGACTAAATTGCTGCTCGTTGGAATATGCTGATTGAAACATAAATTATATAGAAATGTATGTGTTTAAAACACGGCAAACACTGTGAATGAGATTCAGCTTCCTTCTTTTCACATTTTTGATTTTACAGTGTGTGTCTATATGTTCATGCCATATTTATTCTTGCTTTTTATCAAAAGATAAGCAATCTCATAGTTAAAAATAGTTTCATGTTAAGCATCAGTTGAAAAACATGTTGCAAATCTCAAGAATAACTATTCAAAAAAAGGTTCTTCCACTTATACTGAAGGCACATTGAAGGCAGAGTCCCAAGCCACTGTGGAAAAGGGTTCTGCATGTCTGATTAAACTGAGTTTCTGTTGGGGGAGCAAACACAGACCTATCTTCAAACATGAAGTTAATTGTATTCTCCTTAATAAAAAAACAGCTTGCCTGGTGCCTTATTTATCTGTGCAGTAATAGTACAAAAGCAAAAAAGAACATTAAAAAAAAATCAGATTTTTAAGACTGAAATCTATTTAAAAACAGTAAGTTAAAATAAAAGTACTGAAAAGAAAGTAAAAGAAATTATAAGTGGAGAGTGCTGTGGAATGATTTATGGGTGGAAGTGCAAGTAGGATGTCCAGTATAAAAATGCAGGTAACTGATTATTTCAGAATTTGTGTATTTTTTATGTTATTAATGCTGGGACATAAGTATATACGTGTGTGTGTGTCAGTTATTTTCATTGCTGATGGTAGGTTTACTCTTTCCCCCAGAATTCAAAAGTAGCTACTACAGAACATTCTGACCTTATTAAAAATATATGAGGTGTTGTCTTAGAAGTAATGAACATCTTTTAAACAGACTAAGAAACAACTTCTAAATAGTTTAAAAAAAACTACATATGTTTCAACCTCTTTTGAAGTCCCCTTTGAAATGCAGACAAGGATAAGAGAGAAAATATTTTGCACTGTTAGGAGCATTTGAAATGAGTATTTAAATTCTCAGAAATCTTCAGCTTGGCATTTTTCAAACCAGTGTCACGTGCTTGAAGTAGTATCTTGGATGTTTCTTCTTTCTGTCACTTACAAGCGGTAATCAGGAGCAGAGGCGTCCCGTGTCTGGCGCTGCTCTTAGGGGCAGGCTGGGCTGTGCCTCAGCAGAGCCACCCCTGGCACCACACCAGACACCTGGCGAGCCACCCCTGGCACCACACCAGACACCTGGCGAGCCACCCCTGGCACCACAGCAGCACACCTGGCGAGCCACCCCTGGCACCACAGCGGCACACCTGGCGAGCCACCCCTGGCACCACAGCAGCACACCTGGCGAGCCACCCCTGGCACCACACCGGCACACCTGGCGAGCCACCCCTGGCACCACAGCAGCACACCTGGCGAGCCACCCCTGGCACCACACCGGCACACCTGGCGAGCCACCCCTGGCACCACAGCAGCACACCTGGCGAGCCACCCCTGGCACCACAGCAGACACCTGGCGAGCCACCCCTGGCACCACAGCGGCACACCTGGCGAGCCACCCCTGGCACCACACCGGCACACCTGGCGAGCCACCCCTGGCACCACAGCAGCACAGCTGGCGAGCCACCCCTGGCACCACACCGGCACACCTGGCGAGCCACCCCTGGCACCACAGCAGCACACCTGGCGAGCCACCCCTGGCACCACAGCAGACACCTGGCGAGCCACCCCTGGCACCACACCGGCACACCTGGCGAGCCACCCCTGGCACCACAGCAGCACACCTGGCGAGCCACCCCTGGCACCACAGCGGCACACCTGGCGAGCCACCCCTGGCACCACACCAGACACCTGGCGAGCCACCCCTGGCACCACACCGGCACACCTGGCGAGCCACCCCTGGCACCACAGCAGCACACCTGGCGAGCCACCCCTGGCACCACACCGGCACACCTGGCGAGCCACCCCTGGCACCACAGCAGCACACCTGGCGAGCCACCCCTGGCACCACACCGGCACACCTGGCGAGCCACCCCTGGCACCACACCAGACACCTGGCGAGCCACCCCTGGCACCACAGCGGCACACCTGGCGAGCCACCCCTGGCACCACACCAGACACCTGGCGAGCCACCCCTGGCACCACACCGGCACACCTGGCGAGCCACCCCTGGCACCACAGCAGCACACCTGGTGAGCCACCCCTGGCACCACAGCAGCACACCTGGTGAGCCACCCCTGGCACCACAGCAGACACCTGGCGAGCCACCCCTGGCACCACAGCAGCACACCTGGCGAGCCACCCCTGGCACCACACCAGACACCTGGCGAGCCACCCCTGGCACCACAGCGGCACACCTGGCGAGCCACCCCTGGCACCACACCAGACACCTGGCGAGCCACCCCTGGCACCACACCGGCACACCTGGCGAGCCACCCCTGGCACCACACCAGCACACCTGGCAAGCCACCCCTGGCACCACACCGGCACACCTGGCGAGCCACCCCTGGCACCACAGCAGACACCTGGCGAGCCACCCCTGGCACCACAGCAGCACACCTGGCGAGCCACCCCTGGCACCACAGCAGCACACCTGGCGAGCCACCCCTGGCACCACAGCAGACACCTGGCGAGCCACCCCTGGCACCACACCGGCACACCTGGCGAGCCACCCCTGGCACCACAGCAGCACACCTGGTGAGCCACCCCTGGCACCACAGCAGCACACCTGGTGAGCCACCCCTGGCACCACACCAGACACCTGGCGAGCCACCCCTGGCACCACACCGGCACACCTGGCGAGCCACCCCTGGCACCACACCAGCACACCTGGCAAGCCACCCCTGGCACCACACCGGCACACCTGGCGAGCCACCCCTGGCACCACAGCAGACACCTGGCGAGCCACCCCTGGCACCACAGCAGCACACCTGGCGAGCCACCCCTGGCACCACAGCAGACACCTGGCGAGCCACCCCTGGCACCACACCGGCACACCTGGCGAGCCACCCCTGGCACCACAGCAGCACACCTGGCGAGCCACCCCTGGCACCACAGCAGCACACCTGGCGAGCCACCCCTGGCACCACAGCAGACACCTGGCGAGCCACCCCTGGCACCACACCGGCACACCTGGCGAGCCACCCCTGGCACCACAGCAGCACACCTGGTGAGCCACCCCTGGCACCACAGCAGCACACCTGGTGAGCCACCCCTGGCACCACACCAGACACCTGGCGAGCCACCCCTGGCACCACAGCAGCACACCTGGCGAGCCACCCCTGGCACCACACCGGCACACCTGGCGAGCCACCCCTGGCACCACAGCAGCACACCTGGCGAGCCACCCCTGGCACCACAGCAGACACCTGGCGAGCCACCCCTGGCACCACAGCGGCACACCTGGCGAGCCACCCCTGGCACCACACCGGCACACCTGGCGAGCCACCCCTGGCACCACAGCAGCACAGCTGGCGAGCCACCCCTGGCACCACACCGGCACACCTGGCGAGCCACCCCTGGCACCACAGCAGCACACCTGGCGAGCCACCCCTGGCACCACAGCAGACACCTGGCGAGCCACCCCTGGCACCACACCGGCACACCTGGCGAGCCACCCCTGGCACCACAGCAGCACACCTGGCGAGCCACCCCTGGCACCACAGCGGCACACCTGGCGAGCCACCCCTGGCACCACACCGGCACACCTGGCGAGCCACCCCTGGCACCACACCGGCACACCTGGCGAGCCACCCCTGGTACCACAGCAGCACACCTGGCGAGCCACCCCTGGCACCACACCGGCACACCTGGCGAGCCACCCCTGGCACCACAGCAGACACCTGGTGAGCCACCCCTGGCACCACACCGGCACACCTGGCAAGCCACCCCTGGCACCACACCGGCACACCTGGCGAGCCACCCCTGGCACCACAGCGGCACACCTGGCGAGCCACCCCTGGCACCACAGCAGCACACCTGGCGAGCCACCCCTGGCACCACAGCGGCACACCTGGTGAGCCACCCCTGGCACCACACCGGCACACCTGGCGAGCCACCCCTGGCACCACAGCGGCACACCTGGCGAGCCACCCCTGGCACCACAGCAGCACACCTGGCGAGCCACCCCTGGCACCACACCAGACACCTGGCGAGCCACCCCTGGCACCACAGCAGACACCTGGCGAGCCACCCCTGGCCCCACAGCGGCACACCTGGCGAGCCACCCCTGGCACCACAGCAGCACACCTGGCGAGCCACCCCTGGCACCACACCAGCACACCTGGCAAGCCACCCCTGGCACCACACCGGCACACCTGGCGAGCCACCCCTGGCACCACACCAGCACACCTGGCAAGCCACCCCTGGCACCACACCGGCACACCTGGCGAGCCACCCCTGGCACCACAGCAGACACCTGGCGAGCCACCCCTGGCACCACACCAGCACACCTGGCGAGCCACCCCTGGCACCACAGCAGCACACCTGGCGAGCCACCCCTGGCACCACAGCAGCACACCTGGCGAGCCACCCCTGGCACCACAGCGGCACACCTGGCGAGCCACCCCTGGCACCACAGCAGCACACCTGGCGAGCCACCCCTGGCACCACACCGCACACCTGGTGAGCCACCCCTGGCACCACAGCAGACACCTGGCGAGCCACCCCTGGCACCACAGCAGCACACCTGGCGAGCCACCCCTGGCACCACAGCAGACACCTGGCGAGCCACCCCTGGCACCACACCGGCACACCTGGCGAGCCACCCCTGGCACCACAGCAGCACACCTGGCGAGCCACCCCTGGCACCACAGCAGACACCTGGTGAGCCACCCCTGGCACCACAGCGGCACACCTGGCGAGCCACCCCTGGCACCACACCAGACACCTGGCGAGCCACCCCTGGCACCACACCGGCACACCTGGCGAGCCACCCTGGCACCACAGCAGCACACCTGGCGAGCCACCCCTGGCACCACACCGGCACACCTGGCGAGCCACCCCTGGTACCACAGCAGCACACCTGGCGAGCCACCCCTGGCACCACAGCGGCACACCTGGCGAGCCACCCCTGGCACCACAGCAGCACACCTGGCGAGCCACCCCTGGCACCACAGCGGCACACCTGGTGAGCCACCCCTGGCACCACACCGGCACACCTGGCGAGCCACCCCTGGCACCACAGCGGCACACCTGGCGAGCCACCCCTGGCACCACAGCAGCACACCTGGCGAGCCACCCCTGGCACCACACCAGACACCTGGCGAGCCACCCCTGGCACCACAGCAGACACCTGGCGAGCCACCCCTGGCCCCACAGCGGCACACCTGGCGAGCCACCCCTGGCACCACAGCAGCACACCTGGCGAGCCACCCCTGGCACCACACCAGCACACCTGGCAAGCCACCCCTGGCACCACACCGGCACACCTGGCGAGCCACCCCTGGCACCACAGCAGACACCTGGCGAGCCACCCCTGGCACCACACCAGCACACCTGGCGAGCCACCCCTGGCACCACAGCAGCACACCTGGCGAGCCACCCCTGGCACCACACCAGCACACCTGGTGAGCCACCCCTGGCACCACACCGGCACACCTGGCGAGCCACCCCTGGCACCACAGCAGACACCTGGCGAGCCACCCCTGGCACCACAGCAGCACACCTGGCGAGCCACCCCTGGCACCACACCGGCACACCTGGCGAGCCACCCCTGGCACCACACCGGCACACCTGGAGAGCCACCCCTGGCACCACAGCGGCACACCTGGCGAGCCACCCCTGGCACCACAGCAGCACACCTGGCGAGCCACCCCTGGCACCACAGCGGCACACCTGGCGAGCCACCCCTGGCACCACACCGGCACACCTGGCGAGCCACCCCTGGCACCACACCGGCACACCTGGCGAGCCACCCCTGGCACCACAGCAGACACCTGGCGAGCCACCCCTGGCACCACAGCAGCACACCTGGCGAGCCACCCCTGGCACCACAGCAGACACCTGGCGAGCCACCCCTGGCACCACACCGGCACACCTGGCGAGCCACCCCTGGCACCACAGCAGCACACCTGGCGAGCCACCCCTGGCACCACAGCGGCACACCTGGCGAGCCACCCCTGGCACCACACCAGACACCTGGCGAGCCACCCCTGGCACCACAGCAGACACCTGGCGAGCCACCCCTGGCCCCACAGCGGCACACCTGGCGAGCCACCCCTGGCACCACACCAGCACACCTGGCGAGCCACCCCTGGCACCACAGCAGACACCTGGCGAGCCACCCCTGGCACCACAGCAGCACACCTGGCGAGCCACCCCTGGCACCACAGCGGCACACCTGGCGAGCCACCACTGGCACCACAGCAGACACCTGGCGAGTCACCCCTGGCACCACAGCAGACACCTGGCGAGCCACCCCTGGCACCACACCAGCACACCTGGCGAGCCACCCCTGGCACCACAGCGGCACACCTGGCGAGCCACCCCTGGCACCACAGCAGCACACCTGGTGAGCCACCCCTGGCACCACAGCAGCACACCTGGTGAGCCACCCCTGGCACCACAGCGGCACACCTGGCGAGCCACCCCTGGCACCACAGCAGACATCTGGCGAGCCACCCCTGGCACCACAGCAGACACCTGGCGAGCCACCCCTGGCACCACACCGGCACACCTGGCGAGCCACCCCTGGCACCACAGCAGACACCTGGCGAGCCACCCCTGGCACCACAGCAGCACACCTGGCGAGCCACCCCTGGCACCACAGCAGACACCTGGCGAGCCACCCCTGGCACCACACCGGCACACCTGGCGAGCCACCCCTGGCACCACAGCAGCACACCTGGCGAGCCACCCCTGGCACCACAGCGGCACACCTGGCGAGCCACCCCTGGCACCACACCAGACACCTGGCGAGCCACCCCTGGCACCACAGCAGACACCTGGCGAGCCACCCCTGGCCCCACAGCGGCACACCTGGCGAGCCACCCCTGGCACCACACCAGCACACCTGGCGAGCCACCCCTGGCACCACAGCAGACACCTGGCGAGCCACCCCTGGCACCACAGCAGCACACCTGGCGAGCCACCCCTGGCACCACAGCGGCACACCTGGCGAGCCACCACTGGCACCACAGCAGACACCTGGCGAGTCACCCCTGGCACCACAGCAGACACCTGGCGAGCCACCCCTGGCACCACACCAGCACACCTGGCGAGCCACCCCTGGCACCACAGCGGCACACCTGGCGAGCCACCCCTGGCACCACAGCAGCACACCTGGTGAGCCACCCCTGGCACCACAGCAGCACACCTGGTGAGCCACCCCTGGCACCACAGCGGCACACCTGGCGAGCCACCCCTGGCACCACAGCAGACATCTGGCGAGCCACCCCTGGCACCACAGCAGACACCTGGCGAGCCACCCCTGGCACCACACCGGCACACCTGGTGAGCCACCCCTGGCACCACAGCAGACACCTGGCGAGCCACCCCTGGCACCACAGCGGCACACCTGGCGAGCCACCCCTGGCACCACAGCAGCACACCTGGCGAGCCACCCCTGGCACCACACCGGTACACCTGGCGAGCCACCCCTGGCACCACACCGGCACACCTGGCGAGCCACCCCTGGTACCACAGCAGACACCTGGCGAGCCACCCCTGGCACCACACCGGCACACCTGGCGAGCCACCCCTGGCACCACAGCGGCACACCTGGCGAGCCACCCCTGGCACCACAGCAGCACACCTGGCGAGCCACCCCTGGCACCACACCGGCACACCTGGTGAGCCACCCCTGGCACCACAGCAGCACACCTGGCGAGCCACCCCTGGCACCACACCAGCACACCTGGCGAGCCACCCCTGGCACCACAGCAGCACACCTGGTGAGCCACCCCTGGCACCACAGCGGCACACCTGGCGAGCCACCCCTGGCACCACAGCAGCACACCTGGCGAGCCACCCCTGGCACCACACCGGCACACCTGGTGAGCCACACCTGGCACCACAGCAGACACCTGGCGAGCCACCCCTGGCACCACAGCAGCACACCTGGCGAGCCACCCCTGGCACCACAGCAGACACCTGGCGAGCCACCCCTGGCACCACACCGGCACACCTGGCGAGCCACCCCTGGCACCACAGCAGCACACCTGGCGAGCCACCCCTGGCACCACAGCAGACACCTGGTGAGCCACCCCTGGCACCACAGCGGCACACCTGGCGAGCCACCCCTGGCACCACACCGGCACACCTGGCGAGCCACCCCTGGCACCACAGCAGCACACCTGGCGAGCCACCCCTGGCACCACACCGGCACACCTGGTGAGCCACCCCTGGCACCACAGCAGCACACCTGGCGAGCCACCCCTGGCACCACACCAGCACACCTGGCGAGCCACCCCTGGCACCACAGCAGCACACCTGGTGAGCCACCCCTGGCACCACAGCGGCACACCTGGCGAGCCACCCCTGGCACCACAGCAGCACACCTGGCGAGCCACCCCTGGCACCACACCGGCACACCTGGTGAGCCACACCTGGCACCACAGCAGCACACCTGGCGAGCCACCCCTGGCACCACACCAGACACCTGACGAGCCACCCCTGGCACCACAGCAGACACCTGGCGAGCCACCCCTGGCACCACAGCAGACACCTGGTGAGCCACCCCTGGCACCACAGCAGACACCTGGTGAGCCACCCCTGGCACCACAGCGGCACACCTGGCGAGCCACCCCTGGCACCACACCAGACACCTGGCGAGCCACCCCTGGCACCACACCAGACACCTGGCGAGCCACCCCTGGCAGTCCCGCCCCGGGGCAGAAGGCTTTACCACCTGCAGGTAAGGCTAAACCCATCTGGAGCTGTCAACAGGACGTATTCACTAGCTGGAAAAGATTCCGTTAATGGAGCAAAACAGTGTAGGAACAAAGGAAGTCTTTGGTGACTTCAATAATCACCTGTATGAAATCCTGTCTAACTTAATTTTTACTTTTCAGTCATCTTACTCATTTGATGCAGACAAACGTTACCTCATTTATGCTTCATCACAGGCCCTGCAATGACAAATTAACCATTTTGACATCACTGTAAACAGTTTTCTAACAGTAGATTTTAAACCCTTATTTCTTTCCGTTCTCAATAAGTACATCATTGGCGAGAATGAAGAGCTGTTCTGTTTCACTAGTTACAGCATTACTTACACTAATATTTCTCCTTACTACACCTGTGATGCTACGTTTCTCTTTGAAGTCTCCTTTGTACGCAGTCTGAAACCTAAATATAAAACAAGTCCTCGTCCTTAGGAATGTGCAAACTAGTGCTGAGGTAATTTTGTGTTTGCGGTCTTGTGTAGGCAGTCTTTTAAAAATTGAGACTGACTACCCAAGAGGAACTCAAAAATCCCAGGCATCTATCTGAGCATTAAGTTAGCTCTTCCTTTCTTTCACTTCCAACACCTACAGAGCAAGCAAAGACAAGTCTGCTGAGAATCCTGAGACACAGTGTGAAATCTAGGGAAGAAATCCCAAAGGAGGGACTGTCTCTCAAAAAAAAGGGTTTTTCTGCTGTAAGGAGTGTGAAATGTACATTTTCAAAGGGGAGTTGACCGAGCAGGAAGCTCTGGGTGGGACAGGCGGTAGCATTTCTCCTGCCGCGTTTGTAACAAAGGCTCATTTGAGGCGAAACTGCACAGACATGCAGTGCCAGGGACTGAATGCAGCAGGGATGCGGAGAGCTGGCCACGCAGGAGGGTATTGTAACAAAGCCCTTCCAGCCGTGGCCTGGCTCCTGCCACTGCCCAAATTATTCAGTTTACAACAGTTTAGTTATGCCGACAGTGTGCCGCAGCTGTGAGTTAGCTGTGCGTCGGGCTCCTGAAGGGGTATGACTTGCTTCTTCTCAACAGAATAAAGAGATCTTGAGAATCTCGTGATACAGGGATGGATTGTTGTTGTGATACCACAATTTGTAGTTATGCTTGATGCTGAGGTTAAGGCTGAGAGTGATGGTTCTGGTTCCGTGGTACCAATAAAAAAGGAGGTTGCACTTTGCTTAGACTTGCAAAAAACATGCTCGCTGGGACAGACGCATATGTAGAGACAAAAGTATTTCTAATGGGGCTTGGTTTTACATACAAATAGTTTTCATTCTCCTCAGTAATTCGTGCAACTCTGAACTTTATGATAGGTTCTCTAAGTTGTTCTGAAACCTCACCTATGATACTTAGAGATGTCTGACTTTTTCAAATTTCAGCATCGTGTTTTTGGTTCTTTATACACTTTTTATACAGATTTTCATAGCACCATACCTTAAATTATCCACCCTTGGCCATCTCATTACTGATAGTACTTGGTATCGCCTCTTCAGTTGGGGTAGAGACTGATTAATCTTTCTTTTTGCCTTTTTAAGAAATAAATACATACGAAGTTCAATATTTTTTAAAAAATTAAATTATTTCCCACCTATTTTATAAATGTCCTCGTTCATTAATTAAGGCTCATGAGGCAAATAGTAACAACGTTAGTATTGATCAAGCACCAAGAAACACAGGCAACATAATTGTAATTGATTAATCTAGCAACTGAAGTAGACATTAATGTGTAGTCTTTGTGACACTGCTAGTAATCTCAAATAAAAAAATTCTGCTATGATATGTCCACTTATTTATGTATACTTTTGTGTGCACAAAAACTGTGGGATAATGAATTGCAAATGTTTTATCTTAGATAGGAAAATGCAGAAAGCTGTGAAAAGGACATCTAAAAGGTATGTGTGTGCATATGTAGATACATCACAAAAACTGTAGTTTATATTTTTCTTCGGTCATATCAAACTTCTCAAATGTATTTCTACCTTGTGCTACATCTTAAAATCTCATTTTTCTAGTTCTTTAGACACCTCTTCAGCTCTTTGGTTAAAGAGCCATGGCTTGGTTGCTCGGCGACTCACCATCATGGATGCCTTAGCTCCGACAGCCGTCCCTCATGGTACCAAGTACATCCCAGTCCTGGACAAGCATGTAGCTTCTAAAGTATTTGATGAGGTAAAACTCTTACGCTGTTTCAGTCAAACATACAACTTTCTGCTGTTTTCAAAAGGATTTTTAACTTCATTGCTATAAATGTCATAGTTACATTCTCTAGTGTTCATTGCAGATGGCTGATGTGCACTAAATATATAATATATATAGTATTTTTTGCAGACGTTAGCCTTAAGTTTTAGAACTATATCTTTTTTTTTTTTTTTTCACAGTTACCAGTTGATGGCAGTGTACAGCCATCAGGTGTTCAGCAAATTCTTGAGCACCACAGCCGCTACTGATACATATTAATTCACTGGAATATGTATTTTAGGTCCATGAAGTCATTTGGAAAACTGCAGGTGCACAGTTTGTGGATTTGTGCATTCTCAAGGTTTACATGTGACTGCTAAGACCTTTTGAAAAGTATTGGAATTCAGTAATTAAAATTTAATTATGATAGGTGTAGGCAATTGTGAGATTGAACAAAATTCATTATGAATTGTGTATCACGAAGCTCTGTTTGCTATTACACTTAAAGGAAATCCATTTCTTGGCAAGTTGCTCTAATTCTTGTGTGATGCATCCTATGAAGGTCCTATGAAAGTGTTGCAGCTCGTTTTAAGTAATAAAAGCTGTTTCTTTAAACAATAATCAAATAAAAAGCTAAACAGCATCTTTTTAAATAATAAGGGGTGAGCAAGGGTTTTGTAACAGAATGTGATATAACTCTAAGTAAAATATTTATAACAGAAGTACACATTTGTACATTTTAGAGTTTTCATGTTTGTTTTTTAAGTTCAGGAATGGGAATTTTTGCTAAAGCATGCAGGTTGTGGAAGCAAAACCAGATCCTCTGCCTTAGTAAAACCAAGTTGAATCTAAAACTTTTAAGAATTTTTTTGAAGTGCGAGGCTTTTTTTTGGTATGCAATAAAAAGGTAGCTTTCTGTATCAAAAACATTAAAAAGTGTACATTTTAACATTTCAGATGTAAAATGGCCATTTCTCAAAAAAATGTAGACATTCAATGGTTACAAAACTGTACAAAACAAGCTACTGTAAGTAGAACATCAAACAAAGGACATTGTGACTTTCACATAACTCTATGTCTGATTTCTGGGCAGTCACTTCTTGTCTGATCTTCTTCTGAATATGTGTATGAAGTAGAGCTCTTTCTTCCTTGTTTCTAAATGAAGACCCCCTTAAATCCTTTCCAGCCAAACCTGAGCTGCATTTGAACTTCTGTTTGCAAAGCCAGTAGTCTGTAAAGAAAACAGTCAAAACTGTGGTTCAGCAGGTGCAATGTACAGGTCGTTTTTAGTGGCGGTCCAGGGGAGCTTAGGGTAGTCTAGTTCAGGGCTGGATTAAGTTCAGTGTTCTTAGAATGTACAGAATCCAAACAGTGATCCATGGGCTTTCTTTAGATTCAGAGATATAAGCACAAAATAATATACGATTGTTACTGCTCTTCTGTACCTGCTAATCCCCATTAATTGCATAGAGACACTCAGTTGCTTAGAGAGTGGGGAGTTACTGTTCTGTGTGTAGGGGCCTGGGGTTTTCTGGATCTGAAGCAGAGTATAGAAAGGAAAAAGAAGTTTGGGGGTTGCACATGAGGTGGAACCAGTAGAATTTATGAGCTGTAGAACCAGCTCTCCCTCAAGCTTCATATCAGCATATCAAAGAAAAGCAGAAAATAGGTTCTGAGACTAGGCATAGAGCTTGAATAGAAGACATTAACAAGTTGATTAAGAATCTTGATTAATTCAGTACTTCAGAAGACATCATTGAAGATAATAAATGTGCAGGCAGTTTTGCATTCTTCCTTCTGATATCTTAGTTTTTTTGTTGTAGAATGCAGACATCTGTGTTTGCTTTTCTGGGGATAGTAGTTTTTATTTTCAGCCTTCGCTAGCAGTGACGATGGAGTAACTATGAGCAGTCTTCTCACCTTGGAGAAGCAGCAAGCAAAAGGTTTCCATGCCAACTGTTGATTAACAAGGGGCTGACCTGTTGTTTTCAGTTCTGTGTGACCTGTCAGTTTCACCTGAGTTATTTTGAAGAGCTTAATTCATTAAACTACCCATCAGATTCATATGCAAAAAAAAAAAAAAAAAACCAAAAAAACAAAACAAAACCCAAAAAACTTGGGGGCTTGTCTAAATTGCACTACAGTCGTTCTGGAGCAAACCTTCCTTATAGAATCATGTGAGTATCTGTTGCAATTTGTGGCATCTGAAGTAGAACTTTGCAAGTTATGGAGTTTTGACTCAGTGCTATGCTCAAAAGAATCAAGCTGTGATTCAGCCAACAAAAATTTTGTTGTTTGGTCTAAAATAAGAAAGATTTTTCTAGGATTATTGTGCTTTGGTTTTGTCTTTAAAAATTTGAAATTTTGGGTTTGAAATAAACGCCATTTTGAAACAAGGGAATTCTTTTGATATGAAAGTTTAAGTATTTAATTTAAAAAATGACAAAACATTTTGGCACTTAAAAAGCTTCCCTGTGATTTCTTTCAGCTGAATCTGTCAAATTTCTCTTGACTTCGTGAGCAGTTTTCATTGATTTCGAAGTATGCATAATATTTCAGATTTACTATTTGCTAAGAACACATTCTGTTCTGGTTTTATTCTTCGATACTGTAATAATGTGTTTATGTTTGTCTGTCCCTCATATCCTATTCAAAGTGTTTTATAAACTGTATCAGACACTCATTTTGCAAATGATGCCGTTTGTACTTGGAGTTACTCTGGGAATTTGTAAGGAAATGTAGGAGAGGGATTCTACATGGTGAAGCCCTGCTGAACTTTTACTAACTTGGTTTGAGTAACATAGCAGACCATAACCATGGCAGTATGGAACTGGAAGTGGGGTACTCTCAGTTCCTTGATTTAAGCTTTCAAATTCCACCTGGAAATCTCAGGTAGCCAGATCTGATGGCTCACAGTTCTGGGCAGAGATTTACCTCATCCGTCTCTGACAAGATACTTCACTGACACATTCCCATTAGCTCTAGCTTCTAGGTGATCTTAAGATTAATTTACTATTAGGAGATTGAGGTGGTCTGGCACTGATTGGACACAGATTTATTAATCAGAGAGAAGATGTCCTCAGAAGGAGAGCGGAATATAAAGTCACATCACTGCTCCTGCAGAACGGTCATACAGCAGTAATTTGGAATCCAGCTAGGCTGTGATGATTCAAACACAAATAAAAGATCACTGAAAAATGTTCTTAATTAAAGAAATCTTTTTATTGTTTTATTTTCTGATTTCTTGCCTTATTTACCCAACAGGGGGTTTAGTTTTAGTTAAATTGAACCTCGTGCATCTTTTTGTTATCTATATCCCGATCTCAGACAGGCACTAGGAGAAGCTTCCCACACAACCAGATTTGTTGAAGACAGTTTTGGGGAGAGTAATATCCTCTGTCTTCTCCATTTCTTTCTTGGATTTTTTTCTGTTTATAATCATCATCAGGACACTGATATGTAAAATAGGTTTTCTTACATGAACTGCTGAATAATTTGAGAGGCTGAGGGATGGTGGGACTTTGGACTGGTAGATGGGAAGACATCTTTCCTCCTCTCTGTCATCCTTTTCTACCCTCTTGTCTGCCTTTTCAAGATCTACTTGTAAGTGTATGACTTCATATTTTATAATGAAGTTGATTTATGTCAATGCTGTATTGTGAGATTTGAGAGGTATTAAAGTTCCTGATTCTGACCAACCTGTTTAGCTTCCTAAGCCTCATTGTGGTTATTTAAGACTAGTTTCAGTGAACAATATACACCTTGTTCACTCTGGTGATCAGTGTGGTGGTGAAAAATGTCTCTCCCCTTCTTTAGTACTCCAATTCCTTTGAAAATATGGTCCTCCAGAATAAAAGTATTAAATACACCTAAATAAATACCACACCTGTATGCTAGAATTAGATGCCAATAAGTATAAGAGAGTGTTGTTTTAAAGTAATACAGTCTGGAGTATGGTCACGATATAGACATGCTTGTCTTCCTCCTGACCTTCCCTTCCATTATTAGAGTAAGTTGTTTGACAGAACTGATTTAGTTAGACTGAACTACTAGTTAGGAACCTTACTGTGCAACTTCTGCAGAAAGGGATTGTATCATTGCAGAAGATTTTATTAACAGGCTGGAAACTGTCTTAATTCCGACATTTCTTTGGGGTGCTCAAATCTTTCCTTCTGTAGCCCTCCAGTGTTCCTTCTGGCTGCTCTGATCCTTGGACTCATGGGCATTCAGTTATTCTGGTGGAGGAAAAGTTACAGGGTAAATGAAGTCTTTTATTCTTTTTCTTGTATGTTGTATAATAGATGTTACCGTTGGCCCACGTTAGCAACGACAAGAAGCGGATCACACTAATTAACCCTCAGGCAGTGAATCTTGATGCCTATATAGAGAAGCTGGAACAAGCAATTAAATCCTATGAAAGGCAAGTCTGCTTATCAGAAATTTATAATGTTTGCAGTCTAATTTCAGATTTTTCTTATGTAGTGGGTATTTGCTCACACATGCTTTGCTCAATACTGGTAATTCTGCTCATTGGCACACTTTAATCCACCATCAACCTGTAGGAGAAATGCTTATTCAAAAAAGAATGCAGAATGAAAAATTAGATAATATACAGGGAGACATTAACTAACATGTTGCTCATACTATTTTTGTTCAATGAAAAAAAAAAAAAAGTTACTTTCTGGGCATAAGCCTGAAGGCCCTGGTGAATGTCCCGCACACACACAGTGCTAGCCAACTGTTTGACTTACAATTAAGTTCCTAAATCCATAGACTGACCTTTAAATTAGTGGCCTGCTTTTTGCTGCCAGCTGCCTAGCACTTAACAATGGATGTGAGAATGTAACTGAGGAATCTGTAAGATAATGACAATTTTAAAGTTAGGTTGGTTTTTGGTTTGGTTTTTTTTTTTTTTTTTTTTGAGAGATGTGTTGTGCTTATTAATTAAATGTTGGTAAAAGCACATCAGAAGTAAATAGTACAAGGACATTAGATCTCTAAGCTATTTCTTTCCTTGATCTAACTGCATTTTTTTGAAGTAATGCAATTATTTGACTACTAACGTCATTCAGTAACTTTATGAGAGCTTTGACTAGAATTGTTTTAATAAATAAGATGTCTTTTTCAGGCTGTATTCTAATAAAATTTACAGACGTAATCATTTCATATGACTGAAAACCCCTTGATGACAAGTATTTAGTCTTTGTTTTTTGATGAGTTTCACTGAGGTCCTTTAAATTTTTTTTCCCCTCTGTAGCAACATGGTCATACCAGTTATTTTTAAAGCATGTAATAGCTCTGGTTTTCATTCCTGTTTCCTCTCTCTAAATGCATCCACCTTTTGTGGTAAAAATCAAGAATTATGGTTTGCAAATGCTGCTTGCTATGTCTAATATTAATGGAATTCAGTGAATAAAAATCTATTGGTTTTGTGTGCTCTGTCACCGAGACAATACTATTATTATCAGGCTGATGAAGAACTCATAGAAATCTGTATTTGTCACTCATTTTGATAGAAGGTTCGAGTAGTGTATATTTAATGGTGACTTCTGAAAAAAATTCAGGTTTTTCATTGCTGTGCCATACCACTGAATGTTTTACATTTATTGACTTCAATTTTGGGAGAAAGAAAAGTGCTTTCTGGTTAAATTCTGATGATCTACTGACAGCATTTTCACAGTCTCCCCAAGACTCTGGTGACTGGGAGTACTGTTTACTTATGTTTACTCACAGTGGTCAATGAATCAGTGTATTTACAATAGTAGGATTGAGCTCCATACTTCTGTGAAAAAGATGTATAGAAGAGAAATCTGCCTGCAGATCCTTATAATTGACAATGTAAAGAAGAGTTCTCATTGCCTTTCCTCTACATGTGAAACAGCAACCCAGTCAAATTTCTTTTGCTATAAATGCCACAGTACTTTTCCAGTAACTGAATTTGCGAAGGCTGCAGTTCACCTTTGTGAATAGCGATTGGTCACAACTTTATTCTGACATCTGTAGATGAGACAATACATCAGGGCATGCAGATTTCAAGAACAGAAACAAGCATGACAATGTCTTCCCCATATGTAGATTGACCTTATCATCAGATTTAGAGGGAGAAAAGTGGCGGGCACAGAGATTTTGTGCTCTGACAAAGAGAATATCCAGTATTGAAGGAGAAAAATGCTGGAAGTTTCAAAATGTGTATGATCTTATATAGCCAGAAGCTTTTACAAATGAGTTAGTTATGAGTGTGCACATTTAAAAATATGAAATAGGCAGTTGAGCATGCTGAGACTGCAGATTGTGAATGAACTAAGTAATTTACATTCTAAAAGTGCTGGGGTTTGGTTTCTAGTATATAAAATGAATCATCAAGAAATTCATGTTCAAAATCTGGTGTTAATGAGCTTTTTTGTACATGCACCAGTAAATCTGGCAAGACTAAAAAATCTAATGGTTATGATCTGAATTTTTCCTAACAATGAATTTGTTCTTGTATTTCCAAAGGAAGTTTGAAAATTTTTCTAGAATTAGAGCAATTAGGATCATCAGTAGAGGTTTATTTCAGTAGTATGAAAGGAAGTAATTGAGTGATGGCTTAATTGTTTGAGATGTTAACAGAGAAAACTGTAAGCTAGATGACCTAATAAGAGTTTATAATTTATGTCTAAAAAATAAAAGCAGAAAGTTTAGTGGTGCTTTTAAAAGAACTGCATTGCTTTGGGATAATCACTTCTGTTTTCCTGTCAGTGGTTTTTCTTCATAGCCAGAGTTTAATGAAGTAGAAACCTGAATAGCACAACTGAGCGGTTATCTGAGCAGAAAAAAAGATAAAAATTAGCATTGCTCTCTCTGCGACTTCAGGCTACAGTTTTCTGAAACTGTTTAGTTGGAACAACTGTGCTTAGCTTAACTGGCATTTAATCAGTTTTGTTATTTGATTTAGCTTTCTGGTGCTGAAGAGAACCATCCATAGAAATTCCTGGCAGGAAGCAGCAGTGATTGCCATTAATCGTTCCGTGACCCTGAAATAGTCATGCTGCTACTTGATGGAAGATGCTGTTTTCCCATCTTCTCTTGCAGTTGATAATTTCATAGCTGAATGATAAGGATACAATTCGATGATACAGCACTCTTGGAATACAAACCAGTGCAGATATCTTAAGAAACTGTGTTTATTTGCTAGTTTTGAGATGATCAGCTGCACAAGGAACTGCATTCCCTCAAAAACTGATTTGCTTTCTTTAATAGGCGCCTAAACCTAATTATTTGGAGAGCACTATCTCAGGAGGAAAGAGACAAGTAAGCGTTCACTTTTGGTTTTCTAATTTACCTATGAAAGGCTGGTCATAAAATAATTATAATTTTTAACCACTATTTCTGTACCCAACTGGTTTTATTTGCAAATATTTCATAATTATACCTTACTTTCAAAAATGTATAAGTGATACGGAATAATATTAAATTCTGGACCCGCTTCTTGCAGTACTGATTATTTTAAAAGAAAAGGACTTGCATTCCATTTGAATGGTACCAGCCTATTCTTAATCAGTGTCAAGTGGCAGGGCCCTGGGAGGGCAGCGTGTCATTGCCTTTGGCATCAAGGTAAATATTCTCTCCTCCCATAAAGAGCACGTCAGTGGCTGGTTTGTACTGGTATAATAAGGGCCTTTGCAGCATGTGCTGGAACTGTATATCACACTGTAAGTTTGTATTACCTTAACTACCTTATTTCTGTATATTGATTTAGAAAACTAGTGAGTCTATAAACAGGACTGACATCAGTGAAGTTAGTATCTATTTACTTCAGGGAATAATGTGAGATCGATTTATGAAAACTGAATGGGCATGAAATATTCCTAGGCAGAAAAATGGGAATGAAAACTAGAATGCTTTTAAGGAGACTTAAGCTAATGAGCAAAAAATATGACGTTCTATCATCAGTAAAGAGAACTAAAACCCCTGGTGCAGAGGAAGTAAAGGCTGTTAAACAAAAGAACAGCATAGAACTAAAAAAAAAAAAACAACACCAAAAACCAACAGGATATAGATGTCTGTTGACAGACAATGAGTTGTAGAGTACAGGAAATTAACAGGGTGGTATCCAAAATATTTCCCTGTTGGTAGCATATGGCCAGTAATGTATATAATGTAGCAATTAATATGCTAGATAGGCATATTAAGTTTGTTATTATTGGTGCATAGAAATTGAAATATTTTTTCTATTTCTCTTCTAAAGTTACAATTTAAATGATCATGTTTGTGTATTACAGAAGAATGACAACATACTTTCAAAATTAGTAATCTGGAAGGAAAGAGTAATAAACAAAGTCTACAGACTTGGTCACAGGAGTCCTGAAATAATTGAGGAGCTTTCTGGTTCGCCAGTGTGTATTAAAATGTTACCTCAGATACTAGGGAAATCCAAATTTACTAGAGCAGTGGTAATGTTGTGCTTGTGTTCAGAATGGTTGAGAGGGCCAGCTCAGGAGATGTTAGCTTGACATTGATTGTGAATTAATAATGCATTCAGGTGATAGAGAGCAAAATCTAATAACTTTCAATACAACGCAGTTCCTGGAGGAGTGGAGAGATAAGCAGTGGCAGAGTAGGGCAACATGGTAGGCATCACCATGGTTGTATGTGTTGGTAAGAGAGACACTTAAATACTATTCCCAGTTCTAGGTTTCACATTTTTTAAAATGTTGTCGAAACTGTAGAGAAGATCCACAAAAGAAGAGCTACTTTTTGAGTACTAAAAAGAAGTATGTTACTGCCGATTGAAGACGTAATGAATTCTACCTGTTCTGGATTTTTGAGGGTTTTGTTTGTTTGTCTTTTATCAACAAGGTGACTGTACCTAATTCACCTTTTGATTTATAAGTACCTTTGGTATGTAGCTTCAAACTGGCTCTTCAGGCTAGTGGACATTGACATCACCCATCCACCGGCATGGATGGAAGCAAAGTCCTGACCACTGAGTGAAACTGAGCAGTGCAGGACTGACAGAGGAATAAGCAGCAGAAGACTGTCTTTTTTATGTGATCAATAAAGACTGATGCTTGCCACCTCACTCTGGCTGCTGCTTCAGAAGGGCCAGGGATTTACATAATTTCTCAGTCGTATCTGCGAGTTGTTTACTGACGCCTCACATATTCTAGGACACCTACAATGGCACCGGACATCTGTGCTCAGCCACTTGAGCTGCTCTGTAGATGTCTGTGCTGGTTTTGGCTGGGGTAGAGTTGATTTCCTCCACAGCAGCCAGTGTGGGGCTGCGTCCTGGATTTGCGCTGGAAACGGTGTTGCTAACACAGGGCTGTGTTGGCTGTTGCTCAGCAGTGCCTGCACAGCCTCACGGCCTTCTGCTTCTCACCCGGCCCCGGCAGCGGGGAGGCCGGGGGGGCCCAGGGAATTTGGAGGGGACCCAGCCGGGAGGGCTGAGCCCCGCTGGCCAGAGGGACACCCCGCGCCGTGTGACAGCGTGCTCAGCAGCAGGACCTGGGGGAAGGAGGCAGGGGGGCCGTTGGAAGCGATGGGGTTCGCCTTCCCGCTTCAGCGTTAGGCGGGACGGAGCCGGGCTCCCCTGGGGACGGCTGAGCCCCTGCCTGCCCCTGGGGAGGGGGGATGGATCCCTGGCTTTGCCTGGCTCGCGTCCGCAGCTTCTGCTTTGCCCACTAAACTGTTTTAATCTCAACCCGTGAGTCTCTGCGCTTTTTTTTTCTGCCGATTCTCTCCCCCGTCCCACCCAGGAGGAGTGAACAAGTGTCCGGGTGCTGCTTAGTTGCCGGCTGGGGCTAAACCACAACGTCTTCCCATGAGATATGGCTACGCCAGATGTGATTGTTTGACTAAACACAACAGTAGCTGGATAAAACACAATAACTTGTGGTATATAGAAGATAGATTGGATGAATCTTATGTTTCATTCTGCTTTTATGCTTTGTGATTTTATTTGTAAAGCATTGGCAAAATTAAAATTTTTCCTACTTGTGATTACTATTTTTTTTTTAAATATATTTTTTTAAGGTTTAAAGAGGATGGACCAGTCCAATATATGCAGCATAAAGAAGCTTTGCTGGGGGCTTTAGAGAATTTGGGATGGCCAATTTCCTGTGAAGATGTAATATTGTTAGAAGATGAGATACTGGCTGCTTTAACATATATACAACAAGCCTCTGATCTTCAGGAAGCTGTCAAAAAGGAAGCTGAGAAAAGCTCAGAATCACACATAAGCAACAATAAAAAGGTAATAGATTAGAAGTGATTTCCCCCCCCCCAGATATTTGTCTTCCCTATGTGCTTCTGGATTAATTTTCTTCCATGATTATAGCTGATAAAGTAAGCATTTAGCATGATGTTGTACAAATGGATAGAAGAAAGAAGGTAGTTAAAAAGAGAGCAAGCTTTCAATGACTTTTTCTATGTACTGGGGAAGCAGAAGTCCTGAAGCTGAGAGAGCCATAGAAATCGAGCCTCCTAGTAACAAATCTGAGCAAAGTATCTTTATCTCCTCTGCAATGGCAGCAGAGATTTATATGAAAGAAGAGAAAGAAGAGATATATTAAAGACAATTATGATATAAGATTTGTGGTTAGGTTAATATTTAATAAACAGGACTGAAAGATCTTGTAACGTTGGAGTAATTCACTGTAATCTTCTGTGGTATCTTTCTCGTAAGAGAAAAGATGGAGAGGTGAGATTCAGCTTCATATTTGGACACTAAAATTTAGCTGTCCATAAAATGAAGGCATGCACGAACTGGTGGCCAATCTCACAGTGTTGTGGATGGAGTCAGTGGCATCTGGAGCTCATCCTGAAGTGGACACCTACTTTTGGCAAGCCAAAGTTCTCTCTCCACTCCATTAATAATACAGTAGCAGAAAGTAGTCTAGCTGCTCTGAAACTGTGATTGAAGTTTGTGATTTTTGATCAAGATAGATATATGCCCTCAAGATGAACCTCTGATTTTACTTGGAATGCTCTTGAGAGGTTTAATGAAATGAGTATAGAAATACATGAAGCAATATGTGTAAAAATAAGGCTAGTAAATTATTTTAAGCTGCCCTATTGGAAGAGAGAACATACTTTTTAATTTTCTCTTTTTCTGTGGTGGTGTATATGGTCAGAAAACATATCTTAGGTTACAGTGTTGTATTCTCCTATTATTATTTTCACTCTTCCAGAACATTTTTGAAAATGAATTGATTCTACCTTCATGGTTTTACCTTCAAGATATGAGTATGAATACCCAGGGAAATTAAGAACATCCTTTTAAGTTTTTAAAAGTGATTTAATCTTCCCCAGTGGAAAGATTTCAATATATGCTATTGATGCTTTGAAATTCAAAGTACTTACCTCTGAAAAAAACAAACCATTTCTCTTATTGGTTTCAAGTTTTTTCGTCGAAAAGCCTCACCAAACGCTGCTTCACTCAGAGTACTGCTGCCTCTGCAGAACTGCTGTCTAGGCAGAGTCAATGGTAATATTAAAATAAGCTCTCTAGGAAATTAATAAGAAAGAAAAAACTGTTCTCAAACCTTTAAGTTCTAATAGACAATAAGTAAAAACAAGTAAAGAACTAATCATAAAGCTCATATGTTACCATATTCCCTTTCTTGTTCATTGTTTTGTATCACTGAGTGGGAAACTGCTCTTACTGAACTTGAAGGTGGGGTTGGCTTAGTTGCAGTGAATGCTGAGGAAAGTCCTATCCTTTATATTATGTAGAAAACATAATCAAACGATCATAATAGTTCTTTTTTTCCCTGAGGTATGCATGTATAAGTACACAAATATGTGTATATATATATATATACACAAACATACATCAGTTTGAAGAGGTAAGCTAAGTGAAACTCAAATGAGCCCAGCACAGTCCTAGACTGTGAGTTCTCAGCAATGAACGGGAAAGTACAGTTGAACTTTACAACTGTAAATTATACCAAGTATCCATATTCTCTGCTTACCAGAGTATAGCAAAAATATTTTATTTGATATTCATTGACTGAGACATACCTCTCTTTTCATCAAGATCAACAATAGTTTTCATGATGAGCTGTGCCTTTTACATACTATAAGTTATAAAAAATTATTTGTGTTAAATTGAATAGAATATATTATGGTAGAACAGGCCATGTGTGAACATCAGTGATTATAGAAAGGATTACTTTCAGTTTTCTGTAGGTTTTGAGAATTTTTTTTCGATTAAGACCATACATTTGAAAACATTTGAATATCTTAAAATAACAGATGATGATTAATTTTCCATTAGTCTGAAAATACCACATTGCCAATACAGCTATTTTGATTATGGAATTACCTCTGCTATGTAATATCCCAATACAAGAGCAGAGGAAACATGTTCATGTTTCATTTGTTGACTGTAATTTTACTGTTGCCTTGAAACAACCAATGTGTGCTCTCAGACATGATGTGATTAACATTGTGCAATCACTTATCCTGAGTCAACCTGCTTTAGGAGCCTAATCAGAGCACCATCTTCAGTAATTACTAATCTGCCCCTGAAAGGCTTTAAGAGTGAGAGGCAGAAGTGCAGATGTAATTAGAGTTCTGTTTATGTGGTGGAAAAAATAAAAAAAGTGAAATAAAAACCCCAGAAAAACCTGGGGAGCCTTTTAAAAATGCTGTTGGAGGTTTCTCCAAGTGAGATGTCTGTCTACAAAATGGGTATAAAAAAGTAAACTGCCGGCTGAAATACAGGAAATAGCTCATATGGCACTGAATGAAAATTGTCACTGCAAGATGGTAGAAAAATCACAATCATCCTGGAGGTCTACTCAACAAAGCAGACTTTTAAATTTCCTGCTGCTTTTTTTTTTTTTTTTTACTAAATTAAAAATAAAACCCCTTAGTTTTTAGCTTTTAAGGGCTCCTAATTACTACACAACTTCATAAAAGAATTAGCAATCCTTTTTGGATGTGTTTGCTACTACAGCTTTCTGTTTAAGCCTACAACTGAATTATGGCTCTGGTTACCCTCCCTCTGTGCTCTGACCTGCTCCGGGAGCTGTGTTCAGGGTACTGCGTTTGCAGGTGCCCGTGAAAGGTAAGGTGTGCCAGTGCCTCACTGCGGGAGGATGAAGTGCACGTCCATCTGCGCAGGGCCGGGAGATGACTGAACACCTCTAGTGATGCAAGAAGTAAATGCTTTGGGAAATGAGCAAACTCATTTAGTTATTATCAAGCAAAATATAGACCACTGAACATTGATGATTACCTAATTGGAGGGCTAATTGTAGACTGTATTTTACTCAGTTTACTCAGTTCCTTTTGCTGTACAGATTAAAGCATGGGTTGACAAAAATATTCCTCTTCAGGCTGGCACTCCGCTTTCATCTAAAGATACTAAAAATGAGGAATGTATTATTTACTTTGGGTTTTCTTTGTTTGGTTGTTTTTTTTCTAATAAGTAACTGCTTTGACTAAAAATATTGTATCTGTTTTCTATTTGAACTTGTCAGGCATAATAGTCAGCCATCATTTCTTATGATGTTTTTTTCTCACTGAAGTATAAAGCTGTTTACAACATGATGTCACCTAGTCAAAGAATTTTTTCAGGGTCCCCTACCCACTTCTCATTAGACAACCTTGGGTCTGCTGGGGTCATGGCGTTGATATTCTCCAAGTGTGGTAGCTTCCAGGACAGTTTGGTGTGTTCCATTAATGGCTGTGATATTTTCATGTAAAGTGTTTATTTCCCCAGCGTTATAATCTGGCCTTTGAGAGTGTTGGAGAACATTTATTCTCATACTAAATATTTCTGTTTCTGCACATGAATGGACTTCAGATTCTGCAGAGAAAGAAAGCTGCTTTCATTGTTAAGGATTAACTCTCATTAAGAATGTACTTTTAAAAGTACTGTGTTTCCTTTCGGAAGCTTGAGTGTGCCAGGCTTACGCTTGTTTGTGACCCTACTGAATGGTCACCGTGTGATTAAAGATAATTTAAAATAGTTAATAAGCATAATATGTTTTGTGAAGCATGTTTACTTGGGTGGAAAGGGACCTCTAGTGGCTCACTGAGTCTGTTCTTTCTGAAAAAGGTATTTCATCCACCACTGATTTCATTATGCCTAATTAAATACCTATAGCTGAGACGTGGCTCTTTACAAGAACGGAAATTCTGGATCTCCCTTGCCAGTTTCTTCTGTTTCCTGGTGTCCTATTTCTTACACTCCTCATTCCTCCTCACTGTTGAAGGATCACTAATCACTGTCTGTTGATACCTTCTTTGCATTCATATGTTTCCTAAACAGCTTGGCATCCCCTGCCTTTGTTCTTGTGTCTCGTTAGGGAGACAAGGGAAAAACAAGCATTCCAAATAGTGCAACAACAAAAAAGTTATAAGTACATAGAAGTGTTTGGTCAAATTTTCCATTGTCATCAGTGAAATAACCTGCTGGCCAGATGATATATATCTACAAAAAGTTAGGCTTTTTCATAGAAATGCACTGTGGTCTACACAGAATGGGCTTGTTGGCACTGACATGCTGGGAAAAGCAGTGGTTGCTTGGCTCTGGAGCTGTCAGGATTGTGAAAAGCCAAAGTTAGAGCCAAGACACATGGAGGGCTGTGGATAGTCTTCCTATCCATTCTCAGTTATTGTAGGAATTTAAAAATACAGCAGCTATTGGCTAAACCTCATGTGGTTTACTGCATTGCCTTCAGCAGAAGCAGAGCTAAACAGGATGAAAGTCTTTTGTAATAAAAATACCGGAGAACAATACCTGAGAAATGGGCACTCTGACAGCGTCTGGGTTAGCTGGGCTGAACTCCTAACGGGTGCACGAGGGGGAGCAGAGGTGGATTTGGACTTACACTGTATTTCTTAGCCACCTGAACTCTGCCGGATTTAGCATCCTCATTGTTGATGCCTGCGCAGTCTTTAGTATTTGGATTAATGCGGAGTTCTGGAAGTTGCCCAAGTTATTAGTCAAGCATTACAATTTAGTTGATAATAAATATTCAGCAGCAGCTGTCCCTTTGGAGCCTGAAGAATTAAGTAAATGGTTTACCCAGATACCTTTTTATGTCTGTGGAGCTGTAAGTCTTGGTGCTCAAAGGAGCCTTTGTTAAGTTGTACTTCAAGCGGTCAGCTAAGCACTGTGAAGAGCTGCTGGTTTAGTCCGAGTTGGAAAAACAGAAGTGTTGATATAGTTTATATTCTTTAGGGGTATAGACACCTCAAGACTTTTTCAAACATTTTTAAATTCTGTATTTGATTTTTTTAATCAGTCATTCCATACAGTGAGGTACTTCTAATGAAAATAAGATTATTGTGAAGACTCACAGATCTGGACAAGGTGAATGTGTATGGCACCTTCACTTATTCTGCAAAATCAGTTGATTTTTCCTTACCTCATCGTTGAATCTGAATTGTACAGCTTTTAAAATTTTTTTTCTAGGAAAGTGGCAGCCAGAACCATAATTCATCAAAGTAAATTTCTGCCTAAACACTTGGAAATATAGATATTGTTATGGCCATGTAAACCAGGATTTTGTAGTGAAAACTCTTAGATGATCTTGCCTGTGAGTACTCCCTGTAACAACACTTCCTCCGTCTATAACTATTTTGAATATTTAAAACCATTCTAGTTTACTGTGAATTATCTGCAGAGATCATAACATTGCATTGCCTACATTTTTAATTAATTCCAAAATATAGATTGAGACTGACTGGTTTACCTGTTGTGGAAAAAATAATTGTATCAAATTACAGAGACTTGAAGAAGGAGCTGTGAAGTCAAAGTCTAAAAAAAGACAAAAAGGCCAAGTATTTGTGACTCACAAAAACCAAAAGGTGATTGCAAGATCAGATGTCACAGGATTTTATTATCCAGGTATACATTTTTGTCCACATCTTAAATATTTTTTAGAGTTTCTTAATACTGATAAAACATTAATTTTAGTCATAATTAGATACTTCTGCCTTAATCAGATTTAATATTACATGTGCATATTCATCAAAAATGAATATATATCTTGTGTGTGCACATATATACATTTATAAAAAGACATACATTTTGTAGTTGGAAGGCAACGATACATTTATGGAAGAAGAGTATGGAAGAAAATCCTTTTAAATAACTGAGTATCCAAGAGTATCAACCCACCCATCTTTGATGTCTTCCTTGAATGTTTCTGTTAAGCGTTTGCAAAAGCCGAGTTCCGTGTGTGCGTGCATTCAAAGAATTCAGTAAATGCTTCTGCCCTTTTGTTGGGTTTTGAGCCAGAGTGACTGGTAGGTAAAGTTGTGTTCTGTTTCGTTAAGAAAGTCGTGTGTGTGTGTGTATGTGTGTTTATTTTTGTGTTACCTCGACTTGTTTGGGTCTTTTAAATTGCACTATTTTTAACTGTGGTAATAGTTTCATTATGTCAACAATCATTCTCCTGATCAGTGTACAGATTTCAGACCTGGGCTTCAAAGTCATTCTTTGTTTTGTTTTCATGGCAATACTAGGAATGGTTACTAAGACTCTATATTTTTTTAAGTACAGATTTCTCTGTTGCCCTAGCACAGCTTATCCTAGCCAAATGAAAATGAAGAATGTATAATGCAGACATGTTTGACCTCAGTGATGTGTGGCAGCCTATAGGATTTAAAAAAAATTCCACAAGGGGTGAAAAAAAAAAAAAAATCTAATATTTTATTATGTTGTGTTTTAGGAACTGTAGTAAAGAATATCAGTTCTACCTGTGCACTTGTTGACTTCAGCAACGGGGACACCCGGATTGTACCTGTGAAGTTCACTATACCTGTGGGAGGTGCTATGCCATGCCCATATCTGCAGGTCAAAAATTGTATTTATTTTTTTATGACAGCAAATATGCGTTTTTTATTTTGTTCATTTGGTCACACAAAAAATAAAGGATAGATTTCTTTTAATCTTTAAATACATCTATTTATTTTAAAGAAGACTTTTTAGTGGTAGTAATATGCTATTTTCAACATGCTATTTTTCATTTGTTTGGAGCTTATTTTCATTGTAATCCTATTCCTTTGTTTTTTTAGAATTCTATATTATTTTCTGTATAAAACATGAGTATTTGCCCACCTATAGAAGAAAGGTGAGCTATTTATGAGCAGGATGATTGTTTCCCAGCACACAGATTACAAATCAAGGAGAGCCTTTTGTACACAGTGATGTTCAGCAGGTTACAACCATTTGTTTTTCACAGCACGCTTTAAATCCAGTAGATAATCTTATACTAAGGAATATAGCAGTAATGAAAAAAAAAAAACCACTTTTATTCCATTTTAACAGTTGACTATCTGTAATCACAGTTGTTTTTTTCAGGTGATTCTTATTTTACACATAAGAAATAATGGCTACAGGATGGATATAGAATGGATACAGCTGTTTTGAATACAAGAAGCATTTTTATAATTGTTACACTTAAAACTAGAGACTTGCCTTTTTTTGCCGTTTGAAATGAAGGCAAGTCCTGATCTGGTAGTTCCTGGTATTCTGTAAGGGGAACATACAGCTCTAGAGAAGATCTGCAGAACTTGATAGAGAATTGTGACTTCTTTATTATTTTTTTAAATTGTTTTGTGTAAGTCAGTTACATATGGAATTCTCTAAAATTCCCAAGGTTGGTTTAAAAGCTTATTAAAAACATAAATTGCACAAAGTCCGATGGAATGAAGAGTTGTAAGAGTTTCCTCATTCAGTTGACTTGCTAGTGGAGCCCTGTACATTTAGCAGGGCTCTGTCCTTTATTTTTGCTTTGTGTTCTCTCCCTGACTCAGCAGAAATTGTGAGTGATCACTACATGTAAGGACCAAGTATTTATTTTCTTGTAAAGATCCACACAGAAGCATGGGAACATGTTAGCATGATGATTCATGTAAAAATAGCTTAGTATTTAGATTTTGTGTCTTGTAAAACTCATAAGATAAACTGTTCTTGCAAACCGATGTTTTCCTGCTGTGCAGGTTGGAGACTACGTGTTTGCCAGAACTGGGACACAGGCAGGAAATGAATATTATGTACCTGCCATTGTCATAGCAACACCAAAGAGGGTGGAAGTGGGTGACAAACTCTACACAGTTCTGATGTTCAACTGCAGGAGAGTGAGTAAAGCTGGAAGGTGATTCCAGCTCGGCCGTTGCTCTATTTTTGCTGAGGCAGATACAACTTTCCAGGCTCATGAGCTCACTGTCCCAGTCCCTGTCTCCAGCTAGCCAAAGTAAATCAGATTTCGGGGCTTAATGAAGAGCTCGTGTGATAGACATGAACCAGGAAATTCTGTAGGATAATTTATTCTTAAATCATACTCTGTTCTTTCCCCTGTAATCCATGCAGTGGCTTTCGCAAGCTTCATGCTGCTAAAATGAGAAACATGGCGAGTTTTATCACAGTCAGTATAATCTTCAATTCATTTCATTATGTTTGTTTGTTTGTAAGCCATAATGATAATTTTACTGCATTTTTCATAGTAGATATTAAGAAAATGTGCTTTGTACTTTAAACTTTTATCTTCATTATTTAGAGGCTGATTACAGTTACATTAAAACAGTTGACATTTTATACCTATGTATCTTTATTGTTTCTGAGATTTAGAATTAAATTAGTTGAATGTGTTATTGCAGGAACACTGTGTAAGAAGCAGGCTTATTAAAACCAGCCAAACAAAGTATGCCTTTTCCTGCCGGTATATAAGAATGGTGCAGATGGTGGATTATATGACGTGAGTATGCTTGAACCTAAAAATGCAAAACTTGTCTTATGTGAATCCTAAATGTTGCACTTTGAGTTCAGCTATGCTGTTGGATTTCTTTATTTAGTACTCGAACTACAGTTGTGACCTGGCTTGCTCTACACATGCAACCAAGTGAGTTGACCCACAGGCGTGTCAATCAGAAGAGCATTAACTGTCTGTCCTAACATTTTATCATCTGGCAATTTATTGCCCTATTTTAGTTTTGAAAATATTGGTGGGTTCTGATAGTTTGAAGCTTAGCCCCAGGAAGCTGTTAGAGGATTTCTGAAAGGTGAGATGGAGTTTCTATTTGTTGTAGACCTTACTTTATTCTGATATAAATCTCAAGTTCTTTCTAAGGTACTGAATCTTCTACTGGGCTTAAATCATGGCAATGATGGGGAGAAAGCACATGGGATGAATATGAGCGAGCCCCTACTTAAGTTCTGCAGAATTTATATACAGCAGGGGTAACATTTTTTTTGGTGTGGGGTGTGCACTGAATGTGCAATGGTTCCAAATAATTCCGGATTATTATTTCATCCTGTATTTAGTTCTAGTTTAATACATTTGAAATCGCTTTGGATTGTAGTAACCTTTGGAGCACCAACAATCTCTGACAGCTAGCAACAACAGATCTTAGGAAATAGAATAAGATCAGAACAATTCTCTAGGGTTATTTCTCCAGAATACATTCCCAATCTCCAGCAACTTGTGATTTAAGGATTTTCAGAAGCACAGTTGGAGTCTCTGTATTAAACAGCCTTGATGGATTTTTCTTTCACAAATTTGTGTGGTTACTTTCTTGAACCCATGTAAACCTTTCTCATCCATACCCTCTTCCCAGAAGGAGCTGCACTGTTTCATATTTTGTGTGAGAAAACATGTACCTCTCTTTTGAATCTTCCATCTGTCTTGATATCCCACAGGGATTCTAGACTGAAGGGTTTATGCTTCCGTGTATGTCAACATAGTGTGGGCACTGCTGCCAAAGAATTGTGTAATCTCTGCCACGGGAGATTTCTTCCCAAGAGGTTGCATGAACACGACAAATCCTACCTTTAAAGGCAATTTTAGAAGTTCTTAATTTTTACTGAAATGTTAGAGTATCATAGAATCACAGGCTGGTTTGGGTTGGAAGGGACCTTAAAGCCTACCTAGTTCCAGCCCCCCTGCCCCGGGCAGGGCCCCCTTCCCCCAGCCCAGGGGGCTCCCAGCCCCGTCCAACCTGGCCTTGAACCCTTCCAGGGAGGGGGCAGCCACAGCTGCTCTGGGCACCCTGGGCCAGCGCCTCACCTCTCTCACAGGAAAGAATTTCTTCCTTATATGTAACCTAAATCTGCCCTCTTTCAGTTTAAAGCCATTATGCCTTGTCCTATCCCCCCACCCTCTGACCCAGAGTCCCCCCCCCCACCTCTCCTGCCCCCCCTTTAAGCCCTGGGAGGCCACTCTCAGGGTCCCCCCGGAGCCTTCTCTTCTCCAGGCTGAACCCCCCCAACTCTCTCAGCCCGGCCCCCCAGGGGAGCTGCTCCAGCCCCCCCAGCATCTCCGTGGCCTCCTCTGGCCCCGCTCGAGCAGCTCCGGGTCCTTCTGCTGTTGGGGGCCCCCGAGCTGGCCCCAGCACTGCAGGGGGGTCTCCCCAGAGCGGAGCAGAGGGGGACAATCCCCCCCCTGTCCCCGCTGCCCCCCCTGCTCTGGCTGCAGCCCAGGGCACGGGTGGGTTCTGGGCTAAAAATGCACATTGCCAGGTCATGCTGAAATTCTCATCAACCAACACCCCCAAGTCCCTCTCCTTGGGGCTGCTCTCAGTCCAGTCTCTGCCCAGCCTGGATTTGGGCTGGGGATCGCCCCGACCCACGGGCAGGACCTCGCACTTGCCCCTGTTGAACCCCAGGAGGTTCCCACAGCCCCCCCTCTCCAGCCTGCCCAGGCCCCTCGGGATGCCATCCCTGCCCCAGCGTGGCGACCGCACCGCACAGCTCGGTGCTGCCGGAAGATTTGCTGAGGGTGCACTCAATCCCACTGTCCATGTCTCCAACAAAGACGTTAAACAGCGCTGGTCCCAGCACCATCCCCTGAGAAACGCCCCTCGTCGCTGCTCTCCACTTGGACACCGAGCCGTTGACCACAACTCCTTCAGTGTGGCCATCGAGCCAATTCCTTATGCGCCGAGCGGTCTGTCCATCAGATCCAGTCTCTCCAATTTAGAGACAAGGATCTCATGTGGGACAGCGTCAAATGCTTTGCAGAAGTTCAGGTTGATGATGATATGATGATCAGTTTTTTAAAGATTACATCTGAAAATGATGGGTGGGGGTACCAGTTGTGGGCTGATCTATGGATTCGCTGAGAAAGATGGAATGAAGAAGCAGCACTGATTCAAGCCTGATTCTCACACATTTTCTAGTAGTGATTCCAGTGCAGTTTGAAACTTGCTCTTCCACCAGCTTGCAGTCACAGCGCATAAACGAGAGAACACCCCCTCTTCACTGAGCAGAATTCCAAATCTGGAAATACGTCAATGCCTTTTCCCAGGCCACATCACCTACATGGCAGTAGACTCTTTTCACCAAAAAGTAAATCTGAAGACCATGGTTTCCTACTTAATGCATACAACCAGTTGAAAAGAGACAGGTATATAATTGAGCTGAGTTCCAGCAAAATCAGCGGAGGCCTTTACCTTCCACTGAGTTGGATTATATTCTAAATGAGGGACCATATTAAGAAAAGATGTGTCTAAATGCATAAGCAATAAGAGTGGATTCCATTCTCCGTGCTTTGTTTCATGACTGAGTGCTTCAATATAAAATTTAATATTCATTCTCCAAACAGACTTTATTTGCAAGCTGACTTTCCATTGTTATGCACAAATGATGAGAAATTGGGTTATTCACCGGCAGAGGAATTCTTTGGAGAACTGACTGAAATGAATGCAGTAAATTTTTGCAAATGAGAAATAAATGTACTCATCAGATCTACATTTCAGATAAAGGGATATCGAATCTGGCAGATCTCTGGGTAAAATAGTATGTGAAACCACATATTCAAGCCATGTTAATTGTGAAGTTCTATATACTATTTCCATCTAGTAAACACTGATTTGGTTGTAAATGCACTGGCCAGTTTGTCTAGCAGATGACTGAAATTATATTGATGAAATCTAAATAAAATACTCCAAACAATATTGTTGCCACAGCACAAAATAGTGGACTCTCAGTTATGGCATTCATTTTATCCCTTTTAAACCAAACTAAAACATTTTTTAGCATGGCCTGGAATGGAGCATAAATTTTGCAAGCATAATGATTGAGCACACCTATGTCTTACAGTTGTTTTAAGGCCTGAAGTTTTCACTACATTGTTTCTGTTTTTTCTTGCAGCAGTTGTAGATTTTAGTAACAAACCACCATATTTGAAATTACAGTGTTTTTACTGCAAAATGTCTCTTTTTTTGAGGATAGCACTATTCAGATTGTCCTCCAGTTACCCCCATTAAAGGAACACAAGAAACACCTCCAAAGAATATTATTTCAAATGCTGTTTATTACTTCTGATTGCTACTGTTTTAAAGGCACCAAGGCCCAGACACACAAAGGGACGTCACGGGGCTCAGAGCAGAAACACTTGAGCATTTGGCAGCTCTGAGAGTGGCATTTAGGTGCTTTGGCTCCATGGATGTGTATTGAATGTCAGGACCTACAGCACAGAGCGCGGTGAAATGTGTAAAGCAGCTAATCAGAAATGACAAAGAGAGTTGAACATCTGAAACCGAGACTTTCTTAACATAAACGCCCACTTACAGCCCTGAACTAGACATATTCGAGCCTTTGGGATTCCCAGGGTCCTCTGTTGGCATCGGATAAACTACATAAATAGTAATTTTTAGCATACAGGCAACAGACCTAACCCCCAGGTACGCAGATGAAGTGCCTTGGTGTGCCAGTAAAACCTCGGTGATTGCTGCCGATCCACGGTGTCCCACAGCTTGCTGCCAGAATCACAGCGCCTTCTTTTGCACATTCCCAACTTTATAATCTACGGTAATATATTTCTCTCCATCATTTTCCACATTACATGTCATATCTGGTTCTGCTGAATTTTAGTCTCTGTTCCAAGAACAAATGATAGAAGCCTGGTACTATAGAGCTTTTGTAGCTGAGTCTTTTAAGTTTCCTACTTCTCGGGTCTGTAACTCTCTACAGTAAGTTGCTTTGTAAGCATTGAGAAGTCAGTCACTGCTGATGCACTTATTCAGATTTGCTTGCTCTCAGCTAGGTTTTGAGTTCTCTATAAAGCCACATACCTGTAAAGTGAAATCTTACTCCTTTCCCGCCGCTTAACATGTCACTTTAGTATCGTATAGACATACAGAATGTCCTCTTCTGGGCATTGACTACATTAGCTCGGTGGCTGCATCATAAGAAGCTGTTACTGGCTGTGATTTTACTTTATATTTGTTTCTTTGTGTAACCACCACGCCGTGCTGAATGATTGCTTTCCTTTTATGAGGAGATGTACAGTCAAAGCCATTAAACAACTGTATTTCATTAGTTACACAGTAATTGGTTACTAATATTAGCAGTGCTATGGCAGTGCTCCAGCCTAGATTGAGTTGGAGTTTCCATTAGAGCCCCTACCTTTCAGAGGGCATGGAAGTGTGCTTCCTGCTGAAACTTATAATTTATTATATTCTCAAATAGATACCTACCTCCCATGTCATACTTACCAGAGGGGAACAATGCAGCATATTGCTCAAGGGTGCACACGGATCTAATGAGAACATACTGACATTGTTGATAGAAACAAAGCAGAAGCATAATTTAATCAGAAATCAAACAAAAAGTTTGAATGCAATACAATATTAGAAGCTCAAAAAGAGACAATTCTTGTGTGCTAAGTCCTGTAGAAGTAACGGAAAAAAAGGTAAAAGGGATAGCCCAGGCTCTTCTACCGACAGACAGTCCACAGAGGACGTAGATGTACTGCGATAGCTTGGCTAATTCTTCAGCTCTGGGTTCTTTGGGATTGTCTTTTGATGTTCATGTGGTGTGTACTAGGGGTCACACTTAATTCGCTAATTTTTAGAGGTTCTAATAGAGCTCACGTGATTTTAAGATCAGATGCTAGCATCTGTTTGGGGTGTTTTCCTTCAATCACAGTGATAAGAAGTAATTATGGCAGAACAAGCACTCTGCAGACATAACTAAAAATTTCCATATGCAAAGTAAAACACTGCTCTGGGCCCACACCATAAAAGACAATTATTGCCCAAATACTTTCTGGATTCATAAGAGGTAGGTAGAGTTAGGGACCAGAGCCCTGATTTAGGCTAACCTTAACTTATTTTATAAATAAAAGGGAAACTGAATTGTAAGATACTTATAACGCTGCCAAATGGTCAAGAGAGTCATAAATCCTTGTCAGTGCTGTGAGATGTGGGAAAAGGTGAAATCTATGTCAGGTACAAAAGGATTTAAAATAGTATAAGATACGTGTGCTTTTAGCTTAGTGAATTTCCTTGTCTGATTTTCTAGTCTGGACAGAGAGACCACAAAGCCCTATCCTCACTCATGTGTGGAAGATGGAGGAGAAGAAGCAAAGAAAATTATTCTGAAAGAAGATAGGGGAAAAAAGAAAAATAATAGGAGAGCATTAGACAAAAGTCATCCCAGGGAGAGGATGTTGGAACCTGATGAACTTCTGTTTGTCTCCAGAAGGGAAGTAAAACAGAGAGGAGGAAATTCACTGCCTAACAATGAAGAAGATTTTGGAGGTAAAGAAGTAGCTCTGGAAAATTATAAATATTAGGGATTGAATAGGTCCGATGGGCCTTTAGTTAACCCTCATGTAAGGAGCCGGGTTGCTGCATTTCTGGGTGTTAGACCAGCCTGCTTTTCCATGTCCTACGTGATGAGGTTCTTTCACCTCCTTTGGAAACCATTCTTCACGCTGATCAGTCTCAGCATGTGCTTCCACAGCAAAGAACTGAATAAAGCATGTTCTGGCATATGCTGCCTTAATTCCCCTCATGTTTGTAGTAGGAGTGAAGATGCAATAATACCAACTTTAGTACCTGCTAGTAAGCAGAGTATATATATTCCAGTCCCGCTACTGTTTGTTACTTGTTAGATTAAGTGCATGGCTATATTGCAGGCATTAAATTATTGCATACGGAGCTCAGTACTTCAGAGATTAAATTGCTCTTAGTGTCTGAGCTAGCCCCGTGAAAGCTGACATCAGTATCTCTGCTTGCTGTCACTCTGCAGTAGAGACAGGGGCTGCTGTAGGTATGCCCTTACGTGCCACAGTCGGCTCTTCACTTTTAAGATCCTACTGTCAGTGGAAAGATGAGAGGACTTTTGTCCATACCTGCTAGTCGTACCTCCTTGTAATATTTGAAACATGTTTTCAACATCCTCATTAATTATTTACTTCCAGAAGTAGTATATTATAGATTCAACCAACCATCATGTTGTCAATCAACTTGATTTGCCTCCTCTGAACTTTCCTTCTGTGTTCTCAATCATCTCTTAAAGATTGTCTGCAAATTCCGTTTACACTGTTTATAATGGGTATTAAGGTGCCACTGCACTTTAGGAGTGGCCTGGTCAGAATTATATAGGAGCAGGGGTGCTGGGCTTGTTCTGTAGCTGTGTGCGAGACCACAGCTTCCACAGGTAGAGCTACTTCACTGGAAATGCTCCGTTACTCCAGAGTCCTCCCTCTTGGACATCTTGAGATGCAGATGCTGAGTAAATGTGAAAAATTCTTCTCCCTGTCTTTGTAGTCTTCTCTCCATTCTCTAATGACTAAAATCAATATTCATTTCCCACGATTTCCTTGTTGATTTTCCAAAATGGTGATTTAGTAAAAAACTAAATCAGATAGCAATTCAGAGTGAAGTACAGGTACGATACACAGTAACGGACTGCACTGACTGATGAATTAGCAAATCATAGCTAACAGACCCCACATCTCCTTTTTAATTTATAATGAGATGTGACTTGAAGCAATTACACTGATAATTGCTATAACTGCCAATATGGGGTAGGTGGGAGACCTTTGAAAATTATCCTTTTCTATCTTTTTCTGTGGCAAATCTAGTTCCTCTGAGTCGGGTTCAAGAGTGTAACAGCTGTGGCACCTGGCAGTCTAGTGGATTGGCTGGATTTCCCACAGTAGGGTTTCACATTTTTAGCACCCACTTGTTTCCCAATCTCGTTTTCCAGATAGTTCATTCAGCATTTGGAGAAAGCTACCGTAATAAAGCAGTGTTCCCATCTGTTGGTCATGGCTTGTTTAATAAGCGGTTCATGTCAATTCAGCTATGCTTGCATCTGTTACTCAGTGCAGCTGTGTGTGGCTAAGGGCTCCCAACAGCCTCCAGATTTAGCCGTTGGTTTTCTGTCGATAGTACAGTACAACTTGGCCAACACTGACTCTCTCTCCTGTCAGGGTTGTCCGCTCATAGAAAGAGTGTTAAACGTTCCGACTCTTTCCCCATAAAGAACGAAACATGGAGACGTGCCAGGGAAGCAAGTGCAGTTCCACCGGTGTGGGAGGCATGTGTTGGGATATCTGAGGGTGGAGAGGAAGGGCAATTCTGTCTGGGTTCTCGGAGCAAGACCAGAATGGATTCTTCCAACATCTTGGGAAGGTACATATAGGCCACAGGCACTGGCTAAAGAAAATAAAGTTTGTGAATTGTGTGTGATGGGGAACAGTCTTTTAACAGCGCATCTTTCATGCGCCCAGGGTAGCAGTATGGCCACAGTACCCTTCAGTGGCTTAGTCCAGCAATGTTTTTGTACTGCAGACAGATGCTGTCAGCTTGTAGGATACAGGCAAGAAATTTCCTGACACTCACACAGGTGAACTCCAGACTCCAGATGCTTTAGGTGCCCAAGAAGAATCAAAATGCTCCTTCTGTGTATCGAGGTGCCGATGTGCATTTATAAGTTAATTTTCAAAGGCACACTTTTGATTTTTAAACCCCTGGCTTCAGAGTTGTCAGTGGTAGCTATGGATGATCGGCATTCCTAGAACTAATCATACTCAAACTTGTACTCGCTATGTATTCAATCTACGCTGTTGCTTCCCCACTCTGTGTATCGTATCTTTATTCTTCAGATGCCTCCCACAGGTTTGTTTCCTACTACATTAGTGTTTCTTTTATGATCACTTAAAGCCAAAAAATCACCCCTAAAGAAATATATGAAGCCAAAAAGAGTAAACTATTTTGTTTACTTTGTTTCTTCTATTTTATTCTCTTTTTTTCCTCCAGCTTCTGATCTTTTGCCATTAGTTCATTATGACTGTCATTGTTTTGTGCCAGGAGGGTGCCTAGTAGTGTGTGGTCTCATTTGATATGATTGTAAAAAGTGACTTTTCAGGGACATAGTATGGTTGATAGCAAACTAGAGAAGATAAGCACGGTTGTACTGAGTCAAAGGTCCACGTACCCTGGACCCTGTCCCCAGCAGTGGCTAGAAGATGATTCCTGAGGAAGAGTAAGAACAAAGGCTGACATGTGAATAACAACAGCTACAAGCTTAGAAAATGAGAACACTTAAAAAGCACACTGGTTTGAACTTGTGAGGATGAAAACGAAAAGGGAAGCGGTGAAAAGACTCTTTACCCAGGACTACTGCTCTGTTACCATAGTCGGGGAGTCATTTGTTCCATGAGAGATTTCTGGGCGTGTGCTGAGGGGGTGTTGAACTGTTGTCTCCAAGCTCGTGGCGGGTCAATGTCTTCTCTCACTAAAGAGTACCTGTTCTCTCCTAGCACCTTCATTCTCCATTTCATCAATCTGGCGTTCATCAAGGTGTCAAACCCTGCAGTCACCGAGCGCTTCAGCGCCCAGCTCACCAAAGTATCCCTGTTGCTTGTACAGTCCTGCTGTAGAAAAGTCTCCAGAGCCTGGTAAAACCAACATCTCCAGAAATTAGAGTCACCATGGAGCAGCAAGGATTGGCAGGACAGCCTCAGCACCGCTGCGCAGAGCAAAGGGAGCCGCGTGAAGGCTGCGTGATGAAGGAGCTTGTGAGGGACGGGTGAGGCTGCAGATGGGAAAGACCTGTAACACCTGTAACTGTAAAAGTTTATTCCTTGAATCAAAAATAAACTGACTAGTTAATGCCAAATTATTTATGGTTTTGCAGATTTACTTTGGAGGTATGAAAGAGAAACAGTGTCAGAGGTTTGCTGCTTAAAAATATCAATACAAGAAGAGAGAATGGAAAATTGTATTTGTCAGAGTATCCTTTGTTTGCAGTAGACCTATTTGATTTATTAACTGTGGGTCTTTCCTACCAAACACCTTTTCCCAAACTGACTCAGTCTATAAAGCACCTGGGAAGACTTACCCAGTTTGCCAGTGGTGCTGACTTGTACATGTATCTGTCCTAAAGCTTTTCCACTGATGGGGACTGTCCCATGAGAACACAGATGAGGTGCTTTTCCCTCGAAGACTCACCTCTTAGTAACACAGACTTAGACCAAGGGCTGAATTCTTCTCTGTGATGTTGGATATAAAGCCAGTGCTACCCTGAGGGCAGAGGAGTTGCTTCCGTGTTCAGGCATTATAAATGAAATCAGGAACTGCACCTAGATACATTTAGGAGCATCTCTACTCTTAGCTCACAAATAATGGATAGGTGACTGAACCCAGTCAAAGAAAAAAAAAAAAATCCAAATAAAGATTCATTTTCTCTATCTAATGAGTGTAATGTGATATTCACTGTCCAAGACATGACATTTGCTATGACACAGAGTCAGGGGGATGTAGTGTGTTTAGCACTGAAGATCCTCACCTCAACCAAAGTATGACTTGTGGATGTAGTGACACAACTGTATGGTTGTCTGGGGATTTCTGTTAAGAGGGTGAATACCGATTCTTATTTTTTTTGGCATATCAAGGTGAGTGGACGTTAAAGACTCTCGCAACCTTGACTGCCGATACCTATGCAACTTCGAGGCAGATATATGTATTCATTTTTACATTTGAAGTGGAGTTAAAAGATACACTTCACCACATAGAAACAGAAGGTGGCCAATTAAAGTATACACGTCTGTACTGTAACCCAGTGGTACATTTATGTTTGGTGAACTCCAGCTTTTATGGTAGCCAATTTAATCACAGACCTCTTTTGTGTTCTAGATACAGGATGCATTTATAACTGGGTCTGACTGCTAGGATGTTCTTCTGCTTTGATGTAACAGTAATATCTCAGGTCTTTGCGTCTGTCTTATCACTTCTTCCACACGTTGATTCTTCCCTTTTTAGATGTCTTTCTCAGATGAAGAACAGTCTCAGATTAATATTACATTACTATTACATTCCACATATCTTCCTGAATGAATTAGCAAACATTACAGATGGCTGCATGACCAAACAAAGAGGAGTAGAGACAGTGTCACCTTACAGGATGGTGTGTGGCCACGCTGGCTCCCGTGGATGCCTGGAGCGTAACGGCGTCGCTGCAGCTTTCGGACGGTGGTGACGGGGGTGCTGTGCTGGCCGTGCCCAGGGGCTCGGGCGCTGGCGGGGCCTCTGGCACGGGGAGCCCAGGACATCGCCGCAGCCGACCGTAAATTGCTGCATGTTGTTAGAGAGGCTTTGGCACAGCTCTGTGGGGGCATCATTTCCATCAGTGGCAAAATAAGTGGGCCAGAAATACAGAAGACATTTCCTCTGCTCAAGAGAGGTTATTCCGTGCTGGGGCTGGCTGGAGCCCAGGCATTTTACCATACGGCTTCTCTCCCGTGTTTTCTGTGTGTTTGTGTCTGTTTAGAATAAAAGTGAGGAAGCGCCTTATGCGAGTGAGGGGTCTCCATTTCATGCATCCCACTTCTTCCAAACACTAAATATTCCACTTAGCACAGAGTAACCATGGTAGCATGGTGAGAGCATTGACTTTTTGGCCCTGAAATCTGAAACAAGCAGAGCAATGAAGAGGAGACATCCCAAACACCGTGAAATGCTCAGCTCCCACCAAAGGTCTTTCTGTGTTGCTAGTACCTCGCTCTCGTGAGGTTAGTTCCCAGTACAATGGCATGGGTGAAATACTCTGGTTTGATGTTACAGATGCAGGAAGGTCACATTTGGTTCGTGGCAAAGCTGGTAGAGTCTCCCTTGAGGCCAGTGTGAAGGCAACACCTGGAGCTGTTGTGGTGCTTATTACCAAATCTCAAGGACCCACTCAGAGAAGGACAAGGTGCCACATTATTTTCAGATGAATCACCTCCTGCCCTAGGAGAACTAAAAGTACCGTGCTTAACACCCTGCTTCTCTGGGGCTTGGTTTACTGGATGTGCTTCTATATACACACACCCTGAAAATTTCCAGCCCTGCTGTCTGCGCTTCACATTTTAAACAGCCATTAATATGAAGTGAGAATAGCCTGATGCCATCATTTAGGAGACAGTATAAAAACAGTTGTCTCTCTATAGTCGGTGGAGGCAAACAGAGTTTCTGAGGATATATTTTAGACATCTCCTCTCGGGTGCTGCCTTTAGGCATATCACAGGTGCCTACTCTAGGCGGAGAGTTCAGGTGTACACTTGGCCTGGAAAATCCTATTCACTGTCTGTGCAAAGAAGTATTTCCCAGCAGAACACTGAGCTATCAATTTTGGGAAATTGTTGAGGTTTTGATACCTCTTTCTGTCTTGGTGTGGAGCTAAAAAAAAAAAAAAAAAAAAAAAAAGCATATAGACATTTTTATTTAGTAAAGGAGAATTATGGAGTTTGTGTAGCCAGAATGACCTTGCAGTCAGTGGGATGTGAGGGGGACTGTTGAAATTCCTATGTAGCCCAATTCAGGGAAGACTTAAACCTGGGAAAAACTGTAATTCTGACATGGTCTACTCTGGAAGTTGCAGCATGGATAGTTCATGTTACTTTCTGCAGGTCAGGCTTCGTTCTTACTCCATGATGCCCTGAAGTTTTCTCTTGGAGAATGGAGCTGGCACACATGTGGCATCCCTGGTTACACGGAATCACTGGGGACCTGCTCTACCCAGAGGAAAAATTGGAAGTAATATCACTATACCACAGCATCCATGGAATTTTAGGCTAGGATAGCTGGAAAGATATATTTTTACTATGGGCATGATCCCTTTGCTTTTCTGGAGGAAATGGCACTGCCAGTGAATGGAAAAGCCCTGTATATTTTGGTAGAAATTATATCTAATTGAAAAGATTTTTGAACTGAAAATGTGGTTGACCCCCAGGAATGTGTTTCAATCACAGAGACTTTAGACTCTATCTGCTCACAGTTTTAGCAGAAGAAGATGCGTCTCAGTCAGACTAATTCAGCATTGACATGATCATCTCATCTGTGTCTCCTGTGATTACTGTGCATTTGAGGCTGAACACGTGCAATTCCAATGACATGGACAAAATGGAGTCCGAGCCAATTTTGCGGTACATATTGTTCAAGTATGTGCAGGTGGATTGTATGCCACCCCACAGTGATGAAAACTGGGATCCTCTTGAAAAAATGGCTGAAGAAAATTCACCTTAGTATTCCACTGGGTGCAACACAAATCTGTGAGAAACACAAACAGGATTGTTACCCGAGCACGGGATCAAAACTGGCAGCACCTGTAGCCTGAACGGTGAATCCTTCTTTTGCGTAAAGGGTGGTCATCAATCACTGTTGGTTCTTTAGACAAGCTGCGTACAAAGGCTGATTTATTATAGAAATATGAATGGTGATGGATGAGTTCCCTCTTCTCTTGTTATTGAGGATCCATTTCACTGTTCCTTTCTGGATGTGCGGTCTGACCTCGAGAAGCACCTGTCATGGGAAAATGTTTATTAATTTTCCTTGCTGCGGTGCACGAGACTTTTTCCTGCCTGAGTTTGGTTAACCGTCTCATTGCATTGCTTTGTATTAAGCCTTGGAACTGCCAGGATGATTTATTCTTTTCATTCGAACATTCCTGTTGGCCCGTTTGCACAACGTGAGCTCTGTCCCGAGCTCCACACCGAGCTGCAGGTGTACAGCAGGTAATGTTTTCATACGCTTGCTGCTTTCCACTGATCTGTTTTAAGGAAGCAAGAAGCATTACTGCGGTCTGTCAACAAGATGAATTTTCCAATTAGATTTGCCAGATGGCTGAGCTTGACCAGGATGGCCTAATTTCAGGATCTGTTAATAGAGCATAACCAGATGACCAAAAATCCAGGTTGCTGGTTCCTTGTGCTGCCTCATACAAAGTTGGCAGTGGGGGGATTTGGGTTGCCTGTCTGGCTTTGACTGGCCAAGACTATGCTCAGATTTCTTTGTCATTCTCATTCAGCTACTAAGATGGTACTTTCCCTATCCACTGTCCCCTACATTTCTGTTTCTTTTTTGATAAAGAAAGATAGCCTACAAAACAAAGAAACAAACATAATCCCCCCCCCCCCGCCAAAAAAAGAAGAAAAAAAAAAAAAAAAACAAAAAAAACCCTAAAAACCCATATTCACTCCCACCTCTATTTGTCATTCTGGATCAAACTCAGGGGTTGGGACTCAGCCCTGTCATTCAGCATTGCATGCATTCACTGGTGCTGCACGAGAAGGTAAAAAAGAGACACTTCATACTGGACTGCTCAGTTGAGCAAGAGAAAGGCGTAGGGAGAGAACCAGTTAGCTGTCATACTGATAGCATGGCCATGAAGCTCTGGAGGTCCAAGGGAAGTAAGGATAAAAGGGGAAATGAGAGTAAAGGCTTTTACGAGACCAGCTGGTTGAACTGGAGGAAGGGGAAAAACATTGGAGATTGAATTAATTTAGCAAGTCACCAGTAGCCTCCTATTCAGCTGTGAAACTAGGAAATCAGATCAATGTTCTACCTTCCAAGAAGAAGGGCAGTTTCATGGGAGAAGTTTGTACAGCACACTTTGGCTCGATCCACGCAGGTATGCAAAGGACCTTCTCCTCCACGGCAGTTTGCTTTCTTGCCCAGCGAGAGCACTGCTAGCTTGGCTGCTGTACAGGTACAGCTGTGCTCCACGGGGCTCCGTCCTTTGCTAAATGACACTGGGAGATCACAGAGCTGCTCTTAGCCACACACCCACACAGCTCGGGGGGGATCTGGGCCACCCGTAACCCCTTCCTGCTGATAAAATGAGGGTGTCAGCACCAAACCGGAGGT